AAGTACGTTCCACAGATGAAGGGCCATGTTCTGAGACGACGAATCGAATTTTGAATCTACCCGCGATATTTCGAAGTTTTCAGATAAATATACGCGAAGTTTTGCGTCGACATAACCAGCAATGCGTCATGAATCACGACATTGACGTCCGCCTATGGCGTCTTTTTAACTAATTTGAAGGGTCACCAAAAAAAAACGTCAAATGGTAGTAACTATAGTGAAAATCTGAAAATCTCAAAAGATGGTGATGAATGATAATGGCTGGAGTTAGAAGGTGCAGTTAGGTTAAGGTTAATGTTAATTTTAATTATTTTTCGTATTGCATGTAATACTAATAATTTTATTGCAACATTAATACAGATCTTGGTCGTACCGCGGTCAAAAAGTTACGCAGAACACCACGTGGGGTACAACGTACAATTCGTACAATTCTAGTAGATATACACTGTAACAACAAAATTAAATAGTTAATGTAAATAAAATATGTATAATGCATATTATATTTATTGAAAAAGTTGAACAAAATAAACAGTTCTCAAAAATGTTTAAAAAAAGTTAGACGAACTCCTCTACTCATATTAATTCTTACTTTTTTCCATACATAATTATCTGTTTTACACTATGGTCAGTGCATGTAAATTTTTTGCAGTCGCAACATTGTTGCCCGGACTTGCGATCTTTCTTTCTATTGCACAAATAACATCGTCCAGAAACAGGTCGTTCAGGTTCTTCAGAATGGATTTCATGGCGATTTTCTAATTCTGCAAAACATTTCTAGCACATATGTTTCGACACTGTTGGGAATTCTTGGATCTGTGGATATTCTCCCTAATAAATGACTCCCCTAAGTCCAAAAGAAATTTTCTTCTTCTGTATTTGCTTTTTGATTTTTCGTCTGGAAATTTTGCAATCCATAAAATAAACGCGTTTAGTGCCGCGACGTCTAATAGCTGTTCAAAAATTGCCTTCGGCTATCTATTACTAATTCCACGAGCTGAATATTCTTTTACCATTTTATCGGTAGTGTCTACAGCACCTTTTGTTTTATTATGATCAAGTATTATGTCAGGCTTGTCCTTCATATTTTCTACCGCAACAGAATCATGGTGCTCCGTAGCACATAGCTAAGCACATAGGACACAATTGTATGTTGTTTCCGAAAACCAAAGATTGACGAAAAATGGGTTTCTAAGGTTTTGACAAGAGTTCTTCGGGAATATAAGATTTATTTTTTCGTAATGTTCAGCAAACAGTCATTTGTTTCTCTAAATTCTCTGCTAGGGACAAACTTGTAAAGAAATTATCTGTGGTTATGCCATATCCGGTTCCTAGATCTCCGACAAGATCTAAGACGACTCTTTCGCATATTTGTAAATACGAAATGACAATAAATAAAATTGCGTAAAATTTTCAAAAAGATATAAGAAAAATTGAGTTGTTGGGGTACATTTGTACGCCACACGGTACGACGAAGGTTAAATTAATTTTTGGTCTGAAGGTAAAGGTTATCAAGTCACGTGAGTTATATTTTACAATAGTCTCAAAACGAAAAGCATTTTGGGGTACCCTTTTAGCATTACTGGTTTAGAAATATTACCAAATGAATTTAAATCTATTTTAGTCCGAAAAGCTTCTATTATTATCATTATCCAAGGTTTGTAAGTTATTCCTTGTAGATTCGTAGTTAATATTAGATTAAATTTAACTGGATATTTAAATAAAAAGCACAACAAACTATCGCGAAACATTGCAGCACCGCGTATTTAAAAGTGTTATATTTAAAAATGTTTTAAATGTTAATTGGCAACGAAACAAAAACATATGAAACATAACCTGAATTGAATGCCAACAATTCAGGGGTCGATTTTTCGGTCCATTTTTAAAAGAAAACTTCATATGAACATATGTCCTAAACGTCTTAACTTTTGAGATACAGAGTGATAAAATTGTCAATAAGAAAATATATTTTTCTAATATCTGTAATACCACTTCAGATATTTTAAGGGAAGGTACTTAGTGTATCACTTTTTTTTTTTAATTCACCAGTGGCGGGCCTACAGAAATTGACATGTCTATTTTTCCAGACATTGATGATACGCCGCTGATTTCTCTTAATACAAAAATTATTCTTACAACCTCCAATTATTTCTAAAGAGTTTAATTTGTTGATTTTCTTCAATCCGATGTACGGTTTTCACTTTAAAAAATAAAAAACTCTTCTCTGCACGGTCACAACAATATCGTTAATATGACAGCATGCAGAGAATTATTGTTATGATTATTATTTCTTATACAAGTCTATCTGTTTTATTAACATATTTCAAAAAACTCTGGGGTTTATTTTTAAAACATTTATAATTATTTCTTTTTATTGTAGTAGGTTGTGTTTCTAAGAATTAATAATTCTGTTGTTTGATATCAGTTTTGCTTTGCTAGTAGAATCATAGCAGATAGACAAACATTTATTTTCAAATTTACATGGCCGAAACAGCCATTTAAAAGGGGCCCACCGGACTGTAAGAACTCCAGAAATTGAAGAAGCACTTTTAAATTCTTAAGTAAAAAGAACAGTTTTCTCATATTGGTAACTAAAAACTAGATAGAGGACACTTTCAACAACTTATCTGGTTTCTATGTTCTATTTTTTTTTTTTTCAAAAAGTTATTAAGTTATTAATAGACAATTTTGTTAAAAAATTATTAATAGTGGATATTGTTTTTTTTTAATAAGAATCGTTTATTATTTATCTGGTTGTTAGGATGTTATATTATTTCTTGAATAATAATACATGATAATAATACATGATAATAATAGTACATGATATAACCCTCCCCCACTTTGACTCTAACCGTCTAAGTAAGATTTATCCTATATTGTATGATTGATCTCTTAGTTAAATGTAATTTTTAGATTATTTTATTTTGAGGAAGGTCACATTTGGACCGAAACGTCAAATAAAAAATGTAATATTCCAATTTTGCCAGGTCTATAACCGTACCTTCATCCCAAGAAACCTAACATCAAATTCAGATCAAACAACTCCGATATGAAAAACGAAAAAAAAAAATTGTTCAAGTACAATTACGAGGAAGAATACAAAGTTCTAAACGTAAGAGTAACAGTAAAGGGTAGACCCAGTAGTATGCCGAAAGAATCAGATTTAAAAAAGTGCTACTCAAAACCATTGCCAATATCCAAAAACAAAAAACTTTGCCGAACTAGAGTTATTCCCGTTGACTAACTGATACGAATTAAGGAAAGACCCGGGCAAGCTGTATGAATGAAATATGGACGAGCAGGTCCGTACTTTGCTTAGAATTTAATTATTTGGGGTTTTGCTACGAAAGATACTAAACAATATTTATTTATTTATATATGTATTTATGTTTAAATCTAAAATATTTAAATTACTTAAAATCACTATCGCTATCATCGCCTGTTCTAATTATTATTTGTTTTATATTATTTGCAATATGGATATACGATTGTTCTGCTTTTTTTATATGTTTAACAGAATTTGCCCAACTTTGCGGAGGGATGTTAAAAACTTCGGTTTCTATAAGTTTGAGGACATTGGAGTTAACACGGTGAAAACCATTGTTACGACGAATGACAGATTTCAGATGGTGCCAAACATGTTCAATGGGATTCAATATACAGTGGTAAGGTGGAAGCCTTAAAACTGTATGTCCTAGATATTTTGCATAATTATCACAGACGTATTCTTTGTGTAGGTTCAAGCTTTGTAGAACCTCAATTAATCGCTTTTTGGTATAATCTTCATGAAAATAAACGTCGTTATTATACATGTAGTTCTGGATTGTTGCTTTTGTGTCACATGAGGAAGGGGTTTTAGTCAACTGTCTACTGTGATAACTTACATTGTCGATTACAATGACACTATTACGAGGAATATTTGGAAATAGTTAGTTTTTAAACCAACTTTCAAAGAAATCAGCGGTGGTGTCTTCATGGTAATCCAGAGAAGAATCTTTCATATTTTTCGCAGACAGAAAAAGTCCATTTGGAATCCAACCATCTTTAGAGCCAGCATGTAAAATAGTTATTCTTTTACCTCTTTTTGATGGCGCGTTTGTTTTACACTTATCAGTTGAGTCAACCCAACCATTTTCCGGGGAATCATAAGTGTCGAACCAGGTTTCATCCAAGTAAGCAAGCATCCAAGCCTTTGTTGTTCTCTGTAAATCCTATTTTTTTCTAGATATTCCAGTCGCCATTTCCGAATTCTAAAAGATTCCATTAAAACTTGCCTTTTCTCAATTTTTTTAAATCTAAAAGCCCTGAAGCTGAAATGGGATTATTCACCATTTTCCATACAGTTGATGTTGGAATTTTCGTCAATGTGGCCGTTTCTCCTACAGATTCTTGCTTGCTGGCATTTTCTACATTTGGGCGGGAGCACTTCCTGAGATACACTAGACTCGCACATATTTTGCATAATTCGCACACTAAGTAGTATACCAAACCAAAGAATATTAAACACAGGTAAGTATAAAATTATTTTCTATTACGGACCACACTTTCTTATATCTATGAACAGACCATACCTGAACTTACCAAGTAATAATTTCATAAAAGACAAATGCCACGAACCTGCACTAGACGAAAGCAGTGATGATGAAGTATAATGTTATAAATTTAATAATGTTAGGTGTAAAAACCTACTTTACTTATTTTATATTCATGAGAAAGTGACCAAGTCCAAATTTCCTTCGAATATAAAAATAATAATAGGTATAGGACTATAATAAAAAAATACTTAAGTTATTTTGACTATTGCAGTAGATTTACCAAAGCCTATTCAATATGTATTTCCACTAAAATAAACTTACAAGAAATAATTGAATTTTATATTTGTTCATAAATCTTCAAATATTAATAGCTTAAAACTGTTATTATTGGACTTGGTCACTTTCTCTTCTATACCGTTGTATTTATGAGGTTGCTCAGTTTTCCAAAAATTCGAGTGGTTTTTGCAGCAAGTTGCGACGCCGACGGTCGTCAAGAAAATCCTGCGTTTCAAACAGGAAAATCCGGGCATGTTCGCCTGGGAGATCCGGGAACAGTTGATCTCTCAGCGTGTGTGCGAGCCTCACAACATCCCGTCAGTCAGTTCGGTAAACAGGATTTTGAGGAATAGCGGAGTGTGGCCCGACGCCCATCATCAGGACGTCGGGACGCATCACGGCAGACCGCCGACGTCACATAACGGTGGGTTCGCGTCGAGCGTTATTTGGAAAGGGTCGGTTGTCGGCATGTAGTTTGTGTCAAAAGACGGCCCTAGGTGGGCGAGGTGGGGCGGGGGGCAAGAAGGCCCACTTTAAATATCAACTAAATTTGTTTTTCGTTATTATACTTATAAATTCTGGTTATTTGTAAATTTTTAGACCTTTGCTTAATACCAGAAGTAAAATTCTAAAAAAAGCTGTTCCATATTATTATCAACTGAATCATAATTAATTAAAAGTGTTATTTTTTGGATAATTGTACGGATTTGGCCTAAAGCCTTAGTTTTCGAATTTTTTAATCGATAGAAAAATAGCTACTTATCAGTAACGTTCTTGTTTTATTAAATACTTTTTATTAAATAATTATAATTATTATATAGAAATTTAGTTAAAGTTGGTCAAAGATAAATCGATTTGATGGTTAAAAGTCACAAAAAATAATAAAAAGCTTTATTGGGTCGCCTTGCTCCACTCACTCCTATATTGACATACCTACGCTTCGGTTTTATATTTCTGCCTGGTTTAATCGTCAATCGGTGATTCGTTTACCGTACGGGGCTACTCGAAAGTATGTTTGTAGAAAAAATTAGGGGCAGTTAAGGCAATTCGGCATCAAATTTGGTTTAAATATACTCAAGAAAATGATTAAAACGTGTTGAGCGACAAACTATGAAAAAGGACAATCCATGAAAATGTAATTCCATTGTTTCTGTGTGTGGCTACTTACTTTGCTTCCGTTTCGGGTAAACGGATATCTATTTTTAAGTTCCGGCATCGAGAATGAATGTGAACAACGTTACGTAGATCTCAACACTTAACACACAAATTTTGACTTTTTTTTTCAAGAAGTTCCGACTTATTTTCCAGGAATTATGATTTATTTCTCAATAATTAATTTTTCAGGAATCTTAACTTGTTCTTCAGAAATTCCGCCTTATTTTTTAGAAAATCTAGCGTATAATATCAGAAATTGGGATGTACTTTTCAAAAATTTTGATTTATTTTCAAACTCCATGTCGACTAAAAATGTTCGCATATTTGCCAGAAATTGTGACTTATTTTTTAGAAAATTCCGAATCAACTTCGAAATTCTTTTCTATTTTACAGAAATTCTATGAGTTCTGATTTATTTTTAAGATATCAAAAGTTATGGTTTATTTTTCAGAAATTTTGACTTGTTTTTCAGAAATTCTGCTTCATTTTTTAGAAATTCTGACTTATAATATCAGAAGTTCCGACTAATTTTTTAGAAATTCTATTCAACATAGAAATTTTAACTTATTTTCCAGAAATTATGATTTATTTTTCAAAAATTCTTATTTATTTTTCTGAGGCTCTGCACCACTTTTAACAAATTCTGATTTATATCAAAAATTCTGACGTATCATAAATTTCTACTTATTTCCCAAAAATTATGATTCATTTCTTCCTTACTTTAACCAAATTCTGATTTATTTTCCAGAAATTATCACTCATTTCTCAAAAATTTTATTTATATTTATATTTTCCAGATATTATGACTTATTTCTCAAAAATTCTTGTTAGGAAGTCTGATTTATTTTTCAGATATTTTGATTTATTTTTCACAAACTTGGATTTCTTGCTTATGTTAGAAATTCTGACTGGTTTTCGAGAAAGTGAGTTACTTCTTCCTTATTCACCAAAAACCTAACGCATGCCTTAGAAATTCTGAATTGTTTTTTGGAGATTATGACTCATTTTTAAGAGATTCTTAATAGTAAGAAATTTAACTGGTTTTCCAAAAATTATTACCTATTCTTCAGATATTCTGATTTGTTTTTTAGATATTCTGACACATTTGTAACAAATCAATTCTAACTTATGTCACAAGTTCTCACTCGTTTTTCAGAAACTTTGACTTAACTGCTGACTTTGGTCCAGAAATTCTGACTAATTTTTGAAGAAATTTGACTTAACTCAGGAATGCTGACTTTGGTACAAAAATTCTGACCTATTTTTGAGGAAATTTGACTTAACTCAGAAATCCTGACTTTGGTCCAGAAATTCTTACTTATTTTTAAAGAAATTCTTTTTCAGTAATAACTCCTACTTAACTCCTGAATAATTACTGAAACTATTAGTTTTCGTTAGTTTTTGTGAAGAAGACGAAAAATTTACCTATTATTTATATACACATTTTGCTAGTTCATTGCGTCTACCTAATTGCCTATTTTCAGACTCGCTCCTTAGGCCGGACATATACATTAAGACGCCGTCGGCGCTTAACACTAGCCTCCCTTACTTTTCTACCATACACGATTCGACGCGACTGTCGCACCTCCATCACCAACTCCATGTCGTAACCAACGGCGAGACCCAATCGAGCAGTTCGTGGTCGAGCCTCAACAGTTTGGTCGTCCCGTATCAACCTTTACGCGGTTTGTCGCACCAGCAAGACTTGAAAGTCACCAAACTGGAGGAGAAAGGGGAGAACGGTACCAAGAAGAACCCTTATTCTATCGAGGAGCTGCTGAAAAAGCCCAGCAAACAAGTGAAACCGCCTAGCCCCTTCGGCACTGGAATTCATCAACCGTCCGGGGTGTTTCTTACGTCCGAAGATTTTCACCGCGAAGATGAAGATAGCGATTCCGACAAAGACGTTAAAATCGACGTCGAATAAGTGTCTTTTGTTTCTGCGTACGAGGTATCTTCGTATAATGATTAGTAATCGCGTTCAGGCCAAACTTTCCAACAAAAGAAGCCATATATTTAATATTTATTTTTAAAACATAGGGTAAACCAGTCAAATATGTCCCACATTTCGAAGAAGATTAGCAGAGGCGGTTTTTAAGCGTTTAACAAAAGTAATGCCATGAGGCGTTACACTCCCACCCCTAAAAAGTGAATATCATTCACTTAAAAAAATTACCTGAAACCATATAGCTGTTAGGTAATATAGTGGTCATAATCTGCCTGATTTTCTGCTGCCTCCAACCTTAACAATGATCTGTCAGCGGTCATGTTGGCTCAAGGTCATTATTAAAAAAATTTTCATGGACGATTCAAAGTAGTTTTCATAACATTTGGCATACTCGTCACACTGAAGAGCTTAAAATCAGTTCACTTTCAGAGCTAGAAGAGCTTTATAATTGTTCGGCTTAAATTTCCTAACTTTTTTCGTTCTTTTTCCCACGGTAGAATTTTTCTGAGCTTCTATTTTGTCGATGATGTTTTCTTCTACTAATGGGATTAATAAAATGGGGAAGATTTGGAAGGTGTTCCTTCTAGATCCGAACTTTCCGAATGTATTGAAGGGGCAGACAACCCCTTCTTCTTTCATAAGCACCTGAAGCTGAGGCTAGAATAGATGTAGATAGATTACTTAAGTCAGAAATTCTGACAAGTTTCTCAGAAATTCTGGCTTGTTTTATATAAATTCTTACTTTTAAAGAAATTATGACCTGTTTCGCAAATACTGATTTAAGGAAATTACAACTTACTTTTCAAATATTCTAACTTGTTTTACTAAGATTCTGACTTATTTTCCAGAAATTATGACTTGTCACTGAAATACTGACTTAAGTCAGAAATGCTAACTTGTTTCTCAAAAATTCCAATTTGTTTTACAAAAAGTCCGACTTATTTTTTAATAATTCTGACTTAAGTCGGGAATTCTAAATTAATTCTCAGGTACTCCAATTTGTTTTACTGAAAGTCTTATTTTTCAGAAATTCTGACTTATCTTTCAGACATTTTAATTTATGTTTCAGAAGTTTTTACTTATTTCTCAGAAATTCTCATTTATTCTTCAAAGATTATGCCTCATTTTTTAGAAATTCCGAAATATTTCCCAAATATATCTCATTTCTCAAATGTTCTGACTTACTTTTTAGAGATAAACTTATATTTAAAAAATACTGACTAATCGTGTCAAAAATCCTCATTTATTTTTCAGAAGTTTTGACTCGTTTTAAAAAATTCCGACTTAACTCATAAAGTCCATGTGTTCCAGAAGTTCTGAATTAGTTTTCAGAACTTTTTATTTTACGCAAATTCTGACGTGCTTCTGAGATATTCTGCGTTATTTTCCAGAATGTATGACATTGTTTTAGAGATTCTGACATGTCATTAAGAAATTCTGACTAATGTCAAAAATTTGGACTTTCTAAACAAGGATATACACATACTTAACCTCCATTAAACGATATAAAAATTCACGAGCCTCCGAGCATGCCTCAGCTACTCAGCTATTTCACCTACTAACCTGCGCTGTGCCCCATTTTCCGTCTAATTAGCGATCACGTTAAAGAAGATTTTAACAAGCATTTCTTCTTAGTGTCTCATATCACAGAGGATTCAATGCAGAGAACATCTTGGTTTGCTTTTACTGGTCACGTTTCCTGTGGGCACTCGCCCATAAACAAAGTATACATGGCAAATATTTCCCTATAGGTACCACATAAAAACTCATCGACTTTCAGCAGATGATATTTTAACACTCATGCGCATATTGAATGGGGCTTCTCAAAATTAGTTATAATTGTTACTGTTATTAGCATACACAGGCAAGGCCTGTTATATCTCTAGTAGCTATATGATAAATACACCTCATAATTTTTGTGAGCTGTATTCGAAGGTTATGTATATTTTGGAGTTTATAAGGAGTTATCGGTTAATTTTTTGTTAGCCTCAACCTGGTGGTGTCGATTTTACCGGTTTACCTTGTGGTAATTTTAATTCACGGCCAGTTCCAACATTTTATAAAATAAAACACTATCTATTTGATTTTTTAAAAAACCGAAAAACGAAAAGCTAGAATTTTATGTAATACGAAGATATCTTGCCCCTTTTGAACTTTCAAAGTTATTCCGAGCTACTGGTCAGTGGATGTTTCGCTGGGTGAGCGCCCCACTTATTTAAGTTTTTATTTAATTGTAATTTATTTTGTTTATTTAATTGTAATTCATTTCTGGTCAAATTAAAAATAATATGCCTAGCAAATCGCCTTTTTTGTTCTTCATACTCGAAAAATTATCAAAATTAATAATCGAAAAATGCTTAACAAATTCATTAAAATTACGTATCGTGTTTGCTTTGCAATAATACTTATGGAAGCCGACTTTATGTGAAAAATTAGCATTAAATATTTTTGGAAAACGCCAACGGGTGGAAGTTGTGGTTTGGGGACTGTATTTTCTGCTAAACATAGTAGCTCACGCCGCACCTGGCGTCAGCGTTTCTTGGAAATCTACAACGATAAGTAATACCACGCAAAATGAGTAAAAGAGAGTTTTTCACTTCTAAAAACTCACTATACTCACAAAAACAAAGCCAGCGCTGGCAACATTGAAAAAACCATAAAACCATTATACAGTCTGCTGCATTCTGCAACCAAGATGACCACTGACGGCAGTATTCTCTTAAAATATGCCTAGATCTCGTTAAATGTTCTGTGAAAACTAAGTGCGCGGAAATCGCTATTTAGATTAGAAAATAGCGCAAAGTACAGGTTAGGGACCAATGAATAATTGACAATTTGTAGGTTATGGTGACAAGTGCTTTCTAGGGGCTTCAATGAAATTGGATGTTATAATTTTACGAGCTGTATTGATAGGATAGTCAAAAATGCGTGTGTGTCGAAGTTCATACCAAGTAATAAACAGTTAAGTTTTTTTTTTAGTTCATGGCTTTAACAGACTTTTTTACATGTTATTGAAGGATATTATCCGCGCCTATTGAAATTTAAAACTAAAAAAAATCCAAAATTTTAAATAATACGAAGGCATCTTGCCTCTTTTAAACTTGAAAAGTTACTGGTCAGTGGATATGTCACTTGGTAAAATTTATTAAGATTAAGATTTTAATTAATTCCAATTTATTTTCTTTAATTGTTAATTTATTTCCATTGTCCTAAATCAAATTAAAAGTCAAAAAATAATTAACCAATTTATTAAAATAATATAATATTTTAAGAATTGTCCAAAACCAACCACACCCATTTAAATGGAGATAACATCTTACACACTAAATAACACTTCCCTATAGACTTATCCTACTTTTCCTTTGGAATAAAATTTATCGAAGCCGAGTTTATGCAAAACCTCTTCCTTGTTGGCGGCGGTCCGTCTCCGAACACGTGCCCCAAATGGGCATCGCAGCTCGCACACATCACTTCTGTTCTTACCCTACCTAAGTGATTAATTTCATCCACAGTATTGACGATTTTATACGAGGCAAATAATGTGCGTTTACCTAAACTGGTATCTGCAGATAATTTAACCTTGCCCTGATCGAGCACGTCGTTAAAAGCCGGCCATCCGCACCCAGAATCATACTTGGTAGAGGAATCGAATAACGGTTGCTCACATACTATGCACACGTAGGTTCCTTCATTAAATGTTTTGTCATAACAACCTGCAAGTAATAAAATATACAATATACAGATACCCTGCGTGAAACAAGTTTTTGCACATTTCACCTGTAAATGGCCGTTCCGTACCCTTCTCTTGGGTGACGTGGTATTGTAAGGGTGTTAGCTTCTTCTTTAACTCCTCTTGATTTACTTTACCCTCCATATTAAAAGGGGCTGTACAAAAAATTACCTATTTTAAAAGTAATACAATATTGTTCCTTACTCACGCGATACGTGCAACTTTTTATGAATCTTAATCTTATTAATAAAACTTAAAGTTCTAACACTCCTAACAATCCCAAACATTCAACAGTCGTTGAAACAAACACAGCGCTTCAACGTTGAATATTACGCCATTTCGAAAAAAATAAGTTAGGTTAGAATATCGTAGATAAAGAGAAACTATTTCGGTGCAGCAGAGCTCAATTATAACCACCCGTGCGGCCATCGTTTTCTATCAGATCAGCCTGTGAGCAAATTGATCCTGGTTATTTGGGCCGTAGAAGCACAGAAGAGGAGTGGGTTGTGAATGGCATTCAGCTTGGTAAATCGATTCTTGACCCCCGCTCACAAAGCACGCTGTTTTCGGGGTTTAAGGCGTAATTTCTGCCTAAATATTATTGTGCTAGTTTATAATAAATGGATGGACTGATGGATACCGATGGGTCGAAAGAGGGAAGAGCCCAAACTTTTTGGTACCGGTGCAAAAATTTGTTGTCGACGAGTGATAATTTCTTAACGAAGCCGGATCAGAACATGGCGGTTAGTTCCGATGAAAGACATTAGTTTTGGAGAACCATTGTGATCGTTTAATTTGCTTATTTTTGAATAATAAAATTGTGTGGGATTTAAAATAAATGTGACAACGTCCTTGCACCAGTTTTATTCGTGTTTTTTGTATATCTAGCGATATAAAATATACATCTCAAGTTTTAGAATTTCGTTTTTTTTTTGCTAATTGCGTCCGTTAAATATTAAAAATAAAACATAAGTAAATTCTGATGGAATATTCACAGTTATTTTATTGTATATAAAAACCATATAATATGTTGTATTCTTTTCCTTTTTTTTCAATTTTCTTCTGTTTCTTGGGTCTGTGTCTGTTTTACATTTTCTATGAAGATTTAGATAGATATACAAATGCAATCATCCACGTCTCTCGTATCAATTTTAAATTTCCGGATTATTTTGAATTTTTCGTGAATCGTTAATTATCTTGGTTCGGAAATCACGTTAATTTTGGAACAATTGTTTCTTGTTGCACATCTCACAGGAAAAAGTGTTAGTTCTAAGTAAAAATAATATATCGGCGAGTGATTCTATCACATGCACCCATCTATGGAACTAAATTGAAAAACTGAGCTTAGCAGTCTGTGGGTGGAAATAGTGTTTATGACAGATAAGTAAACTTGTATTTTGAATTGAAATCAACGAAAGTGTGTATCAAATAAATTTCGCATTCAACATGAATCCACTAACGTAAGTCGCTACTATTCTATTCCGTACGTTAAAGTAACGAAGCTGTTTCCAGGAATATGAAAAATGTGAAGAAACTCAGCGACCAGGAGCTGTACAGTACAGCTAAAAGCTCTTGGCACGATCAGTACAAAGACAGCGCTTGGATTTTCGTCGGAGGTCTACCCTACGACCTGAGCGAGGGAGATATAATTTGTATATTTTCACAGTGGGTCTTGTATTTCACTCACCAATTTCGTGAGAGGTCAACCTTGTCGTGTTTCAGGTACGGCGAAGTGGTAAACATAAACCTGATACGCGCGAAGGACACGGGCAAATCGAAAGGATTCTGTTTTCTGTGCTACGAGGACCAAAGGTCCACGGTTTTGGCCGTTGACAACTTCAACGGGATCAGGATTCTCAACAGGACCATCAGGGTGGACCACGTGGCCGAATACAAAGTGCCCAAGGAGGGGAAACAAACCGACACGGAAACGAAAAAGTTGTACGCGGAAGGGTGCGCCCCCAAAGCTGTGCCGGTCATTTTACCCAAAAGCGAAAAACCGAGCGAAGATATTCGGGAAACCATCGCCGATCAGATAGAAGGCGAACTGAAATTACCGCCCAGGTTACCCATATATGCCAACATCAAAGAGCAGAAAATTTCAGACGAGGTACTCAAAACACTTTGCGAGTTGGATTTCAACTCCAGTTGTACAGCATCAATTTTATTATCTTTTTGATTGGTAATATCAATTTCCGTTCATCATTAACACAATACGTTTGATAATTTGAAGGTTAGGCATTCATTTTTTGTAATGAATTTGTTTGGATGAATAATAATTTTAAACGGATTCTCAAAACTCGTCACTGTGGGTCCTACCCCAAGGCTTACTTACTTACAAATACCTGATTTTATTTATCTTTATTTGAAACTATAATTCGAGTGGATTTTAATTGATGCTTTTTTATGTTATCTCTGCTAATTCTTTCTCTCGGGACCCGTTCATTTTTTACAAGGAATAATTATTTAAACCGACTATTTCTCAAAATTGGTACAGAGTATTTCCTTCAGTTTTTAATATTGCTGGGAGTGGTGTGGGAAAAGCAAGTGGATTTTCTTATAGTAAAGAATTAATTATAAATTAAACATTGATCATTTGATTTGGAACGTATTTAATAAAGCAGAATTTTCTCTATATCATAATTTTCCTACAGCAAGACTTATTTGATTTAATTCTATCTCATATTAAATTTAGGACCTTTGCTCCATTAAATGTATTATCCGACTTAACTTGGAACTTATTTAGTTCCGACTGCGCCAATTAACTTATCGATCGCCCGAAATAACTTAACTTAAATAATTTTAGGAAAAAGAAGTGTTAGCGGAGGAACCGAAGAAGAGCAAGAAAAGGAAGAAGAGTAAAAAATCGAAAAAGAAACGGAGACGGTCGAGAAGCTCTTCTAGTTCAAGTTCGGAACACGAGACGCGGATTAAAGTGAAAAAGGAGAACCCCGATTTAAAACTTGACTCATTCGATCGAAGAAACAGGTTAGAAAGTAATTCTGATGGCAGAGCAAAATCGCCACAGAGGTCGGCCAGGTCTAGAAGTCGAGAAAAGGACAGCGAAAAGCCGAAAGTTTTCAGGAACGAGTCGAACGTTTATATCCCCAAGAGATATCGATGATGCGTTTGAAAAGACTACATCAACAGGTATCGCATAAAATTAAAGTATCTTGAAAAAATGTCCGATCTGAATGTTGCAGTAAGTTTTCTTCACACAATTAATTATTTTTAATTTTTGCCCCAGCTAAACATCCATTCCTAAGAAGTTCGACTTACTTTTTTTTGTTGCTCTTTTTTAAAATTAATGGTACTTATGTTAACACTTTATGGTAAGTTATTATATAATCTAAGTTAAGTAATTAAACTTATTATTTCTATAAATTTACTCCTAGGTATGGGTACCACTGTACCTAACGTTAAATGTTACCCACCTTTTATTTTTTATTTTACATTTTAGGAGAAAAAAAGTATATTGCAAAAGTTGCAGAGTTTAATATGTAGAGTTGATATTACTTACTTATTTATTTACAAGATATGTCAAAAAAACATATCAAAGTGATATTTTGTTCACCAAAGCGCTGTGTATTATTTCATAAAAAGACAGGTTCTTTTACGCTCATTTCAAAACTATGTATCATATATACAAATGAATGATGTCACAAAAAATTCGTGCTTTATATTAAGCAAAAGTGCGAATAAGTGTTTAATTAAATTGATTAATTCAATTAATAAAATTCATTTTAATTAATCATAGCTCTTTATATTTTAATTATTTTTCCCATCCAAGAAATTTCAGATTAACAAGGGTATTATAAGACTGAAAGGCATTCTGTGTTGTATATTTGCCTATATATATATTTTTAATTACTCTTCTCTATAATCCAACTTATTGCACAAATAGAATGGAAATATTGCATAAAATCTGTGAAATCTAATGAATGTGTGCAATCTAGAAAACTAGCCTCCCAAAATCTGTGAAATCTTATGATTGTGTGAAATCTACAAAATCTTTGTGAAATCCGCAAAATAAATCTAAATCTTTGTGAACTACGTGAAATATTGCGAAAAATTTGTGAAATATATTCCAATATGCAAACAAATTTTGTTTCAAATTTTTTACGTTATTGACTTTTCAATTGATAATAAGCTATAAATATCATACTAGTTCACTTTGTGCGATCGGTGAACTAGAAAATTGCTCATAGTTTCTGACTATGAGGATTGGTCTGAAAAATAAATCAGAATTTCTGGAAAATAAGTCCGAATTTTTGGAAGATACGTCAGATTTTTATTTATTCCAATTTGATACAAAATTACAGACTGATTGTAATTTTGTATCAAATTTTTTACATTATTGAGTTATTCAAATTTCAATAAACAATAAATTTTGTACTAATTCAGAGTATGCGATCAATACACTAGCAAATTACTCATAATTTCTAGCCTAATCAGAATTTTCGAAAAATTGATCAGGATTTTAGAAAAATAGATCAGAACTTTAGTGTACCGTCTTCTTAAAATCCATGGACATTTTTGAAATATTGAGTGACATTTGGGAAATGTTATGTTTCTGTGAAAATTGGCGAACTAGCTTTGTAAAATCCTTGAAAAATTATGTGAAATGTGTGAAAATTTATGGATTCTGTGCACCAGCTTCGTGAAACTTGGGAAATCTTATGATTGCATAACATTTGGCATGAAATCTGTGAAATGTGTGCGAAATCCTGGCAATATGATGATTCTGTCAAATCTGATTTACCAGCTTCGTGAAATCTTAACGATTGGTGATCCGTGAAATCTGTGAAATGTGTGTGAAATCCGAGCTATGTAAACATCTATGAAATTTGATGTACCAGCTTTGTGAAATCTCATGAGTGGTGTGCCAGCTTCGTGAAATCAGAGAAATTTTTGTGAAATCTGTGCAATATTATGATTGCGTGAAATCTGGCGTGCTAATTTTGGACGGATATTGAGATAGAGCGTTAAACGCTTTTGGGTTGTTACGGTGACAAGTTTAAATGAACGTTTTCTTTGGTAATTTTTTAATTTCTACATTTTCGTAAGCGAAAAGCTTTGTCTCGTTTACCGTGAGGCTTCTAAATCATTCGACGCTTCGCTGCTTTCACTATTTCGCATATAATGCAGTGAAAAATTCGTGGCACCCGGATTCAAAATCTTGCCGCTTCCTAGACATTCGTCGTTTCTATAAAACACCGCGTACTGGCCGGGCGTTAAGGCTCTTTGAGCTTGATCAAGATGTACGCATAAATTTTCGTCGGTGATTTCGCAAATTCGACAGGGCACCAGTCCTTCGGTGTGTTGAAATTTAAAATCGCACCGTAGAATTTCGGCCCTTTCGAGTTCCTCGGGCCGGGAGTGTATCCAATGTGGTTTCGACACGCGCAACAGATCGGAAAACAAAGCCGGGTGGGTCGTGCCTAGTGCCTTTTAACATTAACATAATAACGGTAACAATAAATGAGGAAAATGAACCATGTCAGTAAAATCGGTATAAAAAATTGCTAGGGTTCAAATTTTAAAAATTGAACCACCTCAGTTCATTATTATCTAGCGAATCTGCGAATTCAATTAATAATACCGATTGTACCAACATATTTGATAATATAGCGTTTATATCGCACCATTTTCCATCACTCAATTCACTCAAATCTTAATATTTTCTTACCACGTAAATTATATTCTCGTCGACGTTCTTCCTCGCTACAAAATAAGCGTCCGGCACCCCCTGCAATCTGGTCCTTTGGCCGACTGTCCACTGATGCAACCCGTCGTGAGTTCCCACCACTTTCCCACTGTCAATGTCGATAAATTTTCCCGGTTTACTTTCAATATACTACAAAGCGACCCTAGGGAGGATGCCTAAAGAACGGAAAACGCTTACTTCGCCGATAAAATGTTGAAAATTCCGACTGCCTATGAAGCAGATGCCCATACTTTCTGGCTTTTGGGAATACCTCTCTAAGTGATTTTCCGCGGCTATGCGTTTCACTTCCGACTTTCGCAAATCCCCCAGCGGGAACATCGTCCTTCGTAATGGTTCCTGACGTACCTGGCACAAAAAAAACGTCTGGTCTTTCCTTAAATCCTTTGGCCTCAAAAGGCGAACCGCTACAAACAAAAGACGAGAAAAAAGCACTAAAAGAAAACGTTAGTCATCGAAATACCCTGGTTCGCATTGTAATTTTCCAGAAAATTCCCGAAACTTGTCTTCGCGTAATGACCGGTGGCGATGGCGTCCGCCTCTAATTCTTCGAATGCGAATTTGGAAAAGTGATTGAATTTTATGCGACGATTGCACAAAACGTCGGGATTCGGAGTGTAACCGTGTTCGTATTCTTTAATCAGGTCGCTAATTGCGATAACGTATTAGAACATTAAGCCGATGGCGAAAATATCAACCCACCAGAAAACTTCGTTCCAATATTGCTTTACGAAGTTTACGCGATGCAGTTTGATATTTAAGCGTTCGCATAAGTCGCTGGCGTCTTTGAAGTCTTCGTCGGCCGTGCATTTTCCCGTTTCGTCCGCTATATCCCAATTTTTCATGAAAACACCTTCCACGTCATAACCTAAAAAAACGTTTTTTTAGATTTAAAATACGCGTAGTGTATGTTGAACCTTTGGTTTTTAATAACAACGCCGCGACCGCGCTATCTACACCACCGGAAATGCCTAACGCAATTTTTTTAAACATTCTAATATTAATAGAAGTTAAACATTTTCTTTAGGGTATCTTCATTTTCAAATGACACCACTTTGGGTATATATACTAGGCACACTCGCCCATTATCAACTTTTTTTAATTTGTATCAGACACCGTTGCGTATGCTTGTTATTACCAATAATTAAACTGGTTCCAAAGGAATTTAGTTTTTATTTTCGCATAAAAAACAATTTTGTAGAAATTTTTGCTTCTTAAAAGTGGTGATTTCAGTCTCTGTTAGAAGTAGCATAGGAAAAAGAAGGGTGGCAACAGAGAGAATGAGTTGCTCATCCAGAGACATGAGGAACGGATAGTTGCCGAAGTTTGCAATTTTTACTTCAAGCACGACGATATACACGGATATATACATATAATGTGAATAAAAACGTTTTTTAAATCTTCTGGTTGATCTGTCTAAGCCGCCATCAAAACAATGCTCCTACGTGCTAGTGGCGTCATCTCCCGACAAATAACGGAACTAATTAGTAAAAGAAAGCACTGATAAATGGCATATTAGTGTCGCTATCTCTTGTCACAGCTCAAAACCAATAGTACAGGCAATAATCATCAGATGGCACACTTGTAATATCACCTACCGCCACATCTCCCAACTAATTAGTTAAATCAAGTCCCAGTAGATGGCAAAGTAGCGGCGTTATCTGTTGCGGCGCCCTTGAATTCATCAAGACAAAAAGACGCATCTTCATTACAAAGAATTTAATGTACATAGTAAACGGTCATAAACTTCAAATTTGTTAAGGAGAAACCACAAACTTTTACGATATCGCAGGTTGACGCCTAAACTTATTAAAAATGTAATGAATAAAGGATTCTTGCTAATATAATTGAACCTTCTGTTTCATCGCTTTAATCTCACTAAAGCCAACTGCCCAAATGCACAGAATAAGATGAATTATTTGATGGTCCGTGATATTGATTACTCCATAATTCTTTCCAATGATGGATGAATTTATTAAGGACACTGATCCAAAATCGATTTCTATGTATCACAGAGAGTAACTGTGACGTGGACTATTAAAAATAGTTTCTTCGCCATGTGCAAGTTAGAAAAAAAGTGGTGGAGGTTGTTTGGCTTTGGTTAAACCTAACCCTAATGTGATTTCGTCTTTCGTTATAAGTTTTGTGCTGTGTGGTTTTTAATTTCGCCCCAATTATGGAATATTCTGTTGGAAGTTTAGCCGAATTAATATCGGGCAAAAAGTCCGCTAAGAAACTGAAACTGGTTAAGAAAACGGTAGAGCAAAAATCCGAAAAATCCGTCAAAGTCAAACAAAAACTTAGGGGAGAAAAACGGAAATTGAAAAGTGGCAACGCGGACCCTTTGGAGGATGATGTTGAAATCGACAAAAGTCCCAAAAAGAAGAAGAAGTTGAATAAAAAAGTTGAAGGTGGTGGTGTCTTTCTAAGCTCCGTTGCCGAGGAAACAAATGGCAATGAAAAAAGTGCCAAACAGAGGATAAAGAAGAAAGAGAAGCTAGACAAAACTAGTTCTCTAGCATACAATGAAAACACCATTTTCATAGGAAATGTTCCGATAGACGCAACAAAAAGTGATATTAAAAAGCATTTTCGCAAATACGGAACCATCGAAACTGTTAGAATTCGCGGAATTCCCGTAGCCAATCCCCAAACTCCAAAAAGGGTGGCGGCCATTAAGAAAGAGTTTCATCCTGATAGAAATACGGTTCATGCATACATAAGGTGGGTTTAAATTTGTGTTTATCATAAATAAAATATCAAGTTTTAGGTTTAATAATAGCGAAGACGCAAAGAAAGCTGAAGTGGAGAATGGTGCCCTATTTAAAAATCACCATTTGAGGGTGCACTGTTGTGGATCCAAGGCCGAACATGACGAATCCAAGGCAATATTCATCGGAAACTTAAATTTCGGTGAGTCTTTATGTGTTGCGTTAAATTTATTGCAAATTTATCTTTTCACAGATGCTGAAGAGGAAGATTTGTGGACCCTGTTTAAAGTTTGTGGTCCCATTTCTCACGTTCGGATAGTAAGGGACGGCCGAACTGGCATTGGCAAAGGCTTCGGTTATGTTAACTTCAAAGATGCAGACTCGGTACAGCTGGCACTCGAAATGGAAAATGTTTCCCTTAAAAACCGAGTGCTAAGAATATCACTTTGTGACAATAACAGGGCAAAAAAGAAGAAGAAGCATGTAAGTGTTAAAATCTGCTACTTTTATCAAATTGGAGCCATTGACATTATAAAAGGGATGGACGGGCCTTCTCTTATTATTATATATATTGTTTAAAACATAATACCTATATAGGTATTATAATGTTTAAAACAATACCATAGGTGAATATTTTGTTTGAATTTTTTTTTTTGGATTTTTCTAAATTTTTTTTTGTTTTAAAAAAATATTTCATACGTTTTTTTATACTATAAGAGAAAACTAGTTATGGAAATAGTAAAAAGTATTTACAAAGTACTTGGAAAAAAGTTGAAATACTGTATACTGACTAAGTATTTATACAAAAACCCACACAAAAATCCAATACCAAAAATTATTTAAATATAAAAACAAATTTTGGGATTGGGGAACACTTTATTTTAATTATAATATCATCAGAAATGAATGTCTGCTCTTCACTGTTCCTATATGTTGTGTTATAATTTTTATTATTTACATTACATTTCTTTTCTTTTAGCAAATTAAAAATAATTAGGTAAATAATAATAAAACAATAATTATTATAAACAGTTCGTTTTTGTATTTTATTATTATTAATTATTATTATTATTATCAATTATACATAATTGATTATATTTAATAATAAAATAATAAAAATAATACATTTTAACTATTAACCATAAAAATAGAAATTAATGATGATTTATCTTGCATAATTATTATTCTGTGTTTATATAATGTTATAATATGAAACATAATCAAAATTGTATAATATAATATTAATTATAATTGTAATAATTTATCAATGATTTAGGTTTCTATTGATATTATAATTATAATTCATATTATATTTCTTTTGTTCCAACAATTTTTTTTTAATCCATAAACATTAATATTATTATTATTATTATTTCTATTATCAATTATACTTAATATAATATATAAATTAATAAAAGTAGAAATTAACAATGATTTATAATAATACAACAAACTATTTATACTAATTATTATTTTTGGTCACCTAATTTTGCATTGGCAGTATTTTTTTAATTTGTTTAAAGTTTATATCTGTAAAAACCGTAAATATTTTTAAAACTTTAGGCAACTACTTTTGAGTATTATTTTTTTCTTTTAGATGGACTTGACTTGCTTTCCTGTTTCAAAAATAAATTAGATTTGATACATTACTTGAGGTTTAAGAAAAAGAAAGCATTAAAATGTAGGTACCTATTTCAATGGTATCTGGTTCTTAGTTTCCTTTAATAAATAAAGAGGGAAATCCAAAATAGATGGTAGAGCTATCTTCTTAAGTACTTTATTACCATGGGCCATTTATTGCATAATTCTCAATGTAAAGCACTTTTTCACAAACCACTGGTACATGCCATGGGCTAAAATTATAATTTTTTATCTTTTAACATCCCAAATTATGTATGTATGTATGTATATGTACCTTTAGCTCTTCTGGAAGTAAAATTTACTGCTGAACAAAATCCGACCATTGTTGAATATTATTGAAAAAAATAAAACAACAATTAAACATCTAATGACGGCACCCCAAGCCGGTCCACCCTCGTTATTTAGTCCATGATTCGCCATCCAATTTTCTCTCCACTTTAGGCCAGGAAAGATAAAAACGCCAATCAAAAGCGATTCAGTGTAAACCAAGAAAATAAAAACGCCTCTCAATCGTCCGACCAAAATAAACCGTCCAAACTAGTAAGACTTTTTCGTATTGTACGAATTAAAAGACAAAACGGCAATTTCTTGTTTTAGAAAAAGAAAACCGGCAGCCCAATAATCCCCAAAAAAATGCAAAAAAGTACCGGCGGTACCGTCAATTTTAGTGGTACCAAATTTGACGAACACAAGAAGGTAAAGGCGTTAAAATTTTTGAGCTACACTAACGGATAACCAAATATTTATTTCAGAAAAAGAAGCCCAGCAGCGTTTTATTGGAAAAGAAAAAATTGGCGAGGAAGTTGACCCACAAAAAAGAGTTTTCATAAGTAGACAAAAAAAAAACAATAAATTTAGCCGCTCACGATTATTCGGTTTAGCTTTTCTTGCAAAGGTCGCGGAAATTGCGAAACGTAGTTCTTGGCGCACCTCACGCAGTAAGTACCGTCGAAGTATATACTGCAGCCGGGATCTTTGCACACGCCGTGCTTGCACGTGACGCAATGGGCGCCCAGGATTATTATTTCGCCTTGTTTCGGCGGCACGAAAGGGTCCTCTATGACGTAAGCTTCCTCGAAGAGTCGGTAGTGTTTCAAAAATGGCGGCCGCTCGCCGAAATATTCGTATTTTTCTTTGAGCTTGCAAAAATGACATTCAAAATATTGAGGGATTTCCTCCTCCTCCTCTTTCGGGGTTACCTCTTCTTTCTTCCCTTTTTCTGGAGATTCTAGTTTGCCCATATCGACGTCCATTTTGATACCTTCGTTTGGTATGTTCTCTGTAACAATAAAAATAGCAGCTAGATGCAAGAGAATTACACTATCTTACAAGTTTGAAGCCGCAATTTAATCTCCTTAAAGGAAAACCACTATCTTACGACTATGAACTTAATCTCTATCATCTTAACAAACATGAACCCGCAATCTTAATCAAAGCCAAACCCTCTGAAGCCACAATTTAATTTTCCTCAAAGAAATCCAGTATCTTACAAATATCAACTCACCATTTAATCTTCCTCAAAGAAATAGACTATCTTACAAGTATGAACCCCTAAAAAATTAACAAATATGAATACACAACTTAATATCTCCTTGAAAGAAATTCATAATCTTAGAAGTATGAATCCAAAATTCAATCTTCCTCAAAGAAACCCATTATCTTACAAGTATGAAGCCACAACTTCATCTTCCTAAAAGGTATCCACCATTTTACAAACACAAACCCACAACTTAATATTAATCAAAGGGAAACTCTCTTACAAGTATAAATCTAGAACAACCAAGAAATCCACCTTATTACGACTATAAAAAAATTATGAATAATTATGAAATTTTCATTGATTCTTTAGAGAGAAGAAATTTAATCATTAATTATTAAAAAAAGAATTCTACTTTCATAGATACTTGCATCATGACAATAAAATATTTTTTACCGGAACTGATAGGCAGTTCTCCAATTTTCTTAATATTATTAATAGCTTGCATCACAAGAAGATGATAGAATTCATTTTCCCGATATTTTTGCAATCCACCTAAATTCGGCAAGTTTCAAAGAACTTCCCTGTCTAGTTTTTTCAAAGTATTGATTTCCATGGAAAAAATCTATCGCACAAGTATGAACCAAAAACTAAGCCTCATTTTGCATGTATGAACCCACAGCTTAATCTCTCAAGGAAAAAAGTATTCATTTCCCTCAAGAAAATCCAGTATCTTACAAGTATGTACCCACATCTTAATCTCCCCCAAAAAAATGCATTATGTTACAAATACCAATCTACAACTAAATATCCCTCAAGGAAAATTTAACAACTATGGACCTACAACTTAATTTCCCCCAAAGAAATCCATTATCTTAAAAGTATGAACCAAAAAATGAATCTTCCTCAAAGAAAATCTTACAAACGTGAACCCACAACTTAATATCCCTCAAACAAAAATCAGTATCTTACAAGTACATCCCCAAAACTTAATTTCCCTCAAGGAAAATCTTACAGGTATGAACCCACGGCTTAATTTCCCTCAAAGAAATCCAGTATCTTATAAGTTTGAAAGAAAAAATAAACCTTATTTAAAGTAAGTAACCAAAGAATGGGTGCCTACACTAGTTATTTGGCTAAGTTCTAGTAAACAGTTTGTTGTGCAAAAAACCGTCATAAAATCAAAAACTTGTTAGTGTCTACAACTTTATATTTACCTTTCTATAACCTAAAATTTAGAAAATTACATTTTTGGTAGGTTGACTTTTTCTTTCGGCAACTCCAGGGGCCACCATTTTGGCTTCTCGATCACCGCCTCTCCGTTTCCCACTTTGACCGTACCCACATCGAGAGCTTGAGTTACCCTCATCAACCCGAGCCCGACGTTTCCCTCCACCCCTCTCAACTTGCCTAAATTCACACCTTCGTGAATGATAATGTTCTGTTCGGGTAATATTGTAGCGGTTTTGGTAAAAACGAGAGGCATTAGACGTTTCCTTATAACTCCCGTGTGATAAATCCTGGCCGTCAGCTCTTGACCCAAGTAGCAGCCCTTGTGGAAGCTGATACCGTGCAAGTAGTCGCAGTTGCACTCGAGGGGAAAGCAATTGCCCGGGGGCAGCTCTTTGGGGCCTTCTCCCACTCCCAACGTATATCGGAGAGCACGGTACCTACTATAGTCGGCCATAGTACACTCAATGATATTACTTAATTCAGCTTTCACGTCCTCGGTATCCTCAGCTATAATTCGATAACCCAAGCTTGCTACTCTGGGATCTTTGAAGATAATTAAGCCCTTATGTATCCTAACCTCGCTCGAACTTTGGGGAAATGATTCTTTCATATCGAGGCCACCGAACTCTGAATTCCAAAGAGCGTACAGTCTACGATCTCCCAGATGATCTAGGTTCACTTTTCGCCTCACCTTGTACATTTTCAAGTGCTTATGTAACGTGGTGGCCCCTTGGACGTCGCATTCGATCAAGAATTTATCCTCTTCATGCTTGTAAATGATGGAGTCGCACAAAACGCGACCTTTTAAGTTTAAGAACATGGCGAACATGCTACCGGGAGTCCCGTTTAAGTGGGATACGTCGTTGGTGATCAGTCCTTGTAAAAAATGCGAGGCGTCCGCTCCGTCTACCCTTAACAGCGCTCGGTCTTTGAGAAAATACAACAGATTGCCGGTCGAGCTGACCGAATAGTTTTTCGCGAAAAAAAGCTTTGTAGCGCGAACCAACATCGTCCCGATGCTAAAATAACACGCAGGTACGGAAATCATGCTAAAAAGTATACCATGACGAGGTTATTTTACTTTGTTATTGAATGTTTTCCGTGTACGAAAAAATTGTTAGGTTAGATATTGGAAGTGCACACGGAATATCGGCGGTCAGTTCGTTTTTTCATAAGGATAAAGTGTTGAGAACTAACAACCACTTAGTCCGCCATTTTTAAGTGGAAATTTATAAATATCGACTGGTTATGTCGCAAAAACTTACCCATATAAATAAACGTAAAATTGCTCAGCTCTTCTTCCTTTCCTTTCGGGTGGTTTCACACTTCTTATTCCATCGGGTCGAGGGCATGTCGTGATATGAGTCTTATATTCTGATTGCCGTTCGGGAGATATTCGTTACGTCAAACTATTAAATCGAGTCTGGGTTTCTTTCATTATTTAAAAGAAAAAATTGCATTTGTCGCAACGGAAAATGTATTTGTTTTAAACTGCAGAAGAGCTTTTGGGGCGAATCAGATTTACAACCGCTTAAAACCACTGACTGAAATACATAGACCATAGAAACGATTTCTTTGGTGCGGTGGATTGAATGACGACGTCGATTATGCAGAAAAACAAACTAGTTAAAAACTTATCGCATGGCCTCCTACGTTAGAGTCGAACTTTATCGATTAACAAAGGAAACCGTTATTTCTCATTAAATAAGAGATGAAAAACGCCCCTATTAATTAACGACAAAACCGCACTATTTTGGTATAAGGTAGAAAGCGCCACGAGCTTAAAATACATTGCAACGTGGCCAACTTTAAAGATTTGATCGTTCCGCACACGTTCTTATCTATGATCTGATAGGAAAATTTGAAAATCTTTTTTTGCTTTGAAAAATAAAGTCAAGGATGTTATGCAATTGAGGTACTTGATAATCAGCGATAAACCGCGAGATTTCATCGATTTCGCCCTGTCGACACTTGCTGTTAAGATCAAACGGGAATCCCGTTTTGCTTGGCACAAATATTAATTTGTGTTAAGGTAAACTAATCAAAACTATCACAATAAAGGGGTCCACACATTGTCAAACCAGCTGAGGATGGGACCAATTCGGAAACCGGTTAACTGCAAAATATTGCACAATACCTATATGCATCGCATAAAATACTTCAAAACAATAGCGAGATATTGCACAATCGTGTGTATTGTGCAATTTTTGCGATAGATACTGTATGGGCAGCTTTAACATTAAACGGAAACTTCAAACGTACGATCATTAACGTTTGAGCAAAATGTTGAAAGTTTGTAGAACTTGTTTGAGTGGATGTTATAAACGGTCGAAATGTTTCTCGGGTTCCCAGATACGCAACAAGCACAGGTATTTTTTAAATTTCGCTTTATATGACATTTACATTTGGGTGTTTTTAGTTGCAAACTTTTGGTGGTGGGCGGAGGCACCGGCGGATGTGCGGTGGCCGCGAAATTCTCTCGTAAACTGGGGAAAAACGAACTCGTCGTCGTAGAACACAACGATCACCATTATTATCAACCTTTGTTTACCCTGGTAGGCGCGGGGATCGAAAAGCTGGAAGAAACGTGGAAAAACGAGAAAGACGTCCTGCCGGAAAATTGCACTTGGGTGCGATCTAAAGCCGTTAAGTTTGACCCCAAGAATAACAGCGTCTACTGTGAAAATGGCGAACGAATTGAGTACGAGTTTCTGGTAGTTGCTGTAGGTATTGAGCCCAGATTCGACAAGGTGCTATATGAAGTTTGACGATTCAGTTGAGCTTTATTATTCTCCAACTAGATTTCAGGACTGTTAGAAGGATTAAGTGAACCCTCGTCGGGCGTGTGTTCCATATATTCCCCAAATTATGTTAACAACGTGTACCCGACGATGAAGAATTTAACATCAGGGAATGCCATTTTCACGTTTCCCAGCTCGCCCGTCAAGTGTCCCGGCGCTCCCCAAAAGATCTGCTATTTGACGGAAGACTTTTTGAGAAAGGTAACTGTTACTGTTAGTACAACACAATAATATGTTGTACAGGAAATGTCCTTAATTAATCTGTATTTATTTATTTTTTTTTCCATACCTTGATTAATAAGCCTTTTGTGGTACTCTTTTTCTTAGTATTTGATATTGTAAAAAATATTTATATTTTTTTAAGAATCTAAACTTACTTAAACTTACTTAAACCTTATTATACTGGGTGCTTTAAAACAAATGAGAAAAAATTAAGAGGGTGATTTAAAATAAAAGGTAGTTTAAAACAAAAACTACCGGAACGCTTAAGTATCTCCAAAAATGCCAAAGCAGGAACAATAAAATTCGACACATGGGGACAACAGCAATGTCGTCAGATGATATTTATTATTGTGGTAACCCTTTTAAAAATTTCTATAATTGAAAATCTCCAAAATTCTGAGAAGCTAAGAATTTTTTTTAATTAACAGTAGTTTTGTACATATTTAAGTATAGAAATACTAAAAGGATGTCGAACTTCCATTGTCTTTATTTTTAACTTACGCAACGTTTCGGACAGTTGTATCACTACCCGTTATCAAATGTAAACTATTTACGTATACTTTTTACTAACCCTGTATATACGTCGCGTCAAAAACCAATCATTAGGTAAAGTTTTTATTTTTTATCTTAAAAACGGAAGTACATAAAATAATAAAACCTTACAGAAGTATGATTATTATAAAAAACACTTTCTGCATATATATATTTCTTATTTTTTAAAATGAGTGCATGGAAATGAATTAGACTACCCTACTTATTAACTATATTTAAAGAAAAACTTATGCAATGACATAATTCTTCTAAAAATTTTGTGTTTTGTTTGGAAACTTTTGTCTCCTGCTTTTTTTTCACAACATGGTTTCCAAGTAAAAAAAAAAAATCTGCAGCAGTGCAGAACGAGATAAAAAATATATTAGATTAGATAGTGTTTTATTATTGCTTTATTTGGCATTACGGTTATCTAATCATTTAATTGTTCAATAAATAATTTTTAGTTTTAATTTGATAATGGTGAATTACACGAATGTAGAAATGGCCCTTGCAGATACATTTTTTCTTTTTTTGCTTTTTTGCATTTGAGCGCCTTTTTAGGAGACTTGTTCAAAATATAAAATCTTTCAAAAACAATTAAAATCGTAAGATATTCTCAAAAGGAAGTTCCTATAAAAAGAAAAATCCAATCACAATTAAATTACCTGAAAAATGAAGGTTCAACATTTGACTAATTTTATCTGCTCTTAAAACGCGCTGCCATTGGTTATGACGTCAGACCGTTGTATTTCGATCTATACTATACATATTTTTACGTTTAATTTTGCTTGATTTGCTGTTTGGTGGTTCTGCAAAGGACTGAAAATGGTAGATGCCGGTTTTATAAAAGATTAATCAGACAATTTACCCCGAGTTGATATATTTATGATTGCATTCTACATTAAAAATTCCTGTACTGATAAAGTAAAGTAAGTAAAGTAAAGTTTCTTTTAACTATTATCCCTTTTTAATTTGTTGATTCTAAAGCGCCTAGTTTTCATCCATGAAAAAGTCCTAATAATACAATAGTTTAAAAAAATCTAACTGAGTGTGATAATCTGAAAATATTAGAAAATTTTAATGAAAAAATAATTGGTAAAAGTAAAGTAAGTACAACATCAAAAATTAAGGCAATTAAAAAAATTAAAGAGAATGGTAGACGAGTATTATTTTCATATATATTATGATATAAAAAAATTATTATGATTATTTATACTAATATTTAGATTTTATTCATCAGTAAATGCTTAATAATAAAAGTACTCATGCTACATCTATAAAATATCAATATCATGTAGCAGTGTCACACCCAAAGTGATGGATTGAAGAAAAATGTGTAATTTGTAAGCGAATTCTTATAATAAAGAGGAATGTAGTTCCAATTATAACATGGAGTCCGCGGAACCCTCTTGCTATAAAGAAACAAGTACCATAAGCAGAATCGGAAATAGAAAAACGAACTTCATAATATTCTAGAGCTTGAAGAAGATTAAAGTAAATTCCTAGGCCAGTCGTTAATCTATGATGAGACCGAGTTACTGTAATTCCTGAAGCCAATAAGATTAGAGTGTCTAATAAGGGCATATTTATTGGATTGAACGTGTGGATTAATTTTGGAGGCCATGTTATTGCTAATTCAATATTAGGAGAAAGACTATCTTAGAAAAATGTTCAGAAGAATGAAGCAAAAAATAAGATTTGCGAAGTAATAAAGAAGATTATTTCTCAGCGTAAGCGTAAAGTCCTGAACCCTGAAAGGTTCTTTCTTGAGTCATTATTGAAATAAAATTAATAATGTAATTAATTTCCCTATTGTGTAAAATATTGACTTCTGAGGTTAAGTGGACGATAATTTTAATTTTTCAAAATGATCCCCCTCCTTGCTCTACGCATTTTTCTAACGGGTTTGAGTATGTTACCGTAGGAGGGAAAGAGAGATCACGTGAACGTCATCTACAACACCTCCCTGCCGGTAATATTCGGGGTTAAAAAGTATGCGGACGCGTTGTGGAAAATATGCCAAGAAAGGGACATCGCCGTAAACACGAGGACGAACCTGATTTCGATCGAGCCTAGCAAAAAGACGGCCATGTTCGAAAATCTAGACAACCCACAGGAGAGGACAACACTTGCGGTAAGTTTTTTTTTTCATCGGAGAATAGAGTTTAAATGTCTAAGAAAATCTACTAGAGATTGTTGACCGTGAGGCGAAATAACAAAAGTATCATCGACGTGGCGTTTCCGTAATTTTAGTTTTAAATGGCAGATGTCGAGGAGTTTCTTCTCAAAGGTCTAAGAAAATCTCGTAGGGTTTCTTGACCATGAGCCCTTTCCTCCTTTTTTCCCGACGTTTGTTCAAAAATATGTTCCAGGCAAGCATTTTTAGATTAAGGTTTGGTTCCAGATTCTCTTCTGTTTTTTTATTCCATTTTTGGAAACCAATTCATATTGGGGAATTCTTTTTGAACCTCGGAATGTCGTCTTGTCGAGTTCTTCCAAGTATTATCGTGTTCTTGGCGCGGTTTTTAAAATGTCGTCGGCAGAGCGCTCTAGCGGCGGACAAAATAACTATGTTGATTCGCGTTTCAGTATTCCATGCTACACGTGACTCCGCCTATGGCGACGCCGGACGCGCTGAACCGTTGCGCGGACCTCAGCAACGATGCCGGTTTCGCGGAGATAGACAAGGCAACGTTGCAACACGTGAAATTTCCCAACGTTTTCGCTTTGGGAGATTGCGCTTCGTCGCCTAACTCAAAAACGGCGGCAGCAGCAGGTATTACTAAATTAAAAAACTAATAAGATTTAATTTTATTAATGTACAATTCGTACGATACAAGAAGTTCCTAATGCGGGACCATATTATGTGGGAAGAACCACGTACAGGGTGGCCAATATAAAGTAACCCTATTTAGAAGTTTTATTTTATTATATTTTTGCATATACAGGACACCCAGTGTTGGTTGGATAAACGTAACTTCATTTTTCTAAAGGGAACACCCTGTATATTATTACATTTTTGGATTCTCCTCAAGTTTCTACGCAAATTTCATATATAATCTTCTATACCTATGCCTGATGGATTTTGACATTTGTAAGTTTTTGTGTCAAATATGTGATTTGCAAGGCCGATTTTTCCTAAAGGGAAATCATTATTTTTCAATTTGGGTTTAATACCTTATAGACAAGAACCTACTTTAATAGAATTCCTATAATGTTTTGATAACTAATAATACAGGGTGTTCAAAAATTTCATCTTATATCTTATTTATTGTATAAGGTTGCCTATGCTGAAAATGTTCAATTTTCGAAAGATTGACAAATTAATTGGTTGGCTATGGCAGCGTTTAAAATCGATAATATTCCAAAGAAATGTATCAGGCTGGCTGTTACTATTTCAATATTATCAATAATTTTTTGATCTAAATTTTATAAAATAGGCCATATTTTTGATTAAAATATATCAAGTTTCGGCATTTTTTTTATTAATAACTAAAAATAATAAAACGTAAAGAACAACCAAGTTGGATTTGGAATGCAACGATAAGTATTATAATAAATCTACATGTCTTCATATATAGTTTCCATTTTATTTATAGCATCACTAACCATGTTGGATCCGTTGATATCAAGTATTCCTTGCCTTATTTTCTCTCTTAAATTTCCCCTATTTTCAGTCCGATTTTGATAGACTTTATTTTTGAGGTTTATCCATAATAAGAAATCTAAAGGCGTCAAATCTCGGCTATGAACTGGCCAAGGTATTGTTCCGTGTCGACCTATCCAAGTTGGAAATCGGTTGTTCAACCAGTTAATAACAGACCTTCGCGTATGATACGGAGCACTATCTTGTTGAAAGATTAGATCATGTTTAATTTTTTCCCGTAACTCTTTTAGATATTACACCACACCAAACAAATGCACTTCTGTAACCCTGCTTCTGAATAATTTTAGTTTGTTTCTAGTAGACCAGTAGTGGTTATAGGTCCATCAGTCCACAATACTTTTTCAAATATATTTTAGTCAAAGTAACGGTCCATGACCAGATTGTTATTGCTCAAAAAAAAAAAAGATCTGGAGTTTGTGACCAGAAAAGACTACTGAAAGATTGCCAATAATGCGGACTTTCCATGGAAACAAAAATAAAAAATAGAGGTTGTACAGCAAAAGGAGTAAAGGAAGGAATTTTAAAGGTACTAGGTATTAGCTCTTGAAATGGACTTTCAGAGGAGGACAACAGAAAAGTCAAGAATGGACAAAATAAGGAATCAAAGAATAAAAGCAAGGAAAAAGAAGATCTGAGTTCGTGACTAGAAGACTACTCAACCAATTATGTGGCCTTTCCATAGGAACAAAAATAGAAAACAGAGGTCGGAGAGCAAAAGGAGTAAAAGAAAGAATTTTAAAGGTACTAGGTTAAAGTCAAGAATGGACAAAATAAGGAACCAAAGAATAAAAGCAAGGATGAATGTTGAAAGTAATATTATAGAAGAAATCCAACGAAGACAGTTGATATGCTAGGAGCAGACAAGATTTCTCAAGATAATTCTGAAACACATCTAGGAGATGAGAAGATAAGGAGATGAAATGGAACCAAATTGCTTTTTTTCCATTCGGCTGGCAAAACCCTTAGCTGCAAGTGTTTTATTAAAGTCAATCAATCTACGGCTTTCCTATGGTTTAGTTTCGCTATAACTTGTTGTATTTCTTCCAAATTTAGGTATAGAGTTTTTCGATTCTTACGACTGTAATTGTTGCACACGTTTTGTATGTAATTCTGAGTAGAACCCAAATTTTCTTTAGTCCTTCGTATAAGTCATGTTTGATGGCGTTAGAAAATTTCTCTCTTTTGATTGACCGCGTTTCCTGCAACTTTATTAGCATTACCATAAAACGCTATTATTATGAGCGGGGATTAATTTTTGACGATTTTAGCCGCCCAAACGGAGGTCGTGTTCGAGAATCTGCAGGACGTGATGCGCGGGAAACGACCTCGGCTCAGTTACGACGGTTACGCTTCCTGTCCTTTAGTCACGGGTTTCGACAGGTGCATTTTGGCCGAGTTCGATTACGACTTGAAACCGTTGGAGACGTTTCCGTTTTCCCAGGACAAGGAACGTTATTCGATGTTCGTGCTTAAGAAAAATATCATCCCCACAATTTATTGGAGCCTGATGATGAACGGCCATTGGAACGGACCCGCCCTCTTTAGGAAAATCATGCATTTGGATTTCACGTCCAAAGACAAGTAAAAATTTTATCGGATTTATTAAAAAACAAAAAAAATGTGATCGCCAAGAATATTGTGATAGAACTAAAATGATATGTTAGCGTAAATATTGAACAAACTCGCGTGTGAGGTAAAATATTTTATCGATTTTTAATTTTTTATTGAATTATAAAACATATTATAACGTGCGTTGCGTTTGAATAAAATTTTTCGTATCATTTTGTTTCATTTATTTTCTTTTCGGAGCTGGAAAAAGGTGAAAAATACGTATAATTTTTTCTACTTCCGCCTGTAAAATACTTAATTTCACACCGATCTAGCGTGCGGGAAGCGTCAATTTACCACGTCAGTTTCGTTTCCCACGGATCCGAACCACTTCGGACATTTCCGGGAGCAATCGGATTTTTTCGGAGATTTTACCGCACGGCTTGAATTTTGACGTTTATCAATTCTGACGTGTATTCGTGTTGTTTTGGCAATAATTTACCCAAAAACTAATACACAGAAAAATGTTATGCGATATATCGAACAATTTAAATACTATTGCTATAAGGTACAATTAAAATCTAGTGGACTAGTCGGTAAGTAAAGTGACACTTAGAATTTAAGTTGCCCACAGAAATTTTACATACCGTTCGCATGAACTTGGGTGGTTTTTGCAGTTTTTATGTTATGAAAAAGTATGCAACACGTTTGGTTAGTCTTTATCTCACTCGTGAGTCAAATGCCTTTTACCGCACTTGTTGCATAATATACTACATAATACCAGTTCAACACTGACAATAATTTCATGAAAATATCATTTAATAGTTCAACCAACCGGCACAGACTGTAAACAATCGGCGAGTCACTCACAGGAGCAGGAATATTCAGGGTTGAACAAAAAGTTAAATACCACTGCAGTGTTTTTATTTGTAATGAAACACCCTGTATTAATACTGATTTTTGGACTTATTTCTGTTAAAATTTCAATTTTTTCGTATGAACTGATGATGAAATGATTAAGGTCGATAAGTTTCGATATGGCTAAAACTCGGCATAATCGTGGCGTATGGTTTGGATAAAGTTGATTTTTGAGTTCTAAATTTATTCGCCTTCTTAGGGCCCGAAATATCGATAAAAAATGGATTTTATCGTTCCATTATCGACAATTTATCGATATTCGCGAAAAATTATGGATGAAAAAACGGCTCAAAATTCGATTATACTTTTTGAAAAATTATATCTGCTTTATACACTTATAGGGCCGAAATTGGAACTATGCATACTTTCTGCCAAAATTTCAACCTTTTCGTATGAAGTTAAGAATTTAAAAAATAATAATTTTCGTTGTTCCATTATCGACTATTTATCGATATTTGCGAAAAATTATAGAAAATTCGGAATCCCCGACCTTGAACCACCCCTTTTTAAAAATCTATCTCCAAGTACCCATTGCGACTGAAAAGACGACTCAAAATTCGAAAATACTTTTTAGAAGTTTATATCTGCCTTATACACTTACAGCGCCGAAATTGGAAGTATGCATACTTTCAGCCAAAATTTCAACCTTGTCGTATGAACTTAAGAATTTAAGAAAATAATAATTTTTATCGTCCCACTATCAACAATTTTAGATATTTGCAAAAATTCTAGATAACTCAGAAACTACGTCCTTGCAAACCCTCGAAATATCTTTTTAAAATTTACCTCGAAGTTGGATGGTAATTTTTTTAAAATGTTATATTTGTTTACTTTGGTCCTTCCTCTAAACAACGATTTCAATAAGTTGATTGTAGATCTTGCCGTTTGCTTTCAATAATTGTTTATTGAAAATGGTCTAAAATTTTATAAAGAAATTAATTAAAATTAAACGGAATAGGATTATTAGCACTTTAGGGTACCGAGCCGATAGACTTCCGCTTTCTCCCAAGAATTTAAAAAAATAATAATTTTTGCAAAAGAATCACCGTAGACATTTCTCGATAGAGGTCTATAATTTTCCATACGGCTAAAACTCTTCATAACAATAGGGGATTGTTATGGTATGCTTTCGATATGGTTTTACATTTTATAGTTACACTATCGACAATTTATCTTAGTTATCTCTGACGTCATAAATCATTTCTGAGATTTCGAGTTTTTAGCACTTTCCGTGAGGTAATCATCTTTAAATAATAAACAAATTAATCTAAACAATTATAACGCATTAATTATTTGATTAATATTGAAGAGAACGAAAAAAAGAAATAAAACTTTGCCTTTAATTGTAATTTTTTATTTGCGGAAAACAAAAAATTACCATCGAAATTGCTAACTATCCGTGTTAAGAATGTCCTTGTAAGAAAATTTTGAAAAAAACATTTAAAATATTACGTTTACCTTGGTTTTTTAGTGATTCTTTCCCACTTTTTTTTTAAGTTTTAAGTGTTTTTTTATACATTATTTTGTTTCGTTGTGTTCTAGAATTGATTAATTATTTTAATTTTCTCAATTTCTATTAGCATACATGGTTTCTTTATGAGTAATCGAATGTAAATTTGGAATAATAATACGAAAATGGATAAATTGTAATAAATATTATTTAAATAAATATATTTACAATACAACTTTATTTTTAAATTGTAGTCAACAACTTACTTAAAGTAATTATGTTATTTTTCAAGAATACGTGGGTATTTATCGCGAAAAAAAGATGGACGCCGCGCTCCGTTCGAGGCCATATTTTATTGGTTCGTGTATCTCGTGGCACCCTCCAGCGTTAAAGGTTTTCAAGTTATTCGCTTTTAAACGGGGCGGCTACAGAGAACAGATAGCGGGGAACAGAGAACGGACCAAAATGAAAACGTCTTTTATTACGACGCCGATTTCGTCCGTTCTTTTTCAATCTAATGAAAGATCTATTCCGAACGACTAGATAATCTTGTCATATCCCCTTTTAACCGTGATTAACACACTCTAAAGATAAGATTAATAATAGATGCCAACGTTCGAGTCGTCGAAATCCCGGGATTTTATGCGTTTTAAATCCGTCGGTCCTGTTGCCGCGATGGTGCTGTGTTGCCGAAGAACTAAACCAGCCTTGGATGATGAAGAGGCTCGGAAATACACGAAGCAGTTCGCGGAAACGAAAAAAATTTTGCTTTTGGGGACCGGCGAGTCGGGAAAGACGACGATAATAAAGCAAATGAAAATCCTGCACATAAACGGTTTCTCCGAGGAGTGAGTGCGATTTTTAATTTTAAAGTTTAAACGGGCTGTGGTATGCAAAAAACTTCCAACCCTCAAATCGATAATATCTTTTTTTTTCTGTTTCGGTTTGTCCTCTGTTTACAATATTTTTTCAATTTTTTTTTTTGACTTTCATTTATTAAATGGAGAGTTACAAAAAAAATAATTGAGAATTCTTTAAACAGTGCGTAAAGCACTGGTCCGAAGAATACAAATAATAAATTTTATAAAAAGAATAAATAGAACAAAAAAAAAGGTAAGTATACAACCCATTACTTAATGTTATTACTATTATACATTGTAGAGTACCTATATTTAATTTACATTTAATTGAATAACTGTTTTACAAATTTAAAATATTTATTTGTATTTCTTAAATTTTCATATTATTTCTTGTAAATCATTCTCACTTTCACCACCATAAAGTAGCACCGCGCTGTAAGCCCTGCACACTGCAAATTTAAGGCATATAACGAGTACAACAATGGTCCCAGGACTGAACCCTGAGGAACGCCACATACACTCGATTGCATTTCACTTTGAACATATTGTTTTCTATCCGATAAGTAAGTTTTTATTGGCCCGTAAATACTATCTCTGAAGCCCATATTATTTAATTTCGCTAATAAAACGCCTATACTGACATGGGACGCTTTCTTAAGGCAGATATATTTAGATATAAAAGAGACCATTCCATTTTTAACAATAGTTTTTATTATTTTTGAGAAGGTGCTAACTAAACTTATGGGTTTATAATTATTAGGTCAAATTTTACTAATTTTTAATTCTTCGCGAAATTTACCGGAAATAAGAATGTCATTGATTATTTTTTTGATAATAAGGTATCAGCACAGTCTGTAAATTGACGTCTCTGGCCGTAACTTGATCATGCCCATCATGGACAGTATTTCCTTTGTGTTACTATAAATGGCTTCCCTTTGAAGAAAATTACTTAAGTAAATCTGAAGAAAAAGCAAAAAAAAAAATAAAAACTTGATATTAACGTCTGCTTTGAAAATGTATGGAATTTATAAAATTTATGTTTATTAATTTAACATTTCGCACTTTTTGGAAAAGGTTAAAAATGGATTTTTTATATATAATTTTTATTTAATATTTTTTTAATTAGGACGGACCACAAAAATTTTTCGCATAAACTAAAAATTATTTTGCAAAATCGGCGAAATCTGGAAAATCATTTAGAAATCTGTGAAATCGAATTTGAGAATGAATTTCCTCAAATATAAATTGCCAAAACTGACCTAAATATAATATTTTTATTTATTTTTTTTTTCTCAATTTCAATTAAGTAATTTTCCTCATAGGAAAGGTTTCAGAACATTAAAAACATACAAATAAAGCACAACGGACAAAAAAGGGAGAACATATGTTTTATTTTCACAAAGATTTCGCTAATTTCACAGGGCATCAAACCAGTTGTAGGCACCGCTACACCACAAATTAAATTAATTTTCCAAAAAACTTAAACGTAACTATATCACTTTTACTGCAACAAAAGATAGTCGATTGAAGACCTAACAAGCCACGCATTTCGCTACCTTTTTTATAACTTATAGTATCGGCAAAAGAAATAAAAACGAAATAATCCGCAACATTTTCACCATTAAATAGTAATATTCATTCTTTTACCAATATCTATAATAATTTCACAGATTTCACAAACATTGAATGAATGAATGATTTTCAAATAATTTTTACGAATTTGGCTGATTTTGTAAAATAATTAATAAATAAATTAAAATGAAAATAACGATATTAATTTTTCAAAGAAACTTCCACAGCCTACTGTAATGCTGTTTACAAAACTTCTGGATTCCTCCTGCGTCGGTTTTTGCTGAGTCGAACTTGCTAACGTTTCGACTAAGCAAAAACCGACACAGGAGGAATCGAGAAGTTTTGTATAAAGCAACGATATAACAATTTTATTTTTTTTTTTTTCAAAATTCTGTCTCTCAAATATTTTTTTCCTTCTGATATAGAAAACTTATTTACGTTAGAAGTTTAATAAATAAAAGAAAATTGTCTCTACATTGTGTATGTTTCTTTATACAAACCATAATCATAACTAACAAAAATTTGAAAAATTGAGATTATACTGTATTCTGTACACTGCGATTGTACTGTATCTTCGTCATATTCTGGGATATGGTCACTTGCAGTATTTTAAATTTTTCCCGTATAGCATTTTACTTTTTTTTATACTCAAAATGTTCCCAAAGATGCGACAATATTTCGAGTTTTTATTTATTTCACCGATATTAACACCAACATTTGTCTATCTTTTATTGCAATAAAAGTGATTACGGCCCCTAGCGGCGTTACGACCAATCTAAATCAGTCCGGCAGCGTTAATAGTCATACTAAAGTATGATATATGTATTCCCCAAAATATTCGAACAACTCCGCACTACCCTCCATCGGTTTGGTTGGTGCGAAAGCACTGAATATCGATATTTTTGGCTTGAAGAGTTTTGAGCAAGACGTATCAGAAAAGCTAAAAAATATAAGATTATTTCGAAAAAAACGATACTTTAAATTCAATAATGCTAATCACGGCCCCTTACGACCGTGCTAGCAACTAAAAAATAATTTCAAGTATTTTCTCTGTTAAGCATCGTTTTGCCTTTCAGGGAGAGGAAAGCGAAAATTCCGAACATCAAACAAAATATTCACGAGTCAATTTACGACATTGTGAATCACATGAACAAAATTTCTCCCCCAGTCGATACGGCGGAAGTAATTTCGAAAAAATCAATCGAGTTTATTTTGGCCATCGGCCCGAACGAACCCTCCGAATACACGCAGGTAAGAGTATTTTGCAAAAAATAACTTAAAACAGACTCTAAAATTAATAACCAAAAAAAGCCGACTCACCGGCGTAACTCCTTTCTGCCCCGTCAAAGACTTAACAAAATCACTAACCACTGCACAATTCATTATTTTCAAAAAAAGTTACAAACTCTACGCAAATTGTTCAACAACATTGAAATAAATTTTTATCAAACCAGTTGTACGCAAACTCACAAGGACCTTTACTGCTGCACCTCCACAAAAAGAAGTATTCTGTCAAACCAAAGCTTATCGATCGGTGTCGACCGACGACGCCTGGTTCTTCTTTTTTTTGCGCGTTGGGCCACAGTTTAATGATTGCCAAGCGAACCGGCCACGTATTCTCAGGTCGTCACAGAAGGTTGACATATTAACAACTAACCAAAGATCTCGAATTTTAGTAGTCAGACAGATTTAAACTCACCAAAACTAATTATTCCGAGAGCTATGTAATTAGGACAATGTACATATTTTTTTTACTCCTTTTTTGTGGTAATTTGTGTATTCCATCGTATATTGTTGCTATCGAACAATTTATTCAGTTATTCATTGTTCAGTGTTTCTGGCGCCCCATGTTGTAAGTGTAGATGCAAAAATGATTGACGCACTTGGGAAATTTGAAAATTACATCGAGTGAGTTTTAATCATGAAATACTTTTGCTCCTCGTTACTAATTAACCTAATTGAGTAATAACATAACTAAATCTTTATTAATTGAACTGAGGTGGCTTTTACTTGATGAAAATCCATTTATTATAATAAATAAGAACTAAAAGTTCAGATTTTCACGAAATTATATATTATGACATGACAATTGTTTCGACAACATCGTGTCTGTATCAAATGTAATATTTACAAACTATCTGCTACTATATACTGAAAAATGACCATAAAACCTTAATTAATGTTGTTGCAAAAATTTAAGTTCAATAAATTAGAGGTATTTAAATCTAATTGATCATTAAGCAATACATTTGAATGTCTCATTTTGTTAATCTCCATGGCTTCCAATAAATTTAATTTTCTACTTTGTGTGACTGTGTGTAATAAATTGTCGTCAAAAATGTGTTTTTCTGTGTTTAAGTGTGTAGAATAATTAGAATCTAGATTATTGTTTTTAAACGCTCTTATATGTTCGTTAATGCGTTTCTTGAAGGATCTACCTCTTTGTCCAATATAAATTTTAGGACAAGATCCACATTTTAACCTGCTGTTATGTATGACTGTGTCATACATAACAGCACATAATACATAACATAACATAATAGCTTTCAGAACTAACAACACAATAGGAAAATATTTAAATAACAATAAATCGAATTGTCCAAAATCCCAAAAATCAGGTGTCTACAGGTTGAAATGTGGATCTTGTCCTAAAATTTATATTGGACAAACAGGTAGATCCTTCAAGAAACGCATTAACGAACATATAAGAGTGTTTAAAAACAATAGTCTAGATTCTAATTATTCTACACACTTAAACACAGAAAAACACATTTTTGACGACAATTTTGATATATTACGTACAGCCACAAAAAGTAGAAAATTAAATTTATTGGAAGCCATGGAGATTAACAAAATGAGACATTCAAATGTATTGCTTAACGATCAATTAGATTTAATTACCTCTCCTTTATTGAACTTAAATTCTCGCAACAACATTAATTAAGGTTTTATGGTCATTTTTTGGTATATATATAGTAGCAGGTGGTTTGTAAATATTACATTTGATAAAGACGCGGTGGTGTCGAAACAATTGTCATGTCATAATATATAATTTCGTGAAAATCTGAACTTTTAGTTCTTATTTATTTTGATAAATCTTTATTATTCCATGGATATATTGCATGTTATGTGAATATCCTTAAAAATATTCAGATTCATTTCATGCGTAATTTGAACGGACTGATATAAAAACATTTTTGAACAAAAAAACGTTTCATTGTTTTCTAGAATTGATTAAATGTTTGTTAATGTTTTGAATTTCTAATAGTATACTTGGTTTGTTAATGCGTGAAAGCAATCAAATGTAAATTTTTAGAAATAATATTAAAACAGATAAGTGGTAATAAATATTACTACTATGCTATTCACAATACAACTTCATTTGTCATTTTAGTTAACAACCGCCAGTAGCTCCTTTTGCAACTTGTCTTTCTGAAATTGTTTCTTATTTAATGTAATTATGTCATTTTTCCAAAAACGTGATTATTTTTTGCCCAATACTAATAACTATTTTTCCTGCCTTTGATGTATTAAGCTGGAGCAATTTTTAATTTTTATTTGACTTCCCAATATCATTGATATAGATTGAGAACATCAGAGGTCAGAGATAAAACATTTTTTATTAGTTTTAAAATTTTAGCTTTTTTGAGGTGAAGATGTGAAATCGCACCAAATGAACGAACTTACTCTTCTTAAAACCTCTCTTCATAAGACTAGAGATAGTTTTAAGTGTTGACTGAAATTTTTTAAGGCGGAAATCCATATCTGATCTGTAGTTATTTCAATAACATTTACTGCCCTTTTTGAATATGGGGTTAATTTTAGATGCTTTAAGACCTTTAAGACCTGCTTGTATACATAATTATATTATGTTTGTTAGTAGTAGCAGTGGGTTTTTAATACTCTAAAATCTATTAAGTTATCTATTAATTAAACTAACCAACTTATTTTACCTGTGTGTTTCTTAATCAATTAGAAGGTTTAAAAGTTCAAAATTGGTACACCAGATTTCACACAACCATATGATTTTACAGATTTCACCGGATTGCACATCGATTTCACAAATTTCCAAATGATTTTCTATATTTCACCGATTTTCAAACATAAATTTTAGGTGATGTGGAAAATTTTGGTATTTCTGTTTGAACACACCTCGTATTGTATATTTGTTAATAGTCTAGTATTATCGAATTGAAATAAAGTTACCTTTTCGCAGGAATATTTTGATCACGTCCGAGTCGCCTGGGCTGACCGGGGAGTCAAAGAGACCTTTCGAAGGTCCAACGAGTATCAGCTGATAGACAGTGCAGAGCAGTAAGCACTTTTGTATAATACGACCAAAAATATAGTGCGTTTATTGCTTTGACGTTTGAAGTATTTTACAGTATCTTAGCCGAAGACCTTCGCACGACCGTGGTCCCAACAGATGTTTATTCTGCATTAAGTGCCTGAGATGGACCGTAACGAATATTTGTAGAAACTTGAATTTTTTATTTGAAACGTAAATGGACCGTTTTAAATTTGATTAAGTATTGATGCTGCGGGGTATTTTCGAATAGTAGAAGTGTTTATTTTAACATCAGGTGATATGTATCGTTATTAAAAGTTTAATATAAATTGCAATATGTTCGTTACGGAGATATTTGACTGTGATCCTTCCAGTAAGTACGTATTTATGATTCTCGAGCTTTGATCCTGCGATGCTGCTTTCACTGGATAGTTCAAAGGGTAAGGGTACTCTGTACTCTATTTAACGTACAGGTAAGTTTGAAACATTCTTCTTCCTATTTATTAGAATCTTACAATTACACATTTTTTGGAGGATCCTCTTTTCTAACACTTTAAAATGTGGAGACCGTGGAAAAAAGCAGATGTTTCCCTGTCAGAAGAAGACATGGAAAACATGGTAGTCGAATCTAATGACAATTTAGAAGATGAACTACCTGAGCAAATAAAAAAACGGATGCTAAACAAATTGTTTTGACTTTAATAGTCAAGAGGAAAGTTAGAGAAGATGCTGGTACTTCGCGAGTTTTTAAAGAGCAGAACTGTATAAAAAAAAGTACTGACAGACATAAACATTACTTGTGCCAAAGAGTCGTTGCATACTTTTTTCGATTATTTCAATGCAATTGAAAAATTTCGAGAGCAAAATAGGTTGGTAGTGTAGTTAGACGAAATGTGGTTCGACACTCACAACACACTAAAAAAAAGATGGTGTGATAACAGTAGCAAGGGAGAAGATGCTGCTACTTCTCTAGACGTGCCACCTTCACATGGAAAACGCATCATAATTCTTTATGCTGGGTCCAAAAATGGTTGGGTGGAAAATGCTTTATTTTTGTTTGCAAAAAACGTCAAAGATTCAAGTGTGGAACACTATGAAAACATGACCGTGGAAATATTTGAGGTCTGGTTTGAAAACAACCCATTGCCAAAACTATCCCCAGATACAGTTATTGTTTTGGATAATGTATCATTCAGCCCAAATTAGAAAAATTCCAAATACTTCTTCAAATAAAGAAGAAATTAAAGAATTTTTGTACAAAGAGGATTTATATTTTTAAGAGAGCTACACGAAAAAACAACTTCCGGAATTATTAAAAATAAAACATTTTAATAAAGACTACAACATCGATTCGATAGCACAACAAAACGGCCATGAAATCTTGAGATTATATTATATATTTAACCAAATTGAGATGATTTGGTCTGAGTTGAAAGCGAATGTAAGAAGAAATAACACTGATTGTGTGATTCATACTTTTTTATTATTATATTTAATATTTTGTAATATTTTGTATTTTGTAAAAACGTAATGAAATAGAACGTAACAAATTGTTGGGTTGTATTAATTTTTTTTATGTGCACGTTTCAAGAATTGCTCGGCGAAAAAGATCGAAAACATACTTATATCCTGCTTGTTAGTGTAGGCAGATAAATTCCTAGGACGATCCTGGAATGGTTACGGATAAGGGTCCGCTCGGCAGACAGTAGGCAGAGTTAATCACAGGGTCGCTTTTAAAAGCACTATATTTCTGGTTCGAGTATAATGAAATCGCGATTTCTGACGTTTCCGTTGCAGTTTTCTCGATCGGGTGGACGAAATCTGTCAGCCCTCGTACGTCCCGACCACGCAGGACATCCTTTTCTGTCGGGTGATGACGATGAACATATCGAAAATCGAATTCGAGGTGCCCATATCGAAATTCCAGGGCGGGAACGCCAAATTTTGGATGTACGACGTCGGTGGTCAGAGGGGCCATCGAAAACGGTGGATCCAAGCGTTCGACGGGATCCAGGCGATACTTTTTTTGATGGCCGCCAGCGATTTCGATCAAAATTTGAGAGAGTGCGAGAGCAAGAACAGGCTCAAGGAATCCTTCGACTTGTTCAAAGACGTCTACCAGAATAGGTAAACTAAACACGTCAAATATCCGAACGTTAGTTATTTAAACCTTTTCCCTACCCTCACGGATACGCGGATGACATTTTAACTTGCTACGTAAGTCGTACGGGCTCGCTAAAAAAAGTTTTTGTTATTTTTGTCTGTTATCTGTTCTCCGCGACGGACCTTCAGGAAGTCTTTGAAGCCGGATAAGTTTCTAACGGTTCGATTTAGCTTTAGCTTCCAATTTTCCGCCAATCTGATACTAGGCGACGCGCAACGGCTCGCGAAATATCTTATCTCTAATTAACTAGCTAGCCCTAGTTTTTGATATAGTTATTTTAGTTAATTTACTTGGTAATTGTAAAATGACAGTTTGTAAAGCTCAGTAGAGTGAAGCGATGGTGTGAATGTCACCTTATTTCTAACGTTCATGGTGTGTATGTGACTTCAAATTTTATTTTTTCATAAAAGCAGGGAGGGGATTTATTCATCGAAATCTTAGAAAATAAGCAAGCAAGCTTTTATATTTCGGGATTTTCGTAAACTAGCCGTGCCATCTGGCGACTAAGGTTTTTATAGGGAAGTTTGATATTTTGAGGTTAGATTTACTCAGTTAAGTTTTGCCGAAAGAGTGTTGTTTGTGTTTTTTGGGTTAAATTAAAAAAATTGTGACGGTTAAAAGTGGAACTTAATCGGGAGCACTTTCGTGCAATAATTTTTTAAAACTTTAGACGTGGACTAACTGAACAACAATGCATCGATTAACATAATTCGACTTTTGGAGTTAAAGCACTGTTCAGAATCCATTGTTTCTATTTTCAATAGAACTTTTAACTCACAAAAGTCGGGTTCGAGACCTTTTGGGATCGGTAATTTAAATTTGCGCGTTCAACCAGTTTCTCAAACCCGCGTAACCCATGTGACGGCTTGTGCGCAACCGCACAGGAAAAAGAGTAAGTTTTTGACATTGAGATTCAAAAAAAGAAACTTCCGCGTGGTCCGGCGCCAGAAGCAGAGCCGATTATATATATATATATATATATATATATATATATATATATATATATATATATATATATATATATATATATATATATATATATATATAGTATAGTCCTGATAACCTGATAAAGACACGGTGTTGTCGAAACAATTGTCATGTCATAATATATAATTTCGTGAAAATCTGAACTTTTAGTTCTTATTTATTTTGAACCAGAAGAAGCGTTTGATGCGTTTGAAAAGCATGTTTTGGAGGTGCCGGACTCGATGCGGGGAAAGTGCTTTGACGATTATGCAAAAGTGTATTGATCATCAGGGTGAATATTTTGAGAACCAATGAAGTCATATAGTTTTTTATTAAAAAAGGTAGCCCTCGTGTCTTCGATATTGCATGTTTTCCTTGCAATTGTAATCTCTGAATACGAAAAATATCAACGTTTCTCAAACATGGATAAAAGATAATCTCATAGAAATTTAGCTGTGATAACACTAATGACTCACACAACAATGTTTTTGTGTTTCTGTTCGAATAATCCTTGTCTTGGTAAATAATCTTTAAATGGAAATGAGCTTTTCAAGGCATTTATATATGTGATTTGAAAACCACAATTCACTGTCCAACAGTAGGCCTACATTTTTTACAGTGTCATACTGAATTCTTTTATCATTTATAAAAATTGTTTCTTTAAATGTAAGTAGAAAGGAACTTTTGTGTTGCCTCTGAATAAAATTATAAATAAATTTGTGTGTCATCGGCATAGACACGAAAGACATGACCTGGAAAATTTTGAAATATACATAGCGAAAAAGGTCGGGCCTAATAAAGATCCCTGTGGAACGCCTTTATTGAGGTTTAAAAATGAAGATAATTTGGTGTTGTGTGTCACTACTTGAACCCTATTACTGAGCGAACTAGATAGCACATTTACTGCGTTCACAGAAAATCCTATGTCATGTAAAACTGCGGTTACCAAAAGAATGATGGAACGTGTCAAAAGCGTTTGAATAATCCACGAGATTCGGAACAGTAAGTTTACGTTCGTTTAGAGCTTTGAAAATACCATCGGTAATTTTCAAAATGACAGTTGTGCAACTGTGTCCAGCTTTAAAATCTGATTGACTTACCGGTATAATAGTGTTGTTATAAAAATATGTTTTGAAGTTGTGAGTTAATTAATTAATTAACATTTTCAAAACGTACTTAAATATAATATTCTTGATTTGTTCTTTTCAAACTTTAAGTTTCTTAAAGGAACGGGCATTTTCAATGCATTTAGTTCGGAATTTCGGTTATTGTTAATTTTCTGTTGATAAAAAATTTCACCGATTCCGCAGACATCGAAGATTTCAGATTTCCACTTGAAATGGTAAAAAAACGGTTAAAACACAATTGGCACTTACCTTAACCTCAAAAATTGAATAGATAAAAAGAAATGTTGTCGGTTAATTTTTCAAAGAACTTCCGCAGGCTACTGTAATACTTTTTACAAAACTTCTGGATTCCTCCTGCGTCGGTTTTTGTTGCGTCGAACTTGCTAACGTTTCGCCAATCATCCTGTTGACTTTTTCAGAACTTGACTGGAAAGTATTTATGACGATCACAGCCTTCTAGACAACATTTTCAAAGATTCAAAATCTAAAAAAAAACAAAAAAAAAAGAAGAAGCCAACAGGCTGATTGGCGAAACGACCGACACCCGTCCATATATTTTAGATTCGTGAGGGACGCCGGCCTAATCGTGTTTCTCAACAAGCAGGATCTATTGAAAAGAAAAATTATCGAGCAAAATAGGAAACTCGAAAAGTATTTTCCGGAATTCGCTGGTTATGTTCCCGACAAAAAAGACGGTTGGGACGAAAGGGACGAGTATGACAAGGCTCGGTTCTTCATGAAAGACAAAATTATGGTACGACGACCGTCTGGCATAGATTTGGATGGTAAACGCGATATTTTTCGCTAAAATTTTAGGCCATCGCTTCGACGCCGGTCAATATCGAAAGCGTGGGATTCGTCCCAGGATACAATATAAACGAAGACCTGCCCCCTAGAGAAGTGTATCTACATTACACAATCGCCACCGACACAAACAACATAAAAAAAGTTTTCGAAAGCGTGCAGGAAATGTTGTTGAAAAATATTTTAGAAAAAGCCTTCAGTTTGTGATTTTATATTTAGATTAGGTTAAAAAATAAAAAATAATAAAAACACCTCCACTAGCAAAAACGAAACAGGTTAACATCAATTAACCTAGCAAAAAATTCCTTGAACTACTTTTTTAATTTAATCGATCAATTCGGTAATAGCCTGGCCGATTAATCCTGGTACATTTGGCCAATCGAAGTAAACAAAAATAGCAATTTGGAAGGAATTAAATGTTATTACTGATTTATTAGTCGTGACAGTAACAGTACAAATATCTTCAGAAATAAAAAATATAACGTAATCCTGTAGTTTACGCATTTGACAGATGTCATAGATACCAAAATTGTTATTTCTTTATAGCACTTTTCGGCCCTTGTTGCCATTTATTCAATTCACTTCAGTTTTAACATCTAAAAATCTATGATACTGCTGGAGTATGGATTATTCCCAAAACTTTAGATCACACGAGTATTGAATTTTTATTGATTTTTTTGATACTGTTTTCATGATAATTTTGAAACGCCATGTATCTTATTAAAAGTTTAACAAGGCGATTGTAACGTTAACCAATTGTAGGTATTTTCTTCTTTACCTGTATGGTCAACCTTACCAGGATCATTTAGTAAATTGTGGGGATTCGTTCTCTGGTTCTCTTTTCTTCTTCGTATGACGTATATTCTCTGCGTGGTCGAAAGCATTGTGTGTATATTTGTCCAAAAAGCTTTGATATCGGTTCAAAATGATTGACTTTTTTTAAAGTGTTTAGCGTTATCATGCGCGATGGTTAAAGGCAGGATGGCCGGTTGGTTACGTTATTTTGTGTTAATCTGTGACCAAAATGAGCGAATGGCCAAAGTAATCTTGTCCAACTGCTTGTGAAATTCGAAAAAGATATTCTCGGTGTTTGTGACTGTTGGTTCGTCGCCGATGGACCGACGAGCACTAAACTCGTGACGGTATGAGACAACACGCACATTCATCCAAAATAATTACCAGTGGGTAGACTAAGATTTCTATTAGGCTTTTTTTTTCACAATACTTCTGCTAGTGCCATCTGTTGGCGAGTAACTGTACTAACGGCAAGAACAGGAACAGGTTGATTTAGCAAAATGTTCTACACGTGAATTTGTGTTTGTCATCACTGGTGTTTTTAGAAGTATGCTGCGCAAATAACTCTTAGTTTTATGTGTTTGAAAGTGTTAAATAACGAAAGAAACTCAGACGCACATAATCTATCCTTTTAACGTAATAAGATGTCCAAAAATTTAAAATGTCAGAAAAGTTAGAGAAAATAAAGAGAAAGTGTTAGATGTTTGCTTAATTTTAGTTTTGCAGAAACAGGCGTTTAGTAAATTTCTGTTATTGTTGTTGTGAAGCAAATTATACTTACATGTACTATTATTTAAAAAAACATAGATCTATAGATACAGAGAGATAGACCCCACAACCTGACGGCAATGGTATAGAGTCAAACAAAGTGGCGAAGGACTAATTTTGTTAAGAAAAGCCCCATATTATTTCATTGATAAATGAATCCATAATGAAAGCAGAGGTTTTTATTCTGTATTAAAGCCTTTCTGCGAAAATTCCAAAATGCCCCCCATAATACGGCTTTTAACTTTATTTAAATAAATTCATTAACTGACAATAAAATTTCATAGTCGTAGGTAACAGATCAACTCACTATTTTAGCAAAGACCACTTGAGTTGTTCTTTTGCAGATTGCAAGACCTACGAAAAATTTAAACATTAGTAAAAATTAATGTACAATGACCAAAACTCTATAATAGTGCTATATTTTCGGTCACTGTATTACATAAACAAAAAATACATGTGTGTCTATTAGGTAAGCTAGTAAGGAGGATTCCCCTAATCGAAAATCACCAAAATAATGAATGAATGGCATTTGTTACCTGAGCAACAGTTTGCTCGCCAATGGGGATGTCATCATTTCTCAATGCTACCCTCGAGACTACCGAACTCGAATCGGCATCAATTATAATCCTAAAACCAAAAAATTACCCAAGACAACTCCAAATTGATTCCAGAAGTGTTACCCTCCGTCGCAAATTTCGTCCATGGCGAGCATGACAATATCCAAAGATTCCAACACGGCCCTTTTCTCTACATTTTTCCTTAAAATCTGACTCACTGAATCGTACAAACAATTTAGTACGCTCATCAAAATTAACTACAAATTAAAAGTACACAACATATTTCTCATTAAATTGTTTAACAAATACCTCGTTTTCATTCGAGCTGCCCATAACGTAAAAGAATAGGTCCACGTTGCTTTTATAAACGCACGTGAGACCGTCCAACATGATGATTTCTGCGTTCGCCCTATGCGTTTTGTTAAAGAGATTTTTTTCAAAAGTCCTTTGCTCCTTGGGTGTCGAAAATACGTTTTTATCATAATATTTGGCCAAAATTCGATTACCGTCATTATCCAAAATAGCAATTCCCTTTACTGTATATAAATTAGGTTCCTGTAAATGTTTTTATACAACGTATTTAGAGCAACTGATAATTTCAAAAAATTACCAATAATGATCCTTCCATTTTTATTAATTTAAGAGACAATTAAGAGGCGGTGCGCTATATTAGAGTTATATTTAAATTATTTAAATTGGAAATTGTTAACTAACAAAACACCTTTTCCACAAACACAACACGTATATGGTTATTTACATGATCTGTGAGGTTGTTAGTTTTGATCTGGGAGGATACATCACAGAACACCTATTAAATGGAAAGAGAAATTAAACTAGGGTCTTCAAAAGGTCTCCAACTACACAGTGTTGCCAAACTGCCATATTAAATCAATTTGTAATAAAATTCACATGTTCTTACTTTTCACATTTCACTTTTGGACCTAACACAATGCCTCAAAATGAAATCAAATTTTCAAAGATGTTAGCGAGATACTTTGCCATTGGCAACAATTTAACTGTTAAAAACAATTGCATCACTTTTGACATTGATATAAAAAGTTTAGCAACTATCAGAAATACTGTAACGAATAAACTAAAATCAAATTCTTAAGGTTGAAACGAAAATTATTATAATTGTCAACAGGATAAATAAAAAATAAATTCTCAACACAAAAAATACAATTTGGCAATTTTTCGTTTTGAAAACCAAAAATAAATTTAAACTTAAGGAATTCAAAGCAGAATAAATGGAAATAATTGAATATTTGGCAACATGGGCAAAACACTGCAAATAATTGTGAACTATTATTTTAGTAACTATGACCCTATAAATGCGTCAAATTTATGTATTTTAGAATGCAAAAAATGCTGACTGCCGAATTTTAATCAATTTACATGGTGCGAAGAGGTATTTCCACCGGCTGGTTGCGTGTTCGGCTGGTTTCATGAAAAATTGTCGAAGATGAGCGTTCATACTGTGGCTAAAATAAATGCCGCATTGCCGGTTCCGTAAATTTTCTGAGCATATTTTCTATCGGTAAAATGTTAGGAATTCGTTTGTAATAACATAAACAAAATCATTAAGGAAATAAAGCGTTATTCGGTTTTGATTTGGCATCGCTCGAAGAAATATTCTTGCGCGAAGGCGCGAACCCAAAAAGCAAATATTTATAATTTCGCGTCCCGAACAACGGCAACGTCGGTTCATCTATTTTCTTCGGCAAGCGAGGATCCATTAATCCCATAAAAAAGGTAATATTCTAATTTATTGCGCCAATCTTTCGATCGTTTTTGATGGAAAATTCTTAAATCTTGCGTTCGGTTCACGGCTTCGCAAATTCCGTTAATATTTTTTAACAAATCCATCGACTTTCGCTTTCGCTTGAGGCACACCGAAAAAAATACGTGATGTTTTCGACCAAGGTTTCGCTTATGTTTATTCTGAGCACTGTGATTACTTTCTTGGCAGTCTGACTGTTCGAAGAATTCGTTTAAATAAAGTCGTGGGTCGGCTTTGGTAAGCACAGACGGCATTTCTTGCAGACAGAAAAATGCCGGAACTGACTGAAGTGGAAAAACCGGCGGTGAACGAGGCGAAACCGGAAAAACCTGAGGAAAGTGCTGAATATTCGACGGATAGTGACTCCGACGAGGACATTCCTGAATTAGAGGATGCGGGAACGACAAACGCTAATGCGACGGCGTTCCCTGGGGCTGCGGCCGCCGGCCTGCCCGCCGACATGGTGTCTAAAGCTAAGCAGTCGAGGGGCGAAAAAAAAGCCAGAAAGATTATGTCCAAACTGGGGCTCAAGCCGGTAAGTTCAAACAGTCAATGTAAATGTTTATTTAGATAAGAAAATGTTTATTAAGGCTTCCAAACTAACAAAATTCTTCTATATATATATAGACGCAAAATCTATAATAATTAAGTCTCTGCCCTTTGTAAAGGATGAAATCTAGCTCAATAGGTCATATCACACACTTTTACAAGCCTAATTAGTAACTAAGTTCAAAATAAGTTTAATAGGGGTGAGTTGTTAAGATGTGATTAGTGCTCCTTGCTTTCGAAGTGTAAAATTTGAAAATCTTAATTGAAATGGTTACTAAAGCATTGTGTTTGACCTATGTTTTGGTTAGTTATTATTTTTTAATCAATTTTTGAAGATCATGTTTATCTGAAGAACTTGGAGACTTTTTCACTGTGAATTGTTTTAAAATGTATTGAGGAATTCAACTTCATTTTTATAAAATGTTGTATCTGTTAAGTTTATGAACCTGTTGTAAAATTGGTGGTCTGTATACTTTGTATTAACTGGCTTGCTGTTAGATATTTTTGTATTAGAATTTAATTTGTCTAACTTTAGTTTTTGTCTAAGAAACTTTTTATGAATGATAGATGAAATGTCTGTTCCAACTCTATAATCAAATGTGTCAAATTCTAGGGGATTAACTCTATGAGACAATTTATATAAATCTTGTTTGTATCCCGTTTTCTGTACTCGTGTCTTCTTTCTTGCTTCATCCATTTCGTCTGGCCTTGGATCTGGGCTTTCCTTGTAGCAGGACATGTGTTGTCGGTTTTTAATTTTATAAACTTGGGAAAAATCTTATTTTGTAGAAATTTGTTAAAAAACCAAATGTTTTGGGAACATATTCGGCACCGTAGAAGCAATTTGAAATACCAAATAGCCAAGAAATTATTTTCAGCTTCTTTCAAAAATTGAACTGAGGAGGCTTTTACTTGATGAAAATCCATTTAACAAAATAAATAAAAACTAATCAGATTGGATCAGAAAATCTGAACTTTTAAAACTTAACATTCTTCGCATTCTCAAAGTAGATTGTCTACATAAATAAGGTCCCGGCAAAAAAATAGCTTCAGCCCGAAACTTTTTATCGTAACATATTTATTGCAGGTTCAAGGAGTTAACAGGGTGACGATCCGCAAGTCCAAAAACATTTTGTTCGTCATCAATAAACCGGACGTGTATAAAAATCCGGTCAGCGACACCTATATCGTGTTCGGAGAGGCGAAAATCGAAGATCTGTCTCAGCAGGCCCAAGTGGCGGCGGCGGAAAAGTTCAAGGACGTAAATCCCGCGGGAGATGGCGCTGCCGGCACCACCACCACTTCGGTGGCCCCCATAGCGGAGGAATCAGAGGACGAAGACGTCGACGAAACCGGAGTGGAAGACAAGGACGTGGAACTGGTCATGTCCCAAGCGAACGTCAGTCGAGTGAAGGCGATCAAAGCGCTCAAAAACAACCAGAACGATATAGTGAACGCCATCATGGAACTGACGATGTAGAGTCTCGACTTACCTTTATTTTCTGTTTCGATCGAATTCATTTCGTTTTATCGCCTGGATTCAATTATGTGTTTGGTATGTACATAACTGAAGTAAAAAAGTAAAAACCTTAACCGCCTTATAATTCCATTTTGTCTAGCGGGTAAAAAAAGATTTTGAATATACAGGGTGTTTTATAATTGAATATCAATAATTGAGGGAGAGATTTTTGGGTCCATTTTAAAAAGAAACTTTATATGAACATATGCTCTAAACGTCTTAATTTTTGATGTTACACCTTGAAAAAAAAAACAAATTAAATTTCTCTAGAATTGATTGGAGGTTGTAAGAATATTTTTTATTTTAAGAGAAAACATGGAACAAAATGGACCGGTGAAATTCCCTACGCCCGCCACTGGTGTATTTTCTAAAAAATGTACGTTAATTAATGCTTCCTGATATATGGTACATGAGTGCCAAATTTTATTAAAATATCTGAAATCATATTACAGATATTAAGAAAATATATTTTATTTTTGACAACTTGCCGCACTGTATCACAAAAGTTAAGGACGTTTAGGACATATGTTCATATCACGTTTTTTTTTAAATAGTTCTTTTAATTATTGCCATTCAATTAGAAAACACCCTCTATAAGGGCTCAAGAAAACAAATCATGTCGCCAAAACCGTGTTTACGCGATTGAAAGATCTAAAGTTCTTGTAATTGCGGTTATCTCATTAAATACAGGGTGTTCGGTTTCTGTACTATGTTAGGAAATGTTAAGTGTCTAAAAATTGCAGCAAACGATTTAAGACTTGGCAGGGAAGTAGAAGTAGAATTTTTGATTTTTTTTTAGGCTATTTTGGTTTCCAAAAATATATAATTTCTCCAAAACCATTTGCCCTGCTCCCTAAAACTCTTGCTTCAGAATACGTGTGAGATGCGGAGCTAAAAGCACTCCTTTATGGCCCAAAAACCTTAAAAATTGTGTTTTTAAGAGTTATATTATATATATATATATATATATATATATATATATATATATATATATATATATATATATATATATATATATATATATATATATATATATATATATGGAACAATTTTTTTGTACAAGGTTTGGTAACTCGCATCGAGGGCTACAATTTTTGTTTTTCCTTTTTTTTTTACCTATCATATAGATATTGAGAAAATATGGTTGGAACTAGACGCGATGACGTCGTTTACTGACGAATGATGCGCCGCATAGTTTGAGAAAAAATTTATTTTCCCAGACATTTTTTCGATGTGTCCGCCAAAGGCAAAAAAAAAGAGTTATTGAAAAATTATTGAAAAATGAAAATTTGTGGTTTCCAAATTATATCGGGTTCCTTCTTTACTGCATGAGTTTCAAAATTTATAAATACCAAGATATTATACTATACCTTTGGAGGTTATATCGAAAGCAAATTGTAAAATGCCAATTTTTAAAATATTATACAGATATTGTGCATAATGTTACTACGCCTTACGTTCGAGGTTACGCACTTCATGTCGTTAAAACCTAACACAATCGCTTGTTATTCAACAAATAAGCCCTAATAAGGATCTACGTGTTTTAGTGGCAACTAAAAACAACAACCAGGTATTTTGAATTTGATAAAATTTATTCACTATCTACCTATTCACCCTTTATATATTTTTAGGATGTGAATTAAAATATCTTCTTGATTTATTTATAGTAAAAGTTCCAGATACATTTTTTTAATTCAGGAATGCAATACTCAGTGTTGCAACATTGTCACGGGATAAAAGTGCGCTTCTTACTACCCAAATTGCCGTTAGGATGTAAAGATGCACTTGTAATACCTAAAACATCTTTTGATAAGTGCGGCGATGCTCAACACTAAATATTTGCGTGACGTTTAAATATAAACAATGCCATCCACCTTGGTTGTTGTCGTGCCAGATTGTCAAACTTAATAAAAGAGGAAGAATAAGAAGAGATCTCGATTGTATTTCTATGCGTTCGACAACGTCCGACAATCAACATGGCCGCTGACATTTCGGCAAGTTCACAGTTTTTAATTTCATTGAAATACGAGCAGGTTACGTTAAATGTTCGGCAAAAACATGAGTTAAGTGTGTGTTTGGAAAGAAAATGGCGTAAAGTGCAGCGAATTTAACCCATTTATGACTCATAATTCAGAGAATATACCAAGCTACCTCAATTCTTTGTTATAGAAAAAAACCTTTTTCGAGGGAAATCATCGCGGAGGGACGAAATTAAAAGTACCGGCGAAAATTTCTACGACGTGTTTATTTCAATCCAGCTGGCGGACGCGTTTAACTTAACTAAGGTTTAATTAACTTCCAATACTCGCACAGTCAATTTTTATTCGTCATCGAGTACATCTTTCACTAAATAGACATTAAAATAGTTGGTAAAATGCGTAAAAAGATAAACTGTTTAAAATTATTTTCGCTAAAAATGATCACAGCGATGTAAAAATCATAATAAAATTTAAAAGAATTTTTCTTATTTCTTAACCTCAAACCGATGGCGAACTGTACAATTATAAAGACAAGTTTCAATCGTGGAACTGGAAATACATGCCGATTAATAATTAAGGCTCAAGTTAAGTGATTTGCTGACAATAAATATAAATAATGTACATATACAGGGTAAAAGTGGGGGATCGAATGGCGATGGGAGGTCGTATAGCGTCAAACTGCTTACATTCGACTGTTTTTGGTCAAAAGGATATTGGATTTTTTCATTTTTCTCAATCAACTTCAACTTATAACTAAAAATGAGACCCTTGAATTCTATCACCCCCTCAGAGGAAACAAAGTTTATAATTTCAACGATAAAAAATTATCTTCTGTGACGGCGCATTTCTATATTTGTTTTACTAGTGCAAAAATCATCGACCGAAAATGATTTTCACACGTTTCCAGATCCAAAAGAAATTGTGCTATACGAAAAATACGTGTGTATAAGCATTAACCATTAAACGTTTGATCGATAAAATAAATTAAGGGAACACAAATTAAACGTTTACCATGGAAAATGTCAATATTCATATACGGGGTGAGAAACTACCAAAGTTAATCGACCAAAAGAAAATGTCGGAGTGTCTCAAATGTATTGAATTTTAAAACGACGAGAACTTCCAACGTTGATCATAGTCAAAAATTGGTTAGTCATTAACCATTGATTATTTTTTGGTTAGTTGACCAAACCTAATTCTTGAGGAAGAATAAGGGATGACACTGAATATTTGAAAACGGCCGGGGATGTTGTAACGTAGAAGCGGGATAGAGGTCCCTGCGCTTCGAAGCGTTATAAAATAGGAAAAAACAACTTATTTGAAATATTTTAGGTTAGGATAAAGATATTGGTTATTGGGACTTTATCTGAGTCGCTAATGATATAAATATGATTAGGTTAGAAAACTCGCATCACCCACAACACGATTGACGGTCTAAAAAGAGGTATTTTTGAGATAGCACTCACGTTAACCATGGTTAACCTCAGAAATTTTTGTAGAAATCAAGTTCGAGATAAGGATTATACCCCGGAGGCCTGTTTTGCAACATCATCTTACATAACCTAAAAATTTCGTCTACGCATATTAAAAGTGTCGCCGTGGAAAATAAAAGATATTGGAGACGGCAAAAGCCAAAAGATAATAATTAAATTTCTCCATTTTCAGACGAAGCACTGCTAGACCTCATTTATAAACTATTTTAGAGCTTGTAAATTGGCCTCCTACCGGTTTTCTGTCCGTAATCTATATTTTCGGGTTATTTCGTCGAATCCCGTGCGTCTTCCAGTTCGAGATTTTTGCCGATCGGAAAAAAAAAATAAATAAATATAAAAAAAATTTTTTGATACCTCGAAACTTTGAAATTGGCCCGTATCTCTCGGTATTAGCACGGAGGAAAATTCGAAGGCCATGGTTCGCATCGTTCGGTCGAAAACCACGAAGAAGGTTACAGAGAACAGATACCGGGGAACAGATAACAGACGGGCTCGCGTTCACAGCCCAAAATCGTAGAAACGCTTACTTTTTCTTTTGATCGGTTAATGTAGCGTAAAAGAGGCTATAATATCGAGCCCGTGCCTACGAGATTACGGTCGCCGAAGCTTTTCTCGAGTTACGATCGAGGAATACACACTGTAAATTGAATTTAAAAAGTGGTTAAAAAAAAATAATTAGCTATAGTCGGTATCGAATCGGTCGTCGTGTTCCCAGCCTTTGCCGGGTGCCCTGGGGGGCTTCTTATCCCATTCGCTCCCGGATTTATGCCGGGTGCCGTCCTTGTCTTTCCAATTGGCAGCGGGGTCCTCGCCTTGCGGCGGTTTGTGCAACGTGGCCCCCGAACCGAGTATGGGCCTGCCGGTTTTCGCGAAGTTCTGCTTCTCCCTCTTGTCGTGACTGTTCAAGCTTTGACTAGAGTCGCTGTGAAAGCTGCCGCCGCCGCCGCCGCCGGCCACTTCTGACGAGCTACTCGAAGGGGAAGTGGCCCGATTCCCGTGGGCCTCCGAAGGCGTCGACATTTGCAGCACGTTGACGGAGCTCTGATAACCGTCGAGCGTTTTGTTCGCGTGAGTCGTCTGCACGCTGAGCGAGGTGCGCGTTCCCTGCGGATTAACGACGTTTTTATTTTATTAATGATTAGTGGCATAGTGCTAACAAGATTGCTTTCAAAAATCGTCGCTGGGCGGGGCAAGTTCGTGGCGCGTAGTGCGAAGCAGCTTTTTATTATAAAAGGAAACAGCTTCGCGGTTTCGTGTGGTAAAGGGACGCGCTGCGGACCATTATGGGACTTTCGCAAAATCGATGTAATTTAATTGCGCATTCACCCTGTATAAAATGTCCGTCGCATGTCAATTTGGTTGTCGAACGATATTTTTTCATATATCTCGCGCCCTGTATAATTGAAGAAACGACGTTTTTCATTTATCGCCAATAATTAACCCACAAAAACGGAAATTTTTAGGATCTTTTAGATTTTTTGCGAACAAACGACACACCCTGTATATGATTCAAACAATGTTCGAAGTAGATGTTATAGCCCTGGATCTTCCACGTTTCCTGGTTCAAGATTTTTTTCAAAATAATAAATGGTTTTCGAGAAAATAAGTTTTTTCTGAAGCCATACAGATTTCAATATGTGATAGACGAAAACCGTAAATACAAAAATTGTTACCCTTGATAGGGCCTATAACACTATTTGAACCGATTGGCCATATATTTTACGAGTTTTGATTTGCGATTAATAATTTATTCCAAAAAAGTACACCTTTCACGGTCTGTTAGAATTTTGTCCACAATTGAAAAACCATGTATATAATCAAAAAATGCCTAAAGTAAATGTCATAGCCCACATTTTCTGGCCCTAAAATTTCGCCGATCGGTTGAACAGTTTTTGAGAAAATCATGTTTTTCTGGAAGACAAAATAATCAAAGAAAATTTTTCAAATTTTTAAAAGAAATATTTGGTGACATTTCACTACGCTCAATTTCTACTGTTTAAATGTGCGTACGGACTTTTACTTCCTTGCCAAATTTGAAGTCGTTGACTACATATTTGAGACACATATGACGTTTTCGAATATAGCATAGAATATCCCGAACACCCTGTACAATATGTGAAAACTATATGGAAATATGAAAGAAACTGACAACGGAATCACAGTCTTCTAGTTATGGTCAATTATCAATATAAAGGGAGCTAAATCTTCAGTTTTTAGAAAATTACCGACGCACCCTGTACATTTTTAAAAAATCATCAAGAATAAAGGTTTTTGACCCGGATCTTGCGCGTCGTTTGGTTAAAGAATTTTTTGAGCGCATATACCATCTTGGAGTAATGATTTTATTCTCGGTACCCTGCAAGTGCGGTTTTTAAATTTTTAAAAATACTTCCCGACCCCCCGGCTTCGTTACGGAGCTAAGCCCTATATATCTGTCAAATTTCAAGTGGATGGCTTCGAATTTCGGACACTTATCGTGTTTCATAGCAATTTCCAAAAAACAGTCGAAAATCTAAAAAAAAAGATGGACGCCTTGGTTTGATCAGACTCATTTTTTACTGGTTTGTGTAGCTCGTGCACGGCTTAAAAGGAGCCAAATTTAAAGGCCATATTGCAGACCGTTCAAAAGATATAGCCAGTTAATGCCAGGTCTACAGAGAAACTGAAACGGAGAACAGAAAATTAAAAAAAAAATCTTTTTTCGACGCTGATCATTTGTGTACCAATGGGGGTCCCCTCGGACCTCCCGTTACCGATATATGAATTTCGTTGCCAAGCGCGTATACTTTCGAAAAGTAAAATTGCTTTTGAAAAATCGTAGCTGGGCGGGGCAAGTTCGTAGCGCACACCGCGAAGCATCTTTCTATTTTAAAAAGAGGGACGCATTGTTTTGCTATCGCGCTTCTCTGGGCCACTATAAAACTTAAGATGTAATTTTGGTAAATTTAAAAATTTGTACAATAGCGATTCCCAATTATATTTTTGCAAATATCTGGCGCACCCTGTATGAGAGACGAAACTTGAAACTCTCTCTCGACACTGTTTAAACCAAATTATCCTATGTTTTATACTTTTTCATTTACGGCTAATCATTTAACCACGAAAACGGCAATTTTCAAGATCTGTTGTTTTATTTTAAATAATCGACACACCCTGTCCACAATCCAAAAAATGCCGCAAGTAAAAGTTATAGCCCTAGATCTCCCACGTTTCCCGATATATGAATTTTTTCAATAGGATAAAGAGTTTTCGAGAAAATACCTCTTTTCTCAAACCATGCGGTACACCGTAATAGTAAATGACGTCATCGCGTCTAGATTGAGTGCGAGATATTGCGATTTTCAAATGATTTTTTTCAAATATCTCGAGCAGCATACGTAACAGACGAAAATCGTAAATATAAAAAATTGTTGCCCTTGATGCGGCCTATGCCATATAGACAATGAAAAGATTCGGCTCCAACACTGTTCCCTGGGGCACACCAAATTGATTTTAACTTTCACATTAAAAAAAAACCCTGTTCCCTGAGTAGGATTTGATAGGTAGTTTTTGAATCATTGCAGCACCATGAACACCATAGTTTTTTAAGTTTTTGTTAAAGGCTCTTCGAAAATCTAAGAAAATCACTCCTACAATTTTTTCTTCATTCATGGCATTTTTCCAGTTTAATAAGACACTTTGCGACGCGCTTTTGCAGGAGTTGTTTTTTCCTAACCTCAAAACGTACCAGAAACTCGACCATCGCCGGATCTCCGAGCTGCTCCTGGTAGAACTTTTGCACGTCGGGGGCGAGCAACGCGAATCGGTTGCTCGCGACCTCCAGCGCCAAGAGGAGCCACAGTTTACACTCTCTGGCGACTGTTTTCTCGGATAACAGCAGCAGTCTAACGACGCGTACGAGATATGCGATATTCTCGGGGCGCTCGTTCTTCAGCGGGGCGCCGTTCAAGTACAGCTGCAATCCAAGACGGTAAATCGCGTTTCCGCGATAATACAAGGCAGCATACTTGTGTCGCGAACAATTTGAGATCCAACGCATCAGCGGATTCGAGCAGCATCTGGAGATAAGATATCAACGGGACGGCCATAAACGAAAACGGCTTGCCGTCTGCCAACTTGGCTTTGTTGTAAAACTCGCCCATCATTCGCACGCTGTTCCTAAAGATGACGGGATTCTCCGTTTGAAGCTGGACCCTACCTAAATCAACACGTGAAACCTGGAAACAACCCACACCACGATCGCATACTTTCGAAATTATGCTGCAGCTTCTTCACGAGCATCAAACGGATATTTTGTTCGTGTATTTTCTGCGACATGAACGTCCTGGACACTACGAGCATCACGAACTTGGAGGCGACCTCGAAATCTTCCAGGCACGCTTTATGGATCGCCTCGAAGCTTCGCCTACGAGAGTGAACCCAACGAAAACGTTTAGGAATTGCCGCCGGCGGGACTTACTCGACGTCGGACGCGGTTTGACACTCCTCGAACCAACCGTCGAGGATATATTTGATCTTCTGGTTGAATTTGATGCCGTCATCCGCCAAGTTTAACTGTTTTATTTTGCCTAAAAGGATCGAAAAATCGCTGACCGCATTCGAGAAGTGTTGGTCGGTCGGCGACGGGCTAGAGTTCGGAGATGTGCCCGAACCCGGAGCACCGGGAACGTTTTGACTTTTCAGATTTAACCAGCCTCTGCCGCGACCGACTCCGCTAGCCGACATCTCTCGTTTACCAACTTATATTTAAAAAAAAAAGGCGCCCAAATTCTCGATAAATTCCCGAAACAAAATCACAGTTTCAATTAACAGCCACACAAAAAAAAAACGTTAACCTATAAAAATATATAAATATCCACACAGCACAGAACGCGTGTACCGAAAGCCTCTTTTGTTCTCGGCAGTCAATAAATAAAAAAAGATACGTAGCCAGTAGATGGCGCGTATTCTGTGCGCTATACAAGGTATGTTAGAAATTAGTTTGTCAAACCTTTACTCGTATAACTGATAATACGGGAACTTATGAAGCAACTAAACAAAAATGTATACAATATGTTAAACAAACGATTACTCTGTGAAATAGACTCATTTTAGGAAGTATGTAAGTATACCTAATGGTTTTTGTGATGGAAAATCAACCTATTTTCTTTATAAGTTGTTATTAAATTGTAGGATAGTAACTCTAACAATATATTATTATTATTATTTAACTATGAATCAAAATGTTGAGGAGGTTCGTTCAGCATAAGCATGCGCGAGATTTAAAAGGTCGTTCTCAACCAATGATCCATGCCCGTTGACAGATTTCGTTGCAAGGAAAATTTCTAATTCTAATTATTTGATTTACGTTATAAGTGATACTAACCAAAATGTTCATCTAAACTATGTAGAGTGTCAACAATCGAGAATAGTATATTTCGACCATTGAAAAATTCTTATCTGGTTCCTGACAACTTTAAAATATTTAAAACATTACACTACATTACATTACATTCCATTATGAGCGACAACGAAGAATTCGAGTTCCAGGAGATACCGACAGTTCACCACCATCACCTCCTCCAGTCAAGAGGCGTTGTTAAGTGAAGAAGAAGATACAACTTATGGAAACACAGGTGTATTAGCCAATTTAATGGAACGGAAAGTCGAAAATCTCAACACGGTAATGAATTTATTGCACCTAATATGGACGGGCGCTACTAGTTCAATTACAAACGTTGATCAGAACCCAAATCAAAAAAACGCAATTTAACGTTCAAAATCAAATTAACCAAAATAGCGGATGTTCTAAAGAATGAAACAATGAAAGAAATTCTATTATCAAAAAAAAGTATCGAGAATATATCTTGGGAGTCTTTCGAAGTGTACCTAAAAGAAGCAGAATTATTTCGGATATCGTCGACGCTAACCTTATCAGAGGAAGAGAAACATGTTAATCTACCGCCTAATCAGCGATGCGGAGGAGCATTATTTCTCGTGGCTCGTTAGATTTTTAGATTTAAGTATTGTACACTTGGTTCTAATCCACTTTACGCGTGTCCACGAGGTGATATTCTAAATTACTATTATACAATTGAAGAATCTGTTTTTATAATAGAAGATTTATTAGATTTTTATATAATTTCTTTTCGATATTTATAATGTTTTTGAGAAAAAAATCCCCAAAGTAAATACATTTATTTTATATGAAGATGCATCAAGTGGTAAATCTTTTCTTATAGATGTTATTATTAATTATGCTTTCCATTATGGAGTTATACAAAATTTTAACAAATTTATTAATTTTCCACTTCAAGATTGTGTCAATAAAAGAGTTCTAACTTGGAATGAAATTCAAATTGATCCTGGTCAAATTGAAATTATTATTAAATTACTTTTAGGTGGTGATATTTGAACGGCACCTATTAAATATGAACCAGATGCACAAAACCTTTTCACGATAGAATAATTAGTTATAAATGGAATCCTTATATAAAATTAAAAGAATATGTTAAAAAACCTTATCCTTTATGTTTAAATTCTTTATTGAAAAAATATATAATAAATTTATCTATTTAATTTTTGTTTACCTATTCCATCATTATTCCGACCAGCAAATGTATTACCAGAAAGGTATTTTTGATTAGAAATAACATTTTTAACATGCATCATTTGTAATACGATCCGAACCCCAATTAACACCAATAACAATTTCACATGTTATATCGAAATATGCTGCAGTATTTTGCAATAAAGTGACATCAGTTGCAGGATTTAATTGCGGAATTGAAGTAATACCAACATGTACTTGAGGTTGTGCGAAATTATTTAAAGGCGTTCCAGAGTGAAAATGAAAACCAATTTTTTCAATTGCTGTTTCATATTTATCTGTATAATATCCAATATTATAATCAGAAGTCATAGTTGTTGGTAATGTGTTTGGTAAAATACTAGACCCATCTCCTTTAAAATTAACACTATAACTTTTTCGTACAGAAATCTCAAAAGATCCCAGCATAAGGTAAAAGTGTATTGAGCAAAGAGATTTCATTTAAACTAGTACAAAAAAGGAACCCAAAGTCGCACGTTTGTAAAAAATAACTTTAATAAGTCGAAACCTTATAAAATAATCTTAAACATTACTCTTCACACTAAAGTAGCTATCCTCGGAATCATTATCCGAGCCGGGCTGCGAAGTTGTGGCCACACTCGTGGTGGCGCTGGTCTTTAATCTCTGCTTAAAGGGAATAACGTAGCGTTGAGCCACTTGCAAGGGCGGACTATAACCTTTTTGATAATTCGAATCTTCGAACAGTACCTCGTACTCGTCCATATGGGTTGCAGGTGGTTTATTAATCAACGCTTTGTAGAAGCAAGTCGTTTGAGGGAACAACGCTAAAACTAAGAGGTCGATAATGAGGCAAAAATTCTCACGATAGGAAACAATACCGACCCAGAGTGCCCTGTCGGAAGAGAGCTTCCGGATTTGTTTCCGGGTTGGCCCTCATTAAAGTCAAAGGTACCACTCGCTTTTTATTCAAGGTGTGCCTCCCCTCTTGATTTTGCTCTTTCAGTATATCATCGACTTCATATTTGCTGGTATTGTGGTTGAAGCTTACAACTTCGGCCAAAATCCAATTTTCGCCATTATCGTCGGTAACCAAGGCGGCAACCATGTCACCCACCTTAAATTGTAAAATTATACACTGCAACCTTGGCCTCCCAGATTGCCAGATTTGAATCCCTTGCATTATTTTCTGTGGGCTCTGTTAACTTACAAAAATCCAATCAAAAATGAACAAGATTTAATTAATAAGCAGCACCAATCATTATAAATATTATTAACCTATTATTTACTTTTTCAAAAATTTGCAAAATTATCAAACTTAACTAAAACTAGCGCTAGAAGTATTTTTTATATGAGGAATGTATGACATAAATGACAAAAAATCACATAAAACGCGACACAAAAAAACGTTGGTCTAACAATAAATAAAAAGTTAAGATATATATACCTAGTATCTCTAATTTCCTTACTCATACAATCAAAAATCCAAATAAAACAATTCCCTTACCTTTGCTATATAATTTCTTTCAGCTGGAATAGCTCCGCAAAGGGGCGGTGGTTTTTCTCCGACTTTACCAACAAACAGCGGCAAAGTTTGCGCAGAACTAAGTAACATTTTCATCCACGTCCCGCTCCTGATCGATTCTTTATTTACAGACAACAGACGGGCCTGCGACATTAAGATTTCAACTAAATTAAACATATTTTGGGCCTTAACCCGACCTGTATTCGCCTCTCGTTCTTTATACTCCTTATCTCGTAAATTTTTTGAAGGGCTCTCTGTATAACCTCGCGCTCTGCTTCTGTCTGGGTCATCAATGTTTTGCACATTGATTTAATTTTCTGCCAGAAAAAGAAATCGTTTTAGTTACAATTTGGGACCCAACAAATGGACACAACCTTTGAACTCTGTCCGCTTTCATCGCTACTGTATTTTTGAAGAGTGCTGACGCTCTGTTCACATAATTGCCTTTTCTTTTCAATTTCATGAACGATCGAGTGCAAGGATTTCAATCGTTCTTGAACTTGTTGGATTGCAACGGCGTCAGGCGTAAAAGCCATAATTGGTCATGAATGTTATTTTAGAGCATCAATATATACACATATATACAAAGGAAAATTAAATATGCACACAAATACACATATGTAAACAAATACAATTACAGACCATGGATCGCGTAATCCAATGCAAACTTCTAGTGTATTCTGTGCTTTTAAATTATTGGTAGAGTAATGTAAAGTACATTTTTTCGTCCAGTTTACAGCAACCGTTGCCAAAAAAAAAAATCCGCAGTGGACTGTTTAGGTCCAGAACAGCGGGGCTGTATGACACTGAAACATTCAAAACTTCCACTGCGGGGTTTTCTTCTACTTTCCACTACCATTGTATAAATAACGCAACGGAATGGAACTCAGCTTCACCCAAACCCTTGAATAAGATTAATGATGATAAACCAAAGGAAAAGAAAAAAGCGACGTCATTTTCCTTATTCGCTTAACGTCCTCGATCTAATATATTAACAGATTATTTAACAATCCATCGTTTCGTCATGGGAATATTTTATATTTTCCCGCGTCTACTACACTCAAACCCATAGATTAGGCGTCAACATTTAAAGAAGTTTCCGGTTTTTCCGATATTAGTTGTTAGCAGCAGCATCGATGGACGACGATGCGTGATTAGAAATTGACGTTTAGTTGACAAATAAGGTGAAAAAGTTCGTTTATGCAGGTTAAATATATGGTCATTGTATTGTGAGGTCAATTTCGGATTTCAAACTTACCATGTCAGAAAGTAGAGAAGAAATTCTAGCCGATTTTCAGGTGAGACGTTTGAAATTCATTCACGGATTCTTTCTTCGGGTACCAAACTCGCGTTTGTTGTTTAAGTGCCATGACAAAACACTGAAGGTGAAATTTTTGTTTCTTTGACAGGCGTGCACTGGCGTCGAAGACGTAGCCGAAGCAATTTTCCATCTAGAGGAAACCAACTGGGACCTATTAGTATGTATACTTTTTCGTGAAAACATTCCATAAACAAACCCTTTGTAGCGAGCGGTTAGTAGAGTTATGCCTCCGGATAGCCAGTCGTTTCATCCAAGAAATGATCCGGATATTATGATCGTGGAGGACGATTCGAGCGCGTCGTCGCAGCCGATAGAAAATGCCACAGACATGATGGAGATAGGTAATAATGTCGGTCATCTGCCGACAAAGAAATCTCACAAAGAAAAGTCCCAGGAAAATAATTTCGCCTCTACGTCGAGCGGGAGCACCGACGTTAAAATGCTGACGTTTAATATAAATTACTCCGATAGGCTGATTAAAATTAGATTACCAGAAAATGCCAACATAAGTAAGTATTATTTTTGTGGTTAATTTTACCAAGATTGGAACTCAATGTAAAATTTTAAAAGCAAAATGTAAGTAATAAAAGGGATAATTTAAACTAGTAATGGTGTAGGAACACACAGGTTGTTAATTAAAATCTTGATATACAATTTTTATATAAAATAATAATAGTAGGTAAATTTGGAATGAATTGGAAAAAAATTAACAGGTTTGCACTATCCAACAATTTTTATAATCTGTGGTTTGCATGAGTCATGACAGTTGATTGAAAATTCAGAAGGGAAAAGCCAGTTCTTCTATCATTTTTATGTTGTAAGTAATAATTTATCCTGTCTTCCAAAATCTACCAAACCTATATGTCATATTAAACCAAAAACTATGTTAATGTTTCAGTTTAGGTTATGTATACTAAAGCAAGTGTTATAAAACATTGTAGGCGATTTGAAACAAAAACTAAGTACCGAATTGAACGTACCTCCGTGCAGACAGATATTGTCGAATTGGGCGCGCCTGTCGCAATACGAGAAATCTCCATTTTCAAAGTTAATGTTGCCAGATGAAAATGAGTTGCATTTAATTGTGAAGTCTACTGGGGATGGAGTGACAGCGGAGGACGAGTGAGTTATCCTCGTTTAAGAAAGCTGCCTTCATTGATTGCTTATTGTTTTAGAAACGAAGTCACTCAAAAACTAAATGGTACTTATATGTTACACATCAAATACGAGGATAAGACCTACGATTTGAAATATGAGGGGATAAAACCCATTCTTCAAGTTAAAACGGATGTGTATACTTTCACCAGTATACACGTTAGGAATCAGATATGGACGGGTTGGCCCCCCAATATAGACGATAATACAATGTTAGCCTTGTCAGGAATTAAGTGCGTAATCACGATCGATTCAAAGTTCAGAAATTACCTCTATTCTTCTAGCTTTCCGGAACATGATTTGACTGTAAGAAAAAGCGCGCACTCTCAGCAAAAGGAAAAACGATCCATGCCCCAGATCGTTCAAATTGACAGTGATGACGAATTCGAGGACGCTTCGGAAAGTTTTAACGTCGACGACGATTATTTTGTCGAAAACGAGTCGTCATCGTCGTCCAAAAAAATGGAACCTTTAAGTAAGTTAGTAATGCATAAGGTGTGGGTGCCGAGTGTGGTTATTTTTGCAACGGCTTTGCACTCCTATTGGTGTTATGTTGTATCAGTTACAAATTTTTGAATTGATTGAAAAAACAGTTTTGAATTTTGACTGGGGAATGTTATTTTTACGAAACTTTAGTTGGTATTTGTGGTGTTCCATTTAAAAAAAAAAGGAATTTGGTATTGACATTTACTTTGTGACTTTTTTACTGGAAAAAATGAACAAGATAAAATAAATTATGATGGATCTAGACGCAACAACTTTGTTATTACATTTTTCTTTCGAAAATATAAAATAAAAAGTTAGATGTTTGTGTAATTTATGGTATTCCATTTGAAAAAAAAAGAAGTTTGTATCAACATAACTTTCTGACCCGCCCTGTATATTTTCGATTTACTGACAAGAAGGAGCAAGATAAAAATATGATATACCTAAATCCTGCAACTTTGGTATTAAACATTTTCTTCTGAAAATGTAAAATAAAAGAGTTGGATGTTTGTAAAATGTTTTTAAAAAAGGAAGTTTATATCGATATTACTTTCTGACCCGCTCTGTATACTTTGCAACTTTGGTATTAAATATTTCCTTTTGAAAATGTAAAATAAAAGAGTTAGATGTTCTTAAAATTTATGTTATGGCTTTCCATTTCAAAAAAGGAACTTGGTATTCACATTTACTTTTTGACCCTATCTACTCTAAGATAAAATTATGACGGATCTAGACCCCACAACTTTGGTATTAAATTTGTCTTTCGAAAATATAAAGTAAAAATTAGACGTTTGTCAAATTTATAGTATTCCGGAAGTTTGTATCAACATTTACTTTTTGACCCGCCCTGTATATTTTCGATTTACTGCAAAAAATGATCAAGATAAAATTATGGTGGACCTGAACCCTACAATTTTGGCATTAAAGTTTCCTTCGGAAAATGTAAACTAAAAAAATTAGATGTCGGTGAAATTTCACCCCTTACAGTTCCAGAGCATGTAGAAGACGAACTGATCGGAACCATCACCTTCGCGGAACGTTTCACCAACAGGTACGGCCCCATTCATCCCGCTTTCTATCAGGGAACGTTGGAGGACGCGCTCAAGGAGGCCTGCGCGAAACCAGCAAAAGACGTAGGCACAATTAACCGATTGTAATCAAGGCGATTACCGTGCTCTATTGCAGAGAAAGATCCTGGCCATATATCTCCATCACGACGCGAGCGTGTTAACCAACGTTTTTTGTACCCAACTGCTCGGCTTCGAGAGCATAATGCAGATCATCGAGAAGAACTTCATCCTGTGGGGTTGGGACATTACGTACGAAAATAACCGGCAAAAGTTTCACGCGGCCCTCGCGAATTCGTTGGGGCCCACCGCGCCGATAAGTTTGCGAAATATACCCGTGGACAGGTTGCCCGCGATGGTTCTGGTGATGAAGATCAGATCCGCCACGGAGATTTTCAACGTCGTCAACGGTAAGCGATCGAGAATCCATCCAAATCGACACCCAAAAATTATAACATTCAAATATTCTAAAATTACAGTCTCTAATATAATGTGACTAAATTTTTGTGTCCATATGAACTAGGCGAATATTCAGAAATCACCTGTTAATTAATAATAAGAGTTAGTTTGATGCAATATCGACAAAGTTAGTAACCGTCAACGTTTGCAGTCCAAACGAAACGATTCGCCCTAAAAAATTTTGCTAATGTTACAATTTTTGTGCGTTTTATAATTATTACGGACCATTTAACGAACTTTATAATGGATATTGCAAGAAAAAGAATATTGATAACATTTATCAAAATAATACTGTTTTCCAGGTATCTTCTACCGATGACACTCTTTTTGCAATTATGATATAGCAAATTCTTTAATATTCATTATCATTCTTAATAACTACTCCTATTAAATGAATGATATTCATCGAAATATTATTTCATTTGAAATTTTCTCAAACAGATTTACTAATAACTAGTGTTTAGCTATTGAGGAATTGTGATTTAGCTGGTTTCCTCTACCGATAAATTACAAAATGCTTGATATTCATTATTAACTACTCATAATATTAAATTAATGATATTCTTTAAGAGGTTTAGCTGATGTTATCTGCCAGTAACAGTATTTTTGCAGTTATGATATAGTAAAATATTCACTCATCCTATTAGCTACTCATATCAAATTAATATCATTCTTGGGATTTAGGAATAGTGTTTAGCTAATATTATTTATTAATGGTCTTTAATATTCATTATCATTTTATTAGAAACTCTTTATCAAATTAACACCATTAATCACAATTTTGATGTATTTAGAATTTAGGAAAGTGTTTAGTAGGTATTATCTACCGATGACTACAAAATCTTGTATATTCATTATCATTCTATTATCTACTTATATTAAATTAATTATATTCATCACAATATTAATGCATCTGATATTTCCTTAAACAGGTTTAAGAACAATGTTTAGATGATGGTATCTACTGATGACAGTATTTTTGCAGTTATAATATAGCAAAATATTTATTATTATTATATTATCATGTATATATTATATTAATCTTATATTATATTATTATTCATTACTCGTTTCAACTTAATAGCATTTATCACAATATTGATGTATTTTCAATTTAGGAATAGTGTTTAGCTGATATTATCTACTGATAACTACAAAATCATTAATATTCATTATCCTATTAACTAATCATATCAACTTAATGGCATAGCATACAAGATGTTTACTATTCATCATCATCCTATTAGCAAATGAATATCATTCGTCAAGGCTTTTATTTTTAATTTTCATTTTTAAAACTTATTCTCGTATATTTGCCCATGGGTCCCGATGAGGGTTGAGCGTATTAAACGAAACGTTACCCGAAAATCGGATCTTTACTTTATTGCCCTGAAAACATTTCTTTAAATCCCAATAAAAAGCGAAATTTTTGGGTGTGTCGGATTAACAGGTAACGTGGGCGTGAACGAACTGCTTTCCACGCTGATCGAGTGCGTAGAAATGTTCCACGAACATCAGACCGTCGAAATGAAGGAGGAGCAGGAAAGGGCCGAAAGGGAACTGGTCAAGTGGGAACAGGACCAGGCGTATCGCGAGAGCCTGGAAGCGGACAGGGCAAAGGAGGAGGCGAAACGCACACAAGAGAGGGAAGAGTTCGAGGCGCGGAAAAAATTGGAAAACGAAAAGGCGGAGAGCGAAGCGAGGAAGGAAGCTCACAGGCGGAAAGTGGAGGCCGGTTTACCGCCCGAACCTCCCTTAGGCGACGATATCACGAAAATAAGGTTTAGGCTGCCTAAGGGGGTCAATATCGAGAGAAGGTTTAGCGCGGACACTCCTTTGCAGGTATTGACGCGTTTTTTTCTTTTTTTTTTTTTGACTTTCGATTCGATTTAGGTGTTGCTTGATTTCTTGGTGGTGAAAGGCTATCCCAACGACGAGTACAAAGTGATTTCCAGTTGGCCCAGAAGAGATGTATGTGATTTTTTTTCTTATGGGCGTTTCATTACAATATATGTTTATTTTAGTTGACGGCGCTCGATGGTAAACAGACTTTGAAAGAATTGAAGCTCTGTCCTCAAGAAACTGTGATATTAGAAGAACGTTAGTTTTGCTGAATTTTCTAATACCGTGATTATGAATCGTTTTTTTTTTTGTAACAGCATTTAAATTAATTACAAATGTATAGTTAATATATTTTTAATTTATGTAGTGTTACTCTTTAGTTATAATGATTTAAGTAAACTTTTTAATGTCGATCGTTGAGTGTTTCTTTTCTACACAGAAAAACTACTTCGAATAATAGCAGTCACTGAGGGTATTTTTATTAATTACTAGCTAACGTTTGGAAAGAGACGGAAATATTCTAGGCCCAACACAAACCATGGAATTCACTATGAGTTTTCCAACGTGAAGGGGATGAAACTTTATCCCACTCTTAGCTCCGAGTAATTAGCAATATATTAACAATGTAACGCCACTGTGTTAAAATAAAGAAAAGAGGGCTGCAGAATCACCATCGTATAGACTCGTCTAGTTTGTTTCCGAAAACCCGACCGAATTGTTAATTAATCAATCTAACATCAGAAGTGGGATTCGATTAGACTTATAAAAATATCGAAGACAAGATCTTATTCCTGGTATCTGGATCGCAATTTGACATAGGCTGGAGTGATAGTTTTGTTGTCTGGAATTTCTCACTATTTTGACGGAGAAGCAGATGAGTGAATATTAATTGGAATGCTATTGGGCCTCATTTTTCTTTTCTTTTCTATACAGAACTAATTCGAATAATAGCAAATTGTATTGGCACAGTTACTGCGCACTGAGCGTATTTCTTATCCTCTACTACTTAAAGTCTGAAAACAGAGATGTAAATAATCTCGATGCGGCACAGACCACAGAATTCGCTATAAGTTTTCCAAAGTGGAGGGGATGAAAGTATTTGTTTATGCCACAAATTATTTTTCAGAAAAATGGTTATTTACACAAATAAGTTCTTCATGTTGGAGATGTCGCAAATGTCATTAGCAAGAGTTCCACCGTTGGAGAGTTTGTTGTGGTGGGAACACTGTTGTTTTTGTAGTCTATGACAAGTCCGCTACAAACATAAACCAGTTGTCTAAAAAAACGAACTCTCCCAGAAATATAATCCAAGATCTTTAAATCACAAGACCACCATAACGCCTTTGAGAATGTGAGAACACATTATCAATTTACCTTTAGTGATGATGGTTTTAGGAAACTTTTTAATGTCAAATGTTTTGATTGTTTCTTCTCTATGTCCAAAGCAATTTATAGGTCGATCGAATAACAGCGAATTGCGTTTGTACACAAACTTATCTGCCTACTTACACAAATTAGTTTTCCAAGATCGTGAAAACCACAAAACATTTGAGAATAACGTTAAAGTGACGCTATTACACAGCCATGGATAAAACAAAGATAAAGTTTTACAAATATTTATGCTTTGAAGGCGTCAGACAATTTCTTTTCTCTGCTACGCAGCTTTCCGCCATTTTTAGAAGCCCGCGTGAAATAACCGGTGTTTGGAGTTCTTTCGTTTAACTTCTGTTTTCAGTTGCATTATTCTAGCGGTAAGGACCAAACGTGCGTTGTAAGTTAGGTCGCAAGACGTTTCTAGCATGATTTCCTTTCTTTCGCAGAATTTTACCGTAAAAGATTAAGTAAACAGGTAGATAGATACCTAAACTTTGTTTTGCTCGTGTTAAACAATTGCTAATATTATGTTTTTTCGAAATTACTGAATACTAGTTTAACAGAAAGAGAATTCCAAAATGCTTTAGGTAATGGCTGATAATGAAGACCTGGATATAGGAAACCCTCTTCTCGGTGGTATGGGGGAAGATCAGTTAGATTCATTCGACGAAACTAATGGCATGCACGATGATAATTTATTAAACGATACCGACGGGGACGGGGGTGCGGGAGACGATCCCGAACTGGAAGCTATTAAAGCCAGGGTTCGAGAAATGGAAGAAGAGGCGGAAAAACTGAAACAACTTCAAAATGAAGTCGATAAACAAATGAATATGGGCAGTCCTCCTGGGCTTAGTAAGGATCAGAGTGAAAACGGGCTTGTTTATTTAATTCTAACAAATTCTTTTATTATTTAAGCGAGTCCTTTAAATATGTCTTTGGAGGAAAAAATGGAGGTAGACAATAGAAGTATATATGTCGGTAACGTAGATTATGGTGCGACGGCGGAAGAGCTGGAACAGCATTTTCACGGATGTGGCTCAATTAATCGCGTTACGATTTTGTGTAACAAGTATGACGGGCACCCCAAAGGGTTTGCCTATATCGAATTCGGTGACAGGGACTCTGTACAAACTGCGATGGCTATGGACGAATCTTTATTTAGAGGAAGACAAATTAAGGTTAGAGTGTTACAAGTTTGGTCTGCAAATTAATAGTTACCTCCCTATGTGATAAAGTAATTAAAAAGACTTTTGGTGAAGAAACTTTAATGCAAGAAATTATTTATAAACTTCTACAATGAATTTTAAATTGGCTTTTTATTGGTTTCGTGCTCGATTTATTGAGGATAAAGGTCCTTCCCGTTATGGTAGGTCAGCCCATATATTCTCTGCTGGACTATACCACAGAAATTTGTTTTACTGATATCATTTCTACTCGTGAGTGTAAGATTTTTAGTTGGTTGTATTTTATTGCAACAAAAGTGATGTCGTTGCTTTTAATTTTTGTATAGTCATGTCCCAAAACACATTTTAGCGGAGGTACAAGTAAATCTGCTTAGGACAGAGACTTTTTAACAACTCCCAAGTTTAGAAGAATGTGTTCAGCCATTCTGAAGTTATTGATATTTATTTACAAGAATGTTCACACTTCTCCATCATTTTCTAAACAAGCTCGGCTTTGTTTGAAAAAGGGCCTCACTATCAGGCTATAATAGCTTATCAAATTTTGTCTACCAATATTCCGAATATATTACATAAATTTAAAAAAGAAAAGGACACATATTTAAAACTCAAAGACCTTTTTGTTTTGCCTAAGCTATTGCTTCCTGTTGTTAACTATGTGTCTGTATTTTTTTCCTTAATTTCTTATTTTACCTAACCTGTTGTATGTATGTTTTGATTTGAATTTTAATTATTATATTTATTTTAATTTTTTTTTTATATTTATCTTATTTTAAAATGACTTAAGAATCTATATATTAATTAAGCCTATTAAGTAACTAGGGATTAAAAATTTGTATGCTGGCTGTGTGATTGTATCTGTTGCCTACTAATATTTGGAATTTAAATAGGGTCACATACTTAAAAGTCAAACGTTTTTATAACTTTAATTTTGATATTTAATTTTTGTTATTTAATTTGTTATTTTACCGAATTTATTTCTTCATGTCAACTATATGTCTGTCGGTTTGTATGTACATTTATATTTAAATTGTAATTGTTGTTATTATTTTTAAATTACCTAAGTATCTATATAAAAATTAATTTAGCCTATTAACTAATTAGGGATTAAAACTTTGGGTTTTGTCTGTATCTGTTGTATTTGCTGCAGACTAATATTTGGAATATAAATGAAAAAAGAAAATCAAACGTTTTTATAACTTTAATTTCGATTTTTAATTTTTTATTTATTTTTTAAATTTATTTTACCTAATTTTTTTTTTGTTTTGTGACCAAATGTCTGTTGGTTTGTATGTATATCTGCATTTACATTTAAATTTTAATTTTTATTATTTTTTTTAAATTACCCTAGTATCTATATATTAATTAATTAAGCCTATTAACTAATTAGGGATTAAAACTTTGGATATTGTCTGTATCTGCTGCAGACTAATATTTGGAATATAAATGAAAAAAGATATGGTCGCATACTGAAAAATCAAAAGCTTTTATAATTTTAATTTCAATTTTTAAACTTTTTTGTTTCTTAATTTGTTATTTTACCTAGCCTGTTGCATTGTGTTGTTAACTGTGTGTCTGTCTGTATGAAAGATACCTAAAATATAGATTTAAAGAAAAAAAAGTGAAATGGTTTTAGACATCTAAATTACTGCCGGCAGGTCAGGTGTGTCGCTAATTTTTTGGATTTTTTTTAAAAAGAAATTCTATAAAAAACATACTTTTGTTTAAAGTAATTCAAGTTACTGGCTTTACAGTTAATTCCAAATAATTTTGATGAGTGGGAATTGATTACCTCAGAGAATAACTATGAAGTGAAAATATTGTAACTTATTTTGCACTTAAATTTTGTCAGCTGCAATTGTGATTAAGGGAAAGGTATTTGTTGTAGTAGTTACAAAATTAAAAAAAAAATGGCCTCTTTTACTTCCTAACGAGGCATTTTTGGACTCATATGTATAAATTTATTATTATTATTATTATTATTATTAAATACATTACATCAAATATCATCTAATTAAGAACATTGAAATTCCTTCAAATTCATGACTATATATATTATACCTACCTAAATTATAAATTTTAATGCAGATATTAGGATATAATATCTGAAATATTTTCTTCTTTCTGGTTATGCTGGGTGTATGTTGAAATTTTTCCACAGATTCGATGAAAGTTTTTTTTTTGGTTTCATGAACTTTTCCAAAATTTATTGCAGGGCATTTTATATATGATAAAAGAAGCACAGTTTTGCTAAACCTGTAACTGTCATTGTCAGTTATATACAAACCTTTTGTTTTTTGGTGACGACCTACTTCACAGCCATCTAAGATGTAAATTATAAATTCTGGAATATGTTTTTCTTTTAGAATGTTGCTTTTATGTTAAAAGCGCATATATCTCAAAAAACTGTCGGATTTTTTGGGGATTTTATTAAGCGTATAATATAAAATATATTACTTTTATCTTCAGATGATTTCTGCAACACCCTGTACAGGGTTGTTCATTATATTTTGACACCCACCTACAGGGTTAATTTTGAACGATAGAAAAATAAGTGTAAATACAAAAGTTTGAAGATTTTTGCTCTATTATCTTATGCAGATGCGTTTTTAAACAATATAGCTATTGTTAAGAAATCGAATGATAATTATTTTTAAAGTGAAATATCTCAAAAACAGCTAAATGAAATGTCAATAAACTTTATGTTTTTGAAATCAGGAAAAAAAGATCTACGATTTAAGCCAATGATATATATGGGGATTCCAGATGTTGCTGTCACTTTGACAGCGGCGTTGTTTGTTTTCTACAAATCTACAAACTTTTGTATTTACAACTTTTTATCTATCTTTCAAAATGAACCCTGTAGGTGAGTGTCAAAATATAATGAATAACCCAGTACATATAAAAACGTATCTTGCAATTAGCTTATAACTTTTGTATTTGACGATTTTTTCACCCAAACGTTAAATAAAAAAACACTTTTTAGCTAACGAAAAGAAATAAATAAATAAATTAAAATAAATGAATATAATGTCCAGCACGTTTTGTTGGCCGCCCTTGAAATCACTTTCCGAGGTAGATCCTAGGGTCCTTCTTAATGGGTCCGATTCTTGCTCAGGTTATGCCAAAGAGGACCAATCGACCCGGAATTTCCACAACCAATAGGCCTCCCAGGGGTCGCGGTGCCTTCAGGGGAACGCGAGGTATCAGCAGGGGGTTTTATGCCGGCTACAGACCCATGCGTCGACCCAGGTACCGTACCATCCCGTTACCGAAATTAGAAACAACACAACTTAAAACAGTAAATGTGTTTTAAAAAAAGCAACCCTTTTATCTTAGACGTGTTTTTTAGGCTGTTCCCTTATTTTGGTTTATCGTTTTTTAATTTTGATATGTTTATTGCTATTTTTTTTAGTATATCCTTTTGTTGTTTCTACTTTTCGCAAAACCCCCATTTTTTAACGAACTGATCTCTGCATTTTTAGGAGTTTTAGACGCGGCGGATACTTTGCACCCTACTGATGCAATTAAACGTAAGGAACAAAGTTACATTTATATTATTAATTGTTTATAGCACAGCCATTAATTGCAAAAAAAGAGGGATAACCGAAAAGAGAATGCCGACGCACGGGCGAAAAAAAAAAAGAAAATTTTGGAGAAAAAACTGACAGTTAAAAACATAAAATAAATGAACTTAACAATAGGTATCTGCATAAGTGATTGGGTATGAGAGGGTGTAATTTTGTGTGAACTTTCTTGACGGTAAAAAAAAAATGTTATTTTCATATAGTGTGGATCGTTTGGTAGGGCCCTAGAATGTGTAATTTCGTTTATCGTACGATTTTGTATTTAATAATCAGCCGAGTTTCAGGTAATTCCCGGCCTGTCACAGGTTCTACTTTTCTTTCATTAAAAAAAGAAAATAGTATTAAATAAAAAAATGTAAATGCTATGTAGGGAGCATAATAAATTGGAATTTGGAGTGCAGACGGCGCTGTTATTTTTTTTTTATCTCGCGATTTTAAGCCAAAACCGGCATCATCACAAGGTAAAGTATGAGTCACGTTAACCCATATTAGCCCAAACATAAAAAAAAAATAAAAAATACTTTTTTTCTCTGAAATTATTTATTTTGTTGCACTTAAGAATACGTTACATGTGTCAAAAAAAAAAAAAAAACTCGAAACATTTTTCAAAGAAACTTCCACAGGCTACTGTAATGCTTTTTACAACAATTGCTGACGTTTCGCCAATCATTCTGAGTTTCAGTTTCAGTCAAGCTCTGAAGAAGCCAACAGGATGATTGGCGAAACGTCAGCAATTTCGACTAAGCAACCGAACCGACGCAGGAGGAATCCAGAAGTTTCGTAAAGAGCAACTCGAACCATATAAAAAAATCCTGGTGAGTAAACGAACCACTGGGAAAAAACATTAAATAATGTTGTGGAACACATAAGATTTAACATATAATTTATACATAAATTTTTATACGTAAAGTAAATTTAATACATAAAGTAATATCTCTGCATACTAGGTTGCACACACAGGTTCTTGTGAATCCATTGTGCAAACCGAAATTATTTAAGTTTAGAATATTATCATTGTTGATTTTTTGTTGTTAAACAACTTTTAAGTACATAATTACGTCATATAGATGTAAATTTCGGGTAACGAGACTTATATTTTCAGTTGTTTTCTGTAGTACTAAACATTTAATTGTAACCTTGTAAATTCGTAATAAATATTTAATATTTAAAAAAAAATACAAAAGAATGTTCAAATTCGACAGAAAACAACTAAAAGTGGATGGTTTTCCAAATAGAACCTGCTATAATACAAAAAAACGCATAATATTTTATGAGCGCACCACTGGAACATCAGGTTTCATTTTTGGTGATATTTTACAAAGCATGAAGTATTTAAATACACACAAAATACACACTTATTACAAACGTAAATTGTGTGACTGTGGCAGATTCTACAGCTCCTTCGGGCTTTACTAGCACAAACAATCATGAGATGACCTTGATTATCATAACGCACTTCATCTATGACAGGTGCAAGATTCCTTTGAGTTTTATCAGTTTTTAAAAGTCGCAAAGCAATGTAAGGTTTAAAATCTACCTGAGATATCTTTTGTTCGTTGACAACATTATACAATTTCCATGCATTCACTACTAAACTATCCAGTGAATTACAAAATAAAGGCCACCACCATTTTTTTCCAAATACCTGGCACCTATATCTATTTTATTGGGCAATTACATAAGGTTGGGGTATATGTACATCTTGCCGTTTTTTTCTGTTATAGCGTTTTACATTTTGGACAGGATCTAAACTTGCCACAGTTACAACTGAATTGTTGTGCCAGCTGACAATAGAAATGTTTGATTTAGATTCATATGCTGAAAGATTTACAATTTTCCATTGGACATTGATTTCTATTTTCCCGTATAGTACCGGTGGCAAAATAGTTTGAATGATGAAAAAAATTGTCAAAAAAAAAATTGATTTACTTATCTACACAGAAAGTAGACTCATGACAATGTCACCGCCAAGAGCAGGATTAGAATGAGGTTTATTTTGAGTACTACCATATGGAAGCGAATGCACCAAGGCACCAAAGCTTGGAAGCCAAAATGAACTGGCTTATCCCTTATAAACATTTTGCAGGAATGACGGCCAAAGTAAGGTACCATTTGTTCATCTATGGATAAGTTGAACGAAAATATGCCAAACTGAAGATTTTTTTTATTTATTACATCAAAGAAGGGTCTAACTTGAAAATTTATCATTTTTATCCAGCAGATTATTGTCAGATAAGTGCAAGTTTTGCTTTATCAATTGGAATCTATTGCGGCTCATACATTTTTTTATAAGATCAATTCTAAATAAATCCTAAATATGTGGCAATGGATGATAACCCGAAACCAATAAAATGCCTACAAAATTTAAAAGTTCATTTTTTGACAACGAGAATTCACGGCGGTTATTGTCTTGAGCATATTTTACCAAAAATTTTAAAATCAAATCAATCACTCCGTAATCAAAAAACATAAAAAATATTTCACGCGGAGCTTTTCCAGGAAGCCTATTTTTTAGTTTCTTACATGATCTAAATTCATCGGATATAGGTGTGTGAGTGTATTCAATCTGACCCTTTGACAGTAGGAGCAAGCCTGTCGTTTGCAGAAAGCATACGTCTTCTTTTGAATTCCAGGGTTTCATCATCTGATGAGTCCCATTCAGGTTCAGTACTTGATGAATTAAGGATTGTTGAAGGAGAGCTGTATCATTCGGTGTATGTAACTTGGAAAGTTCCAACTAAATCAGTTGGTTCCCCAAACTCTTGTAGGTTTATGTTATCGTTCATATCTTTTTCGTCAGTCAAGGTATCCACGTCGGGTGGAATATAGACCGCGTCAATATGTTCTGTAAATATTTTTCACGTTATTTTTAGCATACATTTACAAGGAATGGAATGCTACAATACATACGAATACGTAGATCCAAATAATACTTACGACTTTCATCACGATCTCCTCCATAGCCGCCTCTAATTTCTTTTGAGTCAAACACCTCGGAAATGCCATATTTTACGAACGGTAACGTTAACTGCACAACGCACAAACTAATACTAAAGAACACGCTAATTGTTGGATACTTTTTACAAAACTTCCTGTTGGCTTCTTCAGAGCTTGATTGGACAGTTTCAGTCAGGCTCTGAAGAAGCCATGTAATGTAATGTAAAGGAATTTTTATTTTTAGAATTGGTTTTTAAAGTAATTTTAGTATAAATCTTTTTTTTTTTTCTATAAATTAATCATAAATATAAAGTTTCAAAGGGGAATAAAATGGGAATTATGAACAAGAGAATTAAAAGTAAATACATATTTTTTTGCTGGAATAGAGTTTACGGAGTAAAAGGAATCTTAATGGTTATTGCAAATTCTATTTTACTGAAGGAAGGTGAGGTATGCGGATGACGCGGCATTGATTGTTGTTGAAACCATCTTCTCTTAAAGGCTGAAGAATTACCAAAAATGGCTAGATTATAATCTGCTGTCACTTAATTTAGACAAAACCCAATTCGTTAGATAAACCACGACGAAAGCTGCTGCCCCAGACTTGCAAAGAATAAAAATTCATACTTTTGACTGTTTAAGCTATGACACGAATTGCAAGTGCGATGTTTTCATAAATTTCACCAAAACGTTCATTTAGGGGTAGTTTTTGATGAGACCTTAACTGTTATATATTACGTCAGAGTTTGTCAAAGAGTTCCCTTATTAGAATATACAAATCTTCAAAGGGCTGTTACTGAAGCGAAATTACTAAGTAACAACAAAATTGGCATTAAAACAGTAATCAGAGTAACAAAAATATAACTGTTAAGTTTATTCGTCGGAACTCATGAGTTCGAAAGCAATCCCACACTTGCTACTGTTGTCCTTCCTTGCATTCAAAACATCACTGACCACATATCAAAAGTTCTAAAGAATTATAACGTCAAAACCAGATTTACCACTTGCCTAAAAATCTCTCAACATCTTCGATCCGTCAAAGACAAAATTTCGTTTGAGATGCCAGGAGTTTACAGCATTCCTGCATATGCAGCACAGACCGGAAGAGACCGTACGAAAAATATCGACTAGGCTCGATTCTGTGATGGAGCATTGCTCGCGGCGGTTTAACCTCCGTTCGCTCCCTACAGAATCCTTTGTAATCGTCTAAAAATTTTGAAATCGGTCTCCACTGGGTGGATTTAGTGTTTTCAGTGTTTAGTGAACGTTTTAATGTGATAACTGTCGCCGACCCCTTCGTTTTTCCCCGTTCACGCCGGTATGGAGGCGGGATGGGTCCGGATGGTCCGGGGCGGAAGCGGGGGGATGTCGGTGTTTTTTTGGTATCGGTCGAAATTGGTTTTTGCTAGTTGAGCAAATATTGGTTATATTTCTTCTTTGTACCTGTTGGTCCATGGCACAAAGCGAAGATCCTCGACGGAAGTCGGCAATGGGCGAATGATCCTAGCAGTCGAGCCCAACATTTTTTGTGAAACGCATCATTGAATTGAATTGAATTGAATCAAATCAACTAGGCTCAAAGAACATGAAAGCCTTAAGACTAAAACAAATAAACTCATCAGCAGTTTTTTTCGATAAAACTAAAATTCTTGCATGTAATCAATGCTTCTACCAACGAAAAATCCGAGAGTATAGAAATCTATAAGCAACCTAACAATTTAACCTGTCATCAATATGGGAATCAGGCATCTGAGACGGTGTTGATGCCCCTCATTTAACTCCGTCCCCCCCTCAAACAATGTATAAGCAGGTACAGAGTAAAATGCGAGCCAGTTTGAGTCAAGCTCTGAAGAGGAAAAACAAGAAGTTTCTTCGAAAAAGAAAAAGTTGTCAAAAAGGTGCGCATCACGGCCATTTATGGTCTGTGAAAATTACAACTGTGTGTGGGAAACCACACCAAAATTGAAAACTGGGCGGACTTTTTGTATTGTGCCTATAAATCGGACAAGAACGACAATGCCAATTGGCAAACGTTTATTGTTTTATTTATCAAAATTATTTACACTACATAAAACGAACGGCAACAGATCACAGCTTCATTTTACCGCTAATAATATCGGCGTACACGTCACCAGTCAACGGTGAATACGAGGCCAGTTTCGCGTTGTAAAAATACAACCGATGATCTTTAACGAGCGACACGTCGTACCCTTCCCTCTGAAGGTCGACCTTTTTGAGTTTGAAGGTGCCGGTGAGCGGCGCAGAGTCCAACACCCTTAGGAACATCGGAATTGCGTAGGCGGGCAATTTGGATTTGACCCCTTTGGAGAGCTGATCCAGGTCCAAGGTGTTTTGGGGGTCGACAATGGCGGCCATGCCCGCCCTACCTTCCGTTCCAGGAATCTATAGAGAGAACGAAATATCTCCTATCAGATTTATATATACGTGTGCAGTGGTTGAGCATTACATAAAAACAGGACATGAATTTGACTACAGCAATCCAAAAATTTTGCAATGTGTCAATAATTATAAAGCCCGATTGTTTCTTGAAATGTGCCATATTAACAAAAACAAAGATTCAATTAATTACAAGTCTGATATACAACAAATAAGCAATATATACTGTAACATTTTTCAGTTAAACCACAGATAATGTAATGTTCGGCCACCGAGTAGCGTATTCGCGTTGCGTTGTTGATCCACGGAGTAGGTTATTTTGATACCTTTTTTTTTGTCATTATTTGGATCGATTGTTTTTTTTTTTGATTGTTTTTTTTTGTTTTTTTTCGCTACCCCCGTTAGCGCAACTTTTGCCTACCATTATTAAGAATTGTATACTAAGTGTTTATCCGTTTGTTTCATTATGTCGCTTCGTTCATTTACCTTAACTGTAAAGTATGGTTTTTGAGGAACTGTGTGGTAGACTCTAATTTTGTAAGTATTTCTCACGATTGTTTTAATTGTCTGTTATATAGTTTGACCTGTTGTTTTCATTAAATTTTAGTTCACTCCTGAAGAAGTCAACAAATAAATTGACGAAATATTGAGTGTTAAAGAAAAAAGGAGCTTTCTATTTTCTTTGTTTTTTTTTTCTCTTAACCACGGACCGCTACCCGATATCCTTTGAATTCATATATATATATATATATATATATATATATATATATATATATATATATATATATATATATATATAGGGTGGGCCGTTTATCTTCAATTTATTTTGATGTTGTATATACAGGATGTTTCATTTTTCGTGGGCGAGTATCAAATTCTAGACATATTTTGTGTATAATGTCCTATACCTAAGTCCAACCGTTTTTGACATTTTTCATTTTTTATGCAAAAAATGACGTTTGCAGGACGTAAAATATCCTGCAATTTCTTCATTCGGAAGCGTTTATCGTTTAACTTGAGTAAGTTTTGTTGTAGACAAAGGACTGGAGTAACGAATTTGATAAGAAATTTCGATATATATTATTATAGGGTACGCGAGTAATAAGATTAAAAACGAAATAAAAAAACTACAAAAAAACTTTTTTTTTATTGGAAATTACCTATTTTTATAATCTCATATTTAACATTAAAAATTTTATATAAGGTTGCATATGCCCAATATTTTTATTTTTTGAAATATTTCCTTTTAATGATTTGTCTATCACAAAAATATGCTGTAGTCATATAAGTTCAATTAGTGTAAAGTGGCTATGACGGCGTTTAAACAAAACAAGTGCTAGACGCGTGTTTTTTTGTTGATTGCTGTTATAATTCACACATTTAGAGAATATATAACAGAATTTCCATTAAGGAGACGATTAGAAAAAAGATTTTCGACCGGATTTACCAACTTTAAAATATATGAAACCCTGATGAAAGAAAAAAAAATAGACGTCGTAATATTTTCATTGATGACGATCAATTTAATGTTTCGTCCGGTGCAGAAATTGGAGCAACGGGATTACATCAGCTTAGACTTTTGCAGCAATATTAATTATTATTATCTTTTGTAAACAATTAATTTTTACCTTACGCTAACTGAACTTATATGGGAACAGCATATTATTTGTGATAGACAAATGTTTAAAAGGAAATATTTTAAAAACTAAAAACATTAGGCATACACAACCTTATATAAAATTGCCTTAATTTTTACTGCTAAATATGATAAGATTATAAAAATAGCTGGTTTCCATTAAAAAAAAGTTTTTTGGCAGTTTTTTTAATTGCATTTTTATTATTATTTTTTCCGTACCCTGTATTAATATCTAGCGAACTTTCATGTGAAATCCGTTATTCGAGTCCTTTGTTTACAAGAACACTTCATCAAGTGAAACAATAAATGTTAAAAACGGTTAGACTTAGGTATTGGACATTATATAATATAGTAATATACCAGGTGTTCCGTTTAAAATAAGAATATTGATATTCTCTGTATATATGTATATATAACATCAAAATAAATGGAAGGTTTGTAATAGCCCAATTATTGTATTTTATTTAACTTTTGGCTCTATCCCCTATAGTTTCTGAGATAAGGTAGTGTCCCACCCTATACCTGGCCAGCCCAATTACAAAAGTCACCTTACTTTTTGAACACGCCTCATATATTATGCAGATTTCTTGTGGAGTTTACTTTAAAAATTGACGAAAACACAAACGTGAGGTTTTCTATCAACACTAAAAGAATTTATAAATGAAAATCCCGGTTAATTGTATTATCAGAAAATCTTTAGATTAATATTTTCAGATTTGATCATGGTAGTCATAAAGTCTTGGTCTTACTTTAATCCCCTCATTTGAGCACCTACAAAAATTCCTTCTTTTAATTTTGCTTTAATTTTGCACGTGATAGAGCAGAATATTTCCACATCTTAATTTAAAGCTTTAACGTATTGCTTCATCAAGAATTTTCCAGTGAACCCTTTTTGGCCGGTTCTCTTCCACGAAATGTTGCTGTATCCTGACTGCTGACTCAATAGAAGTCTCCCAATTTTTAAGCCACCACAAATAATGGAACGATAGCATGAAGCATTAATTTCAGATGTTCGTAGCATGCTTCCATTTGCAAACATTGAGCAACTGGTAAAGAGGCAAGAACATTTCCGTTGTGCAAAAGAACAACTTTAACGTTTCTCTTGGATGAGCCAGCTTCCAGTTCTCAGACGTAGTCTGTACCAAGTTTTTTTTTTATTAGATTAGGAATATCGGTGCAATAAACAAGTAAACCGCTTTGTTCAAAATAGTCTACAAATTCTGTCTTGTGTTTCTTTAAATATAAGATTTTACAGTATTGAGCCAGAAAGTTTTTATTTCGGAAAGATCTTCAGGAAAACCTTAGTCCTCCAAAACTAAACAAGTGAACCACTTTGTTCAAAATAGCCTACAAATATCGTGTCGCGTTTCCTTAAATATAAGATTTCAAAATATTGTGACAGAAAGTTTTTATTTCGGAAAAATCGTCAGGAAAACCTAAGCCGTTAATTGAACTGAGGTGGCTTTTACTTGATGAAAATCCATTTATCAAAATAAATAAGAGCTAAAAGTTTAGATTTTCACGAAATTATATATTTTGACATGACAATTGTTTCGACAACACCGTGTCTTTATCAAATGTCGTTAAAATATATCACCAAGATCACCAATGTTTACTTTAAAATAATCGCAGTATTGTTTTTTTTTAAACATTGGCATTTTAAAAAGAAATATGTGGGGTTCCCGCTCCATTTCGTTAAATTATGCCAGTGGCGTAGCAATTTCAATTCTTAGAATGTTGCGTAATGTTCCTGTTTGGAAATAAAAAAGAAAACATGTTTTCTATTAGTCTGGTCCCTATAACTCCAAAAATGGGAAAGATTCCAAATCACAGAATCTTTGTTGGCCTCTGTAATCGAGTAAAGGGCAAATTGATTTTCGATTTTCATTTCGTTTGGTGTTTTCTGCAATTTCACGCAAAAATGTTGGTTCAAAATGAAGTGTATAGCGTATTAGGTTTTAAACAATTAAGATTTTTGGTTCGATACTTGGCAGAACAGAGATAAAAAAAAAGAAAATCTAAATAATTGGGATCAGATACTAACAAACAAACTAACAAAAACCAAAATTATGGCAGTGTCAGACGAAAAAGAGAAATTAGAGGTGAGAATACGTGGGATACTAATAGAACAAGTTAGTAGCTTCCGGTACTTGGAAATATGTTCGAAGAAACAGGATGACAGGACACAGAGTTAAATAATAGAATAGAAAAGGCAAATAAGGTATACTATGCATTGAATAAGGGACTCATAAATAAAAAGGAAATTTCTAAGGAAACTAAAATGAAAGTTTACAAAACAATTTACAGACCAATCCTTACATATGGCTCCGAATCTTGGATATTGTCAGATAGGGACAAGAGCAGAGATGAAATACCTGAGGAGAGTGAAAGGAATAACCAGAAAATTAGAAATGCACTTATAAGAGAAAAGTTAAAGGTGGAATCCACAGAAGAATTCATTGAAAAGAAACAACTTGGCTGGTGGGATCATTTACAGAGACTGGGCAGCACTCTACCGGTTAAGAGTTTGGCAGAGTAAAATGCAGGGAAAGTGGAAAAGAGGGGACGGGCATGGGTAGATGCTAAACACTTGGCACTAAATAGAACAGACTGAAAACTTTTTATCGATAGCTAAATTGCATGCAGAAATGTCACCCTTACACCCTACGGCTGGAAAGGGACTAGATTATAGATAGACTTGGCAAAAGTACCCACCTGTACTCCGTAAACTGCGGAGTCCTTGAGATCCACAATGCTGCTGATTACCGCTTCCACCTCGCTAGTGGAAACATTTTCTCCTTTCCACCTGCCAAGAAAATTGGGCAAAAATTAACGTAACGTAAAATATCAGAAAAATTAAAGTTGATGATTTTTCGGAAACGAAACCGTCTGTTCAATTTATCTTGATAACATTTTAATGGGCTGAAACTTTTTTTTGTTCTTAGAGATACAAAGGTAAAGAAAGAAACAAGTTTATTCGAAGTGACGTATAAAACAAAACGCTATCAATTCTCTGACATATAAACCTACATCACATCTGTATATGTGTTTAATAGAACATCTAATTCTGATTACAATGATGTAACACACTTTATATTTTAGTCCACTCGTTTTTGACAGATCGCCAAAAACAGGAAATTTTTATATAATCTCAAAGAGTGCCGTGACTGACAAATAAAAATATGTTTATATTTGACAGATTAGTAAATAACGTTGATGGTTGGATTATTGTCCAAGTCATTATTGTTAAAACAGGTTTTGACGAATTTAGTATTCGTGAGACGAGTGATATGCTTCAAGCATCAACGTTGTTTACTTATATGTGAAATATAGACATATTTTTATTTGTCAGTCACGGCTCTCTTTGAAATTATATAAAAATTTCCTGTTTTTGGCGATCTGGCAAAAACGAGTGGACCAAATATAAAGTGTGTTACATCATTGTAGTCGTAATAAGATATTCCATTAAACACAAATATAATATACAGGGTGTTGCATTTGAAAAAATATGATATAGGCTTATATGTCACAAAATTGATAGTGTTTTGTTTTATACGTCACTTGGCTACCAACCCTATATTTTGTTTTTTTTGTTTACCTTGGCATCTCAAAAATGTTACAGCCAATTAAAATGTTATCACGATAAATTGAACGCACGGTGCCTAAAATCTTCCAACGCCATCTCGTAGAGCTCAAAGGCTTCGATGAAATGACCCTTATTCTTTAATATGTCTTTAAATAGCACCAGAAAGAAATTAAAACGAAATGGACAAATTTCGTTTTTTTTGGCGTCCCTTCGCCCGGAAATTTTTTAGTTTTCTTAACAGCGCGTCAACTTCTAAATTTTTCAATTTTTTTCTAACTTAACCATCTTTCAAATATTTTGAACACACTGTATCTACCAAGCAATGGACTGTTATTTTAGTAATGTTTTTTTGTATGAGAATATATGACATAAAATCATATTCGGGAAAGTTAAGGCGTTAGACGCTTGGCAACACTGCGAGTGGAACTAGTGAATGAATACAATAATGCCAGGAAATGAATCAACTTAATCTTTTTAAAGGGAACGCAATGTTATTGAGAAAAATGTACTTTTGTGTATTTTTACATTTGAAAACTAAAATTGGTGCGTCCTACGGTTTTCTCTTAAAAATATAAACTAATTTCTCTGCATGCTGTGATATTATCAAGAGGTTTTTGTTTTTTTATGCAAAAAGAGACAGGTGAAGTTCCGTACGCCTGCCGCTGGGGTATTTTTAAAAAAGTGAGGTACATCAAATAATACCCCTTGATGCATAGTAAATGTGTTCCAAATTTCACTAAAATATCTAGTGGTATTACAGATATTCAAAAATATATATTTTGTTTTTGAAAACTTTACCACCCTGTAGCTCTGGTTTCAAAAGCATATAGTTTATTTAGCCGTTTTTCGGATATTTCAGTTTAAAAATAATTATCATTCGATTTTTGGACTATAGTTAAGTTATTTAACTTACGCTGCAGATGTTTAGGTAACACCAGATGAAATCTGCCATTTTGCTGGACAAATTAAAAATGAACATAGTAGTGGAATAAACGAGATTCCAATCAATATAATAAAAATTTCTGTCCCGTATGCTAGTAAAGTGTTGTGTCTTTTGATTAATGAATCCAGGGAGTTATTGCTCAAAAAATTGGATCTATACGGTGTAAGAGGTAATGCTCTAAAATTGTTTGAATCATACTTAATAGGAAGGAAACAACAGAAGAATAACCCAAAATGGCACTAGTTATTTTTCGGATATTAAGGAAAATAGCACAAGGTAGTATTCTTGGTCTAATTTTATTTACCATTTTTGTGAATGACTTGTATTTCGTATCAGTCAGAAGAAGAGAGCATAATATGCTATGCGGCTGATACCGACCTGCTTGTAGGTGAAAATAATCTCACTGAGGTTGGTGATAAAGGCAACGATATTTTTGCAAGGGCCTATGACTGGTTTCTAGGAAATAAATTGATATTAATCAAAGAGAAAAGGAATTTAATTATGTTTAGAACTAAATTATGTAGAAATGAAATACCATTAGGAATAGGGATAGATAAAGAAAATATTAGTATTGTAAATAGCACTAAATTCTTAGGTTTACAAATTGACGAATTTCTTGATTGGTCTGTACATATTGATTATCTGCTAAATAAATTAAATTCAATTTATTATGGAATTAGAGTCGTTGCAAATTATATGAATAAGGAAACTTTAAAAATTAAGTACTTTGCAAACTTTCAGTCGCGCATGAGGTATAGAATTATTTTTTGGGGTGGTAGTGGTCAACTATAGAAAATTTTCGTGGTTCAAAAGAGAACTCTTCGCACTGTTAAAAAAATGCAATTTTGAGAGAGCTGTAGAGGGGTGTTCAAGGCTGAAGGTGTTTTTACTATATATGCTTTATATATTTATGAAGCATTGATATTCTTTTTTAAAAATCTAAAGGACTTCGAACTACAGATATTTCATAGATATAATACCAGAACCCTAAATGTAACTTACCCTATTCTCCGTTTAACCTTAACTGAAAGGAGTCCTTATTACCTGATATTGTATAATAAATTACCAAATGAGATAAAAACAACTGCCAATCTAAAAATCTTTAAATACACAATAAAAAAGTTATTGATATAGTTAGAACCTTACTCCATAGAAGATTTTTTCTGTAATATTTAAATAATTGTTTAATTAATACGATGTAATTGAAATTTGTAAGAATATCTACTGCTTTTTTCTTTGTGTTTGGTACATTATTTTTAGGTAATGTATTTATGACACATTGTGAAATAAAGTTGATTATTATTATTATTATTATTATTAATGACACGGTGTTTTCGAAACAATTGTCATGTGAAAATATACAATTTCGTGAAAATCTGAACTTTTAGTTGTTATTTATTTTGGCAAATGGATTTTCATCAAGTAAAAGCCAGCTCAGTTCAATTATTTTTGGTAAGTATACTACCCAATAGACGTTTAGAACATATATTCATATGAAGTTTTCTTTTTAAAATGGTCCTAAAAGCACCATGCAGAGAAGAAAACATCCCAAAAAGGTATCGTAGTTAAATTTAGAGAAGTCTCTGTGAGTTTTAAGCATCGGCACTCGACTAGCAGTAGCTGTTAGTAATAAACTGAGGAGAGGAGCAATTCTAGCATTTTGGGGCGGACCATACCTGTACGTGTCCCCAGTCCTATCACGGAAATAGTAATAGCCAAGCTCGTCCTGCACCAGAACGTCGCCCGAGTTGAAATAAAGGTCGCCGGTTTGAAAAACGTCCTTCAAAATCTTCTTTTTGGTCGCCTTCTCATCGGCGTAACCTGTAAATTCGCTGTGAACCTTTCTGGGGTTGATTTTGCCGAGGAGGATGCCCGGCTCGTCAACCTCGCACTGCGTACAGAACCCTAAAAGGGCCAAAAAATAAGGAAATTAAAAAAAAATCGACAGCGGACTGACCTTCGTTGTTTCTTATCGGTTCCCCCGTATTTTCGTCACATTTGATCAGTATAATCGGGTAAAGGCCGTAAGCGTATCTCGGTACAAATCCTACTGCTCCAATTTTATTGTCGATGTTAACTGAAAACGATAACAAATTCTTGCATAAAAAAATCCGTAAGATTTAATCACCATTTCATACTCAAGTTCGAATTTCCTTCGGTGGACCCGTAAAATTCGTAAATATTTTGTATCTTGAACGTGTCTCGGAATTTGTTCCAGATCTGAGGTCGCAGTCCGTTACCGATCATTTTTTTCACGTCGTGTTCGACGGCATTTCCGTCGCCGTGTACCGTGAGTAAATACCGACAGATTTCGCCGATATAATTGGAAATCTACAAAAGAGTGCGTGAGAAAGTACACGTTTTCGGGAAATTATGCACAAGCCGGCAACGTCGCTGGAGTTTTTTTTATCAAAGTAAAATATGCAGTCAGCGGAGGAAAAGTCCGCCAAGCCGTATTAAGTTCATTTGTGATAATGAATACTTCTTAAGTACTTTTGGTACAATACGACCAAAAATATAGTGCATTTGACGTTTTAAGTATTTTACAGTACCTTAACCGCAGATCTTCGCAGAACCGTGGTAAAATCCATTAAAATCAACAGATGTTTATTCTGCATTAAGTAAGTGTAAGTGTAAGTAATTTGATTAAGCAAGAGTTTAGTATGCAATTGCAATATATTCGTATATATTACGGCGGTATCTGATTGTGATCCTTCGAGTAAGTAGAGCTCTGCCCCTGCGAGGCTGTGTGGAGAAGACGAAGTACCTCAGCAAATAAATAACGGATCCATTTGTCTTCGGATGTTAAACAAATTGTTTTCAATGTTTAAAATTTTATAAGAAATTCAGAAGGGGAAGTACAAGCAGCAATAAAAACAAGATCGCTACTGTGCGTACGGACTTTTACTTCCTTGCCAAATTTGAAGTCGATGACTACATATTTGCGACACCTACGAATGTTTTAGAATATAGCACAGAATATTCCGAACACCCTGTACAATATGTGAAAACCTTAGCTGTCCATACAGGCTATATAGAAATGTGAAAGAAACCGACAACGGAAGTACAGCCTTTTAGTTATGGTCAATTATCAATATAAAGGGAGCTCAATTTTTAGTTTTTTGCAAATCACCGACGCACCCTGTACCTTTCTCAAAAATCATCAAGAGTAAAGGTTCTTGGCCGGGATCTTGCAGGTCGTTTGGTTAAAGAATTTTTTTGATCGCATATACAATCTTGAAGAAATGATTTTTTTCTCGGTACCCTGCAAGTGCAGTTTTTAAATTTTTAAAAATACTTTGTCTGCCAAAAACGGCAAGATTCAAGTGACGATTGAAATTTGAAAAAATCCTAATATTTCTTCAAATAAAGAAAAAATTAAAGAATTTCTGTACTAAAATGATTCATATTTTGAAGCGAGGCACACGAACTTCTGGAATTATTAAGAAGAAAGCATTTGGACACTTTACTAGGGGCCTGTACCATTTCTCAGGATTTTAGGAAAAAAAAAATTATACAAAAGTTTTATGGTTTAAATTAAATTTTAACGTTATATCATTATTTTTTATATATGCAGGGTGTCCGATAAGTGCAGGACCGACATTAGTTTAAAAATTTTGGAACACCCTATATATGTATTTTGATATTTTTAGAATCCTTGCCAAAAATAAAAGCAACTTTTATAGAAACTACTTATTCGAATTTTGTTTAATTTAGACAGAAATTGAGATCATATATTTTTTATGCAAAATTATCTTACTTTTTATAAAACCTCTGGATTCCTCCTGCGTTGGTTTTTGCTGAGTCGAAATTGAAATTAGGAATTTCGACTAAAAAGTAAAAAGTATTACAGTGGCCTGTGGAAGTTTCTTTGAAAAATTAGGAAAATTATCTGCTGGCAGTGATCACCACTTGATCAAATTTTAAACACATTTTTCGAAGACTGACGATATGCGATGACTAGGTATTTTAAAATTATACAGGGTGTACATGTACATTTTTTTTTAAATTTCATCTTGTAGTATTAATTTTATTTGATATTTTTTCTCAAAGCCGGTCAACATACCTATAATTTGGTATATATATATGTCCTATACCTAAATCTAATGGTTTTTTTAAAATTTTTAAGAATAAATGCGCTGGCGAAAAATACTGGCACCTAATTATTTTTAAGAATTTTATAATGGCATGTCTTTTTAATATTTTATTTAATTTTAATGATTGTTTCGACGAATGATGGGACAATTTATATCATTATGAAACTTACTTTTTACCCTAGTAGGCTGTGGTAACCAAATCAGTGTTTATAATTGTTTTAAGTGACGTTATAATTATTATAATTAACAGACAGATGTGCACGAAAATACCACAAGTTCTAACTGAGCAGCTAGATATACTACTACATTTTGAGAATATACCAGAATCCTCCACTCGTCAAGCCGCGTTGGAGTCGGATGTTAAATGAACTAGCCTCAGAAATGGTTTAAAATTAAATAAGCGAATAGCAATACATCTGGTGGCCCCCTCAAACTCCAGATTTTACCCAGTTAAATTTTTTTTTTATGGGGACAATTAAAGACATATTATATAAAGAAAGATAGTTAGAAAGAAATATAGTCCAACTAAATAACACCTATTGTGTTTCTAATGCCAATATGTTGAAAACCTACTGTAGATTTTCTATTTTGTTTTTCCTTAGTTTTTACTTTAATTGTTACACTTTCTGTTGTTTGTTGCTTTTAATTGTCACTGTTACTTGTTTTAAATTTTTAAACTTCTGTCATATATACGATATACAAAAAAGACCCACTACCCACTGCAAAAATCATCAAATTTAATTAAAAAATAAAAATGACATGCTTTTTTAAAATCCTTTAAAATAATTAGGTGCCAGTATTTCGGAAACCATTAGATTTAGGTATGGGACATATATATACCAAATTATAGGTATTTTGATCCGATTTGAGAAAAAATATCAAAAACCTGGGCGTCTCATTAAAAAAATGTCCTTTAATTTAAGACACCCTGTATAATATTAAAATTCCTGGTCATCGCAGATCGTTACAAGGAAGTCTTCTAAAAATGTGTTTAAAATTTGATCAAGTAGTCATTTCTGCCAGAACATATTTACTACGAACCTAATTTTGCATAAAAAAATGTATAATCTCAATTCCTGTCTAAACTAAACAAACTTCGAAAATTCGAAAATTTTTGTCAAGGAATCTAAAAATATCAAAATATATAGGGTGTTCCACTTAAAATTTTAAAACGAATGTCGGTCCAGAACTTACCGGACACCCTGTATATACAAAAAATAAACAATGTTAAAATTTAATTTAAACCATGAAACTTTCGTATAAACTTTTTCTTCTAAGTAGTTCCTGAGAAAAGGTACAAGCCCGCAATAAAGTGCCCATCCTGTACATGACGCGTGTATATTACCGTGCATTTATATTTCCTGCAATCGGACCAGTAATTTGTGGCGGAGAATTTTTTCCTCAAGACGTTCGTCACGCCAAATATAACGGTCTGACCTGCTGCCACCATTCCTCCTGCGCTGTGATAAAGCGGCAGCGGATTGTAATACACGTCGTCCCCTTTGATGCCGACCATCGCGTGGACTCCAATCACGATAAACATAAATCTAAAATATTCAGGACGCTTGTATTATGCAGTAAGTGCGGTAAACGGTATCTAACTCACTTAATATACGAATGAGATAAAGAGTTTTTCTACTCCCGTCTCTAAAATACCTAATTACACACCGATCTAGCGTGCGGGAAGCGTCACTTCGGGCATTTCCGGGATCAATCGGATGTTTTCGGAGATATTTCCGACGCTTTGAATTTTGACGTTTGTCAATTCTGATGGTCATGTCAGTGAATGTATTCGCGTTATTTTGTGAAAGTATTCACAAAAATTAATGGTGGTAGGAAAAGTATACTATGCAACGCGTTCGGTAAAATTTTCAAGTCACTCGTTTATTAAACACTCGCTCCGCTCGTGTCAAATAAACTCGTGAGTCAAATGCTGTTTGCCGCACTTGTTGCATAATATACTATTCCCAAACGTGTTGTATACTGTACTTTTTCTACGACCGTCACGAAAAAATCACAATTTAACAAATTAAAAATAACAAAAAATTATCGGATTACAAAATTTCGTACCATTCAAACAAAATATTTACTAGTCGCCATTAAACCTATTCGTTTATCGTTCCCATCGGTACTGCTATTGTTGTCTCTTTTTAACTGTGTAAGTTAGACAGAGAGAGATGTATTATTGGATATGTCATATAAACAACGGAATAAACGCAATTTCAAAAACGTTGTGTTGTTTATTTAACTTTTACAATTGGTCAGTTTAGTTAAGGAAAAAGGCTGTAAATGGAAGAAAAATCATCCATGGATAGAGCTTTTAAGAGGGTTAAGTTTTTAAGATCGTATAAGTAAGAAAAAGCAAGTCCTAACCTTCAATTTTGTTTTGTTTGTACTGATGAGGCTTGGATATTTGAAAATCGTACAATTTGTCACGCGAACGGTATTTCTGTGGGAAACCTAAATTATAAATGTCACTTTATTTACCGACTAGTCGACTAGATTTTAAATGTAGCTTATAGCACGTAGTATTTAAATTGACTGATATATTGCATTACATTTTACTCTTTGGGTACATTTTTGCAGAAATGGCAAACGTCAAAATTCAAACCGTGCGGTAAAATCTCCGAAAACATCCGATTACTCCCGGAAATATCCGAAGTGGCTCGGATCCGTGGGAAACGAAACTGTCGAGATAAAGTGACGCTCCCCACACGCTAGGTAGGTGTGTAATTAGGCATTTTACAGACGGGAGTAGAAAACATAAATTTTAATATTACTGTTATTTGTTGTGTCATGAATGCTATCTTAAAGAGGCGCTTTGATTCGATAAAAAAGTAAAGATACATCGTACATTTTGCGTTGTGGATTATACGCGAAATTGTACACCACTTAGAGGATAGTTTTGCATATTCTCTGGACTTGCTGTATAATACATTTTCGAACCATACTGAAGCATGCCAATTTTTTTACACTTTTACCGGGTTATTACCAGATATTTTTAGAGATTGAAAGCGGCGGTTTATGCGACATTTTGCTACTTTTTTGTGGGATTAAAGATGCCGTTAACAAAATTCTCATAGCCCTCTTGGTTTTTCAGATACAGGGTGAAATCCAAAACTATCGATTCTCCCATATCTCCGTTGTCTTATGATTTATCCAAGAATTTAAGAAACGTTCCTATTTTTAAATGGAAAACCCTGTATATAATTTTTTACATTAATTGGAAATCATCTAAGATTTTCAAAAATTGTATCTTTTTCATTTATTACTTTATTTGTAGCAATTGGTCATGGTAAATCAACTAAATAAACTAAAAATATTACTATACAGGATTTATTACTTAATTTCAAAAAAATAGGATGAAAAAGTGTATATTTTTAAATAATAATGTCTTATTAATATGATAAATATTATGTTAAGTGGATAGTTGGCTATGCCTCATCTGTTAAAAACAAAAGAGCAAATGTGTCAAAAACTTACGAGACTGTCGTTTTGATTTATATTTTTATTATCTATCCATTTGTTCTTTCAGTGTTTATTTCATTTTAATTAATTTTAAACTAACCAAAACAACTGTATACTGATATGTATATCTGAAAAACTTAAATGATTTCCAATTAATATAAAAAATAATATACAGGGTGTTTCTTTAAAAAAGATATGTTTGCTTCATAATTAATAAACGGTTAGATCAGGTAAGAAACAAGCTACTTTACTGGATTCTACGGAAAAAAACCTATATGAAGGTTCAAATAGTCCTTGAATTTGATTGTCTCACGCAGTAGATTGAGATTTCCGTATCATGCTTTCATTTGAATAGAAAAAAAAAAGCCTCCAGTCTTCAGAATTGTAGTCTGTACCAAGTTTCATTATTAGATTAGGAATATTGGTGCAATAAACAAGTGAACCATTTTGTTCGAAATATAAATTGTGATTCGCGTTTTCTGAAATGTGAGATTTAAACGTCGGTCTAGATGCTAAAATTTCATTTCAATCAACAAGTAAATCTGAGCCTCTCGCTAAGTCATTAAGTACTGATTTTGAAAATAGCTGTGTAGGCTGAGAAATATTCCATATATCACCAACACCACCAAGGGTATCTTCATCTATTTCAGTTTCAGAAAAGCTGGTCTAATTGAAGACTTGAGTCTTAAACCTTCTTCACATTCCTGAAGACTTTCCGCGAGAACCCCGAACATACTCGAAGGTTCACGAAAATTCAAATTTTCCCACCAAAAGTGGTTTGGAACCGGCAGTAGTATACTACTCTTTTGTTGTTGTACCTACAGAGGGTGTTTTCTAACGAAATGTTCATTTTAAAAAGACAACGGCATACGTACATACGTTCTAAACATGGTGGTAAAGTTTTGAAAAATAAACTATATTTCTGAATTAAAACAATATTACAGATGTTAAAAAAATATATTTTATTTTTGAAAACTTTTCCACCCTGTACCTTAAAAGTTTAGACGATTAGAACATATGTTGGTATGAAGTTTTCTTTTTAAAATGATCCCAAAACTTGGCTCCTTAATAATTGACATTTAATTGGAGAACACCCTGTATACTGATCTAAATTACCCTTTGGTTTTCGTTATAATGCGTTTCGTCATATTTTTGAGAAAAAAATCGAGTTAAGTCGACCTTAATTCGACCTTAAGTACTTTACCGACTCTTGCGATGAAAAATTGTTGAGTTTTTTTTGGGCCCATGAAAAAAATCAATCAAATCAAATCAAAACTAACCAAAATTTACCTAGTGTTGGATATGACGGCAGCTTTGGGCAACCCGGTTGTACCAGAGGTGTAAATATAAACGACTTTATCTCGTGGCTGCGTCGCGATTATGTCAACAATGGGCGATATGGTTTTTTGACTTTCCAATTCCGTTTTGAGACATCGCACGCTCGCCGGCGTGCTCGATATCTTCTCTCCCGTCTTAAATTCGAACAGTTCAAGTCGCCGGGTCTGATCCGTTAGGTCGGAAATCACTGAAAATCGGTTCATCATCTCGTTGGTTTCAAAATTTAAGAGAAAATGGTAAAAAATAAATAAGAACTAAAAGTTCAGATTTTCACGAAATTATATATTATGACATGACAATTGTTTCGACAACACCGTGTCTTTATCAAATGTAATATCTACAAACTAATATATAATTTTGTGAAAATCTGAACTTTTAGTTCTTATTTATTTTGATAAATGGATTTTCATCAAGTAAAAGCCACATCAGTTCAATTTTCGAAAATGGTAAAGTCTGTTCATAGATATAAGAACTGATACGAATTAAGAAAAGACCCGGGCAAGCTGTAAGAATGAAATATGGCCGAACAGGTCCGTACTTTGCTTAGAATTTAATTATTTGGGGCTACATGTAGTTTTGGATTGTTCCTTTTGTGTCACATGAGGAAGGGGTTTTAGTCAACTGTCCACTGTGATAACTTGCATTGTCCATTACAATGACGTTATTAGGAGGAATGTTTGGAACTAGTTTGTTTTTAAACCAACTTTCAAATAAATTAGCGGTGGTGTCTTCATGGTAATCCAGAGAGGAATCTTTAATATTTTTCGCAGACAGAGAAAATCTTGGAATCCAACCATCTTTAGAGCCAGCATGCAAAATAGTTATTCTTTTACCTCTTTTTGATGGCGCGTTTGATTTACACTTATCAGTTGAGTCAACCCAACCCTTTTCCGTGGTATCATAAGTATCGAACCAGGTTTCATCCAAGTAAATAATTGGCCTTTGTTGTTCTCTGAATCCTATCCTCTAAATCCTATTTTTTCTAGATATTTGGGTCGCCATTTCCGAATTCTAATAGATTTCATTAAAACTTGCCTTTTGTCAATTTTTTTAAATCTGAAACCCATGTGTTGAATACAATTCCATAAGGTATTTCTGCCACATTTAACACCGGTTTCATCTTTTTCAAGCCTCCTAATTAAGATATTTAATGTAGGTACGCTTTGTTCCTCGTATAACTGGTAAACCTTACACCGTATTATATCTTGATCACTTCCATCTACACTCGAGAAAATGTCAGCATCGCTTCTTTTTTTCCTCGCTGAAATGGGATTATTCACAATTTTCCATACATTTGATGTTGGAATTTTCGTCAATGTGGCCGTTTCTTCTAAAGATGCTTGCTTGCTGCACCACGTTCAATGAGAGTCAAATAAACATTGTTTATAACTTCCTTAGTCTTAATAGAATAGTGTTTTCTACATTTGGGCGGGAACATCTCCTGAGATACATTAGATCCGCACATATTTTGCGTAATTCGCACACGATTCAACACACTGTATTACACACGAAATAAGAATGATTACTAATAAACTTAAACTAAGTAGTATACCAAACCAAAGAATATTAAACACAGGTGGGTATAAAATTGTTTTCTATTAGGGACCACAATTGTATGTTATTAACCAACCACTCTTGGATAATCCCATTCAAAAGCAATTGGTCACTTTCTTATATCTATGAACAGACCATACATACAAATGTTGTTTCTCTAAAAAATACTAGTTTTGGTTAGTCATTCGAAGATTAAGTAAAAGATATAGGCAACGGCATTTGAATTTGATGCTACAGGGTGTTGAAAATAAACGTTCGTTTAAAATTGAAAAATATCGATTTTTTTTTAAGGGCACATGCTATATCGTCGGTGTACAAGAGAAAGTGGCCAAGTTCAAATTTTCTAGAATTTAATTTGTAACAGTAAAATGTTCAAAACCTTTTTTTTTAAATGATTTCCATAAGTTATTATAAGTTATTTTTCTCATTAGTAATTTTTATAGTTTAATAATTTGTTATAATCGTGAATTTGTTATTTAAATAGTTAATGAGGCAATAGACATTTAAACATTTACACTCTATACACCCTAACATACGTTTTACCATTGAGTTGGAAACTAATAATAACCTTCCATTCTTAGATATTCTTATCAATAGAAAATCAGACCTAACATTGGGTCATTGTGCATGGTCACATTACCATCCGGCCCAAAAATCATCGGTTATCAACTCTCTTGTTTACAGGAGCCGTAAAACTATCTCAGTTCCAGTCATCGAACCCAGAATTAAAACACCTTACCTCCGCTCTTCTCTCTAATGATTTCCACATTAAAGATATTAAGCGTTCGATCAAAAAATCCTTCCTTACATTCAAAATATCACTGACCAAAAGTTTTAAAGAAGTATAACGCCAAAACCAGATTTATCACTTGTCCCAAAATCTCGCAACATCTTAGGTCCGTCAAAGACAAACTTCCATTTGCGATGTCAGCAGTTTACAGCATTCCATGCATATGCGGAAAGGAACACCTTGGAGAGACCGGACGAAAAATATCAACTAAACACAATCACAAAACCGGACATGAAATTTTATTCGATAAAACTAAAATTCTTGCATGTAATCCGTTCTTCTACCAACGGAAAATCCGAGAGTCTATAGAAATCTATAAACAACCTAACAATCTTAACCGCGACTCAGGTCTCCACCTGTTACCATTATGGGAATCAGTCATCCGAGACGGTGTTTATTCCCTTCATATAAGCAGGTACAGAGTAAAATGCGAGCCAGTTTCAGTCAAGCTCTGAAGAAGCCAACAGGATGATCGGCGAAACGTCAGTAAGTTCGATTCAGGACAAAAACCAGAAACAACAGAACTTTTGCAAAAAGTAGTTAATAAATGTTAGATGAACAAATTGACGTTAATTTCCTTCGAATAGGAAAATAATAAGTATAGTTATATTATGACTAATAAAACAACACCAGAACAGAAAATAATAATAGGTATATGACTATAATAAAACAATACTTAAGTTAACTATTCAATATTTATTTCCACTACAATAAACTTACAAGAAATAATTGAATTTTATATTTGTAAAAATTTCAAATATTAATAGCTTAAAACTGTTATTATAGGACTTGGTCACTTTCTCTTGTATACCGACGATATACTGTTTATTTACGAAATATTCCAGTTAGAGTTCTCCGAACGATATACCGTTTATGACGTTGAAGACCCGCCTGTTGTAAAGCGGATGGGACCATTCTTTTCAGCACGTGTACCCCAAGCCAGGGCCATATTTAAGATGTTAACCGACAAGAACTGTGCCGTGCTAACTGTTGTATTTTAAGAGTAGGGATTTTTTATTGAACTGTTATATTAGTTCATTCATGCACGGTCCCTACTTGGGATAGCTCGATTTCAACTTGAAATTGATAGGTTGATAGGTTGAGCTCCTATGAAGATGCGGTTTTAAATATTAAATGTTTCTCAAAAATCGATCCCTTGATATGTAGGTCGATTTTGCTCTATCTAGTTAAGAAGTAGCTTTTTCCTGTTGTAACATTTCAATTGCAAGTACCTTGTACAGGGTTATTCAATATATTTTAACACCCACTTAAAGGGTTAATTTTGGAAGATAGAAAAAAAAAAGTGTAGATGCAAAAGTTTGAAGATTTTTGCTCTATTATCTTATGCAATTATCAGAAAAAACACACGACGATCGCAAGATGTCAAAATGACAGCGACATCATTTTTTAATAATGGAATGCCCTATATGTTATTATCTTAATAGTAGTTCTAGTAGATCATTTGGCCGTTTTTAGATATTTAAGTTTAAAAATAATTTTCGTTCGATTTCTGGACAATAGCCATATTGTTTAAAAATGGTCAGGTCTGCCTCGATAGCAACCATATTATCTAAATTTGAAACTAAAGATCATGCAACGTAAGTTAAATAACTTAAAATATTTCAAATAAGTTATACTGAGGAAGAAAAACTGCGAAAAATAAAATTATATTATTCAAACAATAAAAATAATAATTAAAGCTAAACATTTTCCACATAACCTCCATTATTTCTTTTCAATTTCCTAATAATACAAGAGGTGATAAAATCAGTGTTTTCTCTGTTTAGATCTTGTAAAACGATATCACTTGTAAACTTTCAGGCTTATTATGATAAATTTTATTTCGGTTGGACAGTTGGACATTATATGGAGGTGCGCCATCTTGATGCCAAATTAAATTGAACATTTTCTAACAACTGTTTCTTCTTTCTTTTGAGAAATATCTCAAAAACGGCTGAATGAAGTGTTAATAAATTATGTTTTTGAAATCAAGAAAAAAAGATTTACGGTTTAAGAAAATATTACATTTGGAATTCCTTTAAAAAAAAATGATGTTGTCATTTTGACAGCTTACGATCGTCGTTTGTTTTTTCTGAGATTAGCATGAGACAATAGAGCAAAAATCTTCAAAGTCTTGTATTTACACTCCCTTGACATTCTAAATATCCCGTGATTTAATTAAATAGACAGTCTTCTAAAAGGCTTCACTGTTTAGTGGGCGGAATAATTATTTCTTTGATCACACTGAGTTCAGTTTACCCAGCTCAAAAATGACGATTATAAAATAATGATTTTTTCAAACAATTTTTTCGATTTTTTGGTACCTTTAGAGAAATCTGATCCAAAAATGACCGCTTTGCTTTTGGCGACGCCTATGCAGTGTTCCAGCGGATCGGACGACAGGTTCGTGTTGATCAGAGCGGTGACGACGCCGATTTTGGACAACCCCAACCATATCCCGACGTATTCGGGTCGATTTTCCATGAGCAATGCCACGGTGTCCCCTTTCTTGTACCCGAGGGATTTAAAGTAGTGCGAAACCCGGTTGCTAAACTCCTCCACCTGAAATTTTAGTGGCCGCAGAATGATAGGTCGAAAAAATTACTTACGTTAGAGGGACGAGCTTTGGATTGGCGTAAAAACAATTACAGTATGACCAAAAATATAGTCAAAATAAATAAGAACTAAAAGTTCAGATTTTCACGAAATTATATATTTTTGCATGACGATTGTTTCGACAACACCGTGTCTTTATCAAATGTAATATTTACAAACTACCTGCTACTATATCTATATACCGCAAAATGACAATAAAACCTTCATTAGTGTTGTTGTAAGAATTTAAGTAATAATGGAGAGGTATTTCAATCTAAATGATCATTTTGACATTTGAAGATTCATAAAAAAGTTCCACTCTTGATTGACATCATCCATTTCTGTCAAAATTACATCCTTCCACTTTTGTTCTTGTAGACAGTTTATAAAGGTTTGCTTATTTTTTTCTGAAAAGATTCTTTTAAAATGAGTGGTATGTTATCTAAAATTCTCTAAAGGCAATGTAATTTTCTGAGCAGTATGAACAGAAATATCATCATTATCAAATGTAATATTTACAAACTACATGCTACTATACATACCGCAAAATGACAATAAAACCTTAATTAGAGTTGCTGTAAGAATTTAAGTTTAATAATGGAGAGGTATTTCAATCTAAATGATCGTTAGGCAATACATTTGAATGTCTCATTTTGTTAATCTCCATGGCTTTCAATAAATTTAATTTTCTACTTTTTGTGGCCGTATGTAAAATATCAAAACTGTTGTCAAAAATGTGTTTTTCTGTGTTTAAGTGTGTAGCATATTTAGAATCTAGACTATTGTTTTTAAACGCTCTTTTATGTTCGTTAATGCGTTTCTTGAAGGATCTACCTGTTTGTAGAATATCAATTTTGGGACAAGATCCGTATTTCAACCTGTAGACACCTGATTTTTGATATTTTGGACATTTCGTTTTATTGTTTTTTAAAAATTTTCCTATTGTGTTGTTAGTTCTGAAAGCTATTTTTAAACCACACAACTTTTTGTGTTCTGTATTAGGTTTCGGATAAATAGAGTTTACTGTTGTCTGGATTTGTTTTTTATTTATAATTTTATCTATAATGGACGGACTGTAGCCGTTGCTGAGTGCAATTTGTTGTGATATTAAGTTCTTTGTTGTAATTTTCTGTTGAGAGTGGCGTATTAACACGTCTGTGTATAAAAGAGTGAAAAGCAGCCATTTTGTGTGTATACGAGTGATTTGAGCTGTTACGCATGACTGTGTCCGGACACAGTCATACAACACAGAATTTGGAGATCATGTCCCAAAATTTATATCGGACAAACTGGTAAAACATCTAAGAATCTCATTAACAGTTCATTTAAATTCAGAAATGCACCGGTTTCGTCGATAATTTTGATATTTTACATAATGAAACAAAAAGCAAAAAAACTAAATTTTTTGGAGATTAATGTAATGAAATATTTCGATCTATTACTTACTAATGTCAATTCTATCAATTTTATGCTCACTGCTTTTCCTTACTTATACTTCTGATATTTTGAGATCTTTAAAATTTTGTAAAATTCAAGCCTTTGCGGATGATACCCAAATTTCAAAATAAAATATAAAGAATATCTTCTTACTCTCTATGAACGGGCTTAAACTAAAATTAGTAATTATTTTTATTATTATTAAATGCGTCTGAGCTATAACACTGCACCTATAATTAAGAATCTATTATAATACGACCAAAAATGTAGTGCGTTCATTGCTTTGACGTTTTAACTGTTTTACAGTACCTTAACCGCAGACCATCGCAGGACCGTTTATGTTTATTCTGCATTAAGTGGGTCTTGCCTGAGATGGACCGTAACGAATATTTGTGGAAACTTGAAATTTTTATTTGAAACGTAAACGAAGAAATAACACTGCACCAAAATTTAGTGATAGTACCATAAACGTAATTCAGCAAGAGGTAGCTAAAATATCAGTACAAAGCTGGTCTAACTTTGAAAAACCAGTCATAAAATAAGAAAATATTTATCGAGAACGATTAGTAGCGATAGTGACGATTTTTTAAGTTACTGATACTTTATTATTATTATATTTAATATTTTGTATATTAATAACGATACCATTTGCACTATTTTTTTATGTACACGTTTCAAGTATTGCTCGGCGAAAAAGAGTGAAAACATACTTATGTCCCGCTTGTTAGTGTAGGTAGATAAATTCCCAGGACGGTCCTGGAATGGTTAAGGGTAAGGGTTTGCTCGGCAGGGTGTTCTATAAGGGGCTGCGATTTTGCAATAAACAGTAGGCAAAGTAGATCCCGGGGTCGGTTGTGAAAGCACTATATTTCTGGTCGAGGTATACCTGTCGAAATGTCCACTGTCGATCCTCGATATAAAACGCCACTTTGTCCGGATGTTTGTCGACCAACTTCGTAAACAGTTTCGGGATAGTTTCCTGGTTACGTTCCCATTTCCAAATGGTGAAGTTCAGTTGTGCGAATCGGAAACCAGCCCTGAAACCGATCAGTTTCAATCCCATTCTGGGAATCGTACTATAATTAAGCACTATATGCAACGCTATTGTCTGTCTTTCCGACTCATGCTGGTCATCACAGCAATAGCTAAATATTTATTATATGTACACATTCTTAAGTAACTATCAATAAGCATAATAGGTTCTCCTCTGCACTTTATTCTTTGTAATAATAATAATGACTCGAACAGCTGACGATATCATAACATTAAGATCGAGACTGTGTACTACACAAGAAAATAAACTTAATCTAGATTGGTATAATATTTTTGCAAACACTCTTTTCCAGTCCAAAGATATTCACGTCAAACGGCCGTCCATTTGAAAATTTAAACAATTACCAAAAAAGGTTTTTGGAGAGCATTGTTTCTATTCTATATACAAATTTATCACACATCAGGCACAGTAGATCTAGTTTATTTTGTAAATTAATTATTCTTAGAGTGTACCTATATATCCAAAGTTTTACTTTCTGGTTACACTGGTTTAACTGTTTATATGTAATATATTTATCTTGTTTGTACTCTTGCTTGAAATACAAAGGTTTTGCGTTTTTACAAAATTAAAAATATACGTAAGATATATGGTTGACTTGCAATGTTAAATCGCATTTAATATTAAAAAGTTGCTATTATTAAGTGTACAATATAACCTTGCTCACCTTAAAAGGACTTAGATCACTTTCAAAATAAATATTTGTTTTGTTACAAAAAGTGAAAGAGCTTAAAGTACGTCACAGATATCTTTAAAAAAAACATTTAAATTATATTTTTAGATAATAGAAATAAATTTAGGAACAAGTTATTTGTTAACGTACTCAGTATGAAGAAGTGATTTGAAGTAGTTATGGTATTCCAGAAGTATGCACCGCAATAAGTCCATCATGTGTCGGTATTTTAGTGATACTTCTTATACTTTTATATAATGATGGCAAAAAGGAATTTTGAAGACTGTGAAGTGAAGTGAACTCTTTGAAAATTGCGCACTTTGGCTAAAAAAGTAACAACGATCAGCAAAAAAGTGGAATTGTAAGAGAACCTTAGTCAGCTTGACCTTTATTTTGAAGATACTCATAGAAAAAAAAAACATCTAGTTGAAATTTTAAGAACCAAAAGGCATCTGGTAATTAATTAATTAATCATGTACCCTGGTATTTAGTAAGAACGTATATAATTAAAATATCTAATTTTGTCAAATTGTCAAATTTTGGAAACATTAGATTCGTCGATTTTCGCGAATTTCGTTAATTGTTCGAAATTAGCGACCAGGACATTTTGACAACACTGAACTCGTTCCTAATATTACGCCAAGTTTCTGGGGGAATTACACCGAAAACATCTTTCAGATCTTCCGCTGAATTGGGCTTTCAAACATAATTTTTGCTTTTTAGATATTTCCATAGGAAAAAATATAGGGGTGTTAGGTCTGGCGAACGAGCTGGCCATTCACCTTTTAGGAAAAGTGGAAAATTGGCAATTATTTAATTTTTTGTCTCGCGAAAACTGACGTATGCTTTCAAAATTGACATGCGAATAGAACGTCAAAAGACCATTAAAAGGAGGTTTCACATGATCCTTCTTACATTTAAAATGGAGCCCTGCTGTCATTTTGACATATTGTTTTTATGTCAAAAATTTGACGTTTTAATTATACACGTGCCTACCAAATTTCACAGTGCCATTTAGGCGGGCACTGTAAAACAAAAATTATCGGGTTTTAATTTCCTTAGTACTACCCTGGAGCGTATTGATTTAATAGGCCAAAAATAATATTAAGAGTAATATTCCATTTAAAATCGTAGGGAAACCGTTTTTAGTTGCTTTGTTTTGTTCCCGTCAGGACACACTGTATAGGTAAAATTAATTACGCATCAGTGGTGGATCATTTCAAACACTTAATTTAGAAGCCCTCGAAAAACCTAGACGCCAATGCGTGCCACAAGTTTTGCAAGAGACACGTAATGATGATATCATCGTCGCCCTCTTGAACTTCGGTGCCTTCTAAACTATAACATATCTACTGTATCAGATTTCATAAAGTGTTTGTTATCTCTATCGAATTTTTATCGATCAATACGGACGTTCTATGGCGACGTAAGATAACAAATCAGCACCTCTGCACTGTGAACGATTATGGGCAATATAAAAATGTACCTCTTCAGAATATTTATGAGGTTTAAGATAGTGATAGAAGCGTATCTAACTTGACGATAATATCTGATCATTTAGACGCAATTATATTTTGAAATCTTCTGGATTCCTACTGCGTGTTAAGGCTCTGACTAACCTTAGCTTTGTATCTCGATTGGCTTATCACAATAGAAACGGTAATTGTACATTCATCAACATACACAGAAGACTTGGTGAAACCTGATAATAAACGGAGACCAAGGTATAAAAGAATCATTACAAGAGAAGAAAGAATACTTCAAAATGTGGAGGCGGACCCGTCAACGAGTACGAGGAAACTTGCTGTTCAGGGCAGAATTGCTTGCTCTACAGTTTGGGAGTTTTGAATGAAAATAATCTTCGAACCTTTCATGTTCAAAAATCAGGCATTTGTACGAAGGCTACCTTTTATATTTCGGGATTTGTAATAAAAACCTATAAGCTACCAACAAATAGGACTTTATTGATTATCTGATGATCAATACACTTTTGCATCCGGTAAAACCAATCACATTGAGTCGGGCATCTCCAAAACATGCTTTTTAAACGCATCAATCGCTTCTTCTGATGTCAAATATCGTTGCCAACGTAGTTTATTCTTAATGTATGGGAATAGAAAGAAGTCATTAGGTGCTAAATCAGGACTATATGGTGGATGGATCATCAAATCAAATCGGTGAGAGATAGCATTGCCGTCGTGGATTCGTCTTCGACGGTTGGTTTTTCTAATTTCTTCGAAGACTTTCGGCAAACAAATGGTGGTGTACCATTCAGAATTGACTATTTTGCCATTCACCAAAGAAACAGTTGCACCGTGGCCAGTTTTGGTTAGTTTTAGTTTGGTTTGGTGGTTTTGTGGGCTTTGTCTCATTCTGAAAGACCCACACAGTCGACTGCTGCTTACTTTTAAGCTCATATGCATAGATGCATGATTCATCACCTGTCTCGATATCATAGACGTGTTTGGAAGCACCGCGATCGTATTTTTTTAGCATTTCCTTCGACCAATCAACACGAGCCTTTTTTTGAGCTGATGTCAAATTGTGTGGAATCCAACGCAGACAAGTTTTTTTAGCGGCCCGATGTTCAAGCAAATAGTATGTATGCTGGTCCCACTAATGCCCAAAGATATCTCAATCTCATGGAAAAACACATGACGATCCTGCAAAATTAGTTTCCGTACTGCATCAATGTTTCACGAAATTCATCCACATATCAAAAGTTCTAAAGAAGTATAACGTCAAAACCAGATTTACCACTTGTCCAAAAATCTCTCAACATCTTCGGTCCGTCAAAGACAAAATTCCATTTGACATGCCAGGAGTTTGCAGCATTCCATGCATATGCGGCAAGAAAGAGCCTTACGACTAAGACAAATAAACTCATCGGCTGTTGTATTCGATGAAACTAAAATTCTTGCATGTAATCAGTTCTTCTACCAACGAAAAGTCCGAGAGTCTATAGAAATCTATAAACGATCGAACAATCTTAACCGCGAGTCAGGCCTCTTACCTGTCACCAATTTGGGAATCAGTCATCCGAGACGGTGTTTATGCCTCTCATTAGCGCCCTCCTCAAACAATATATAAGCAGGTACAGAGTAAAATACGAGCCAGTTTCAGTCAAGCTCTTCAGAAGCCGACAGGATGATTGGCGAATATAATAATATATAATATAAATAACCGACGCAGGAAGAATCCCGAAGATTTGTAAATAATATTGCAGGGGCCTGTGGAAGTTTCTTAGAAAAATCAATTTCCCCGAGCGGACCCGTACCCACATAAATTTATATCCGCTTCCGGTAATAATCAAAAGCGGTGTCGAGCTCTGTTAACTGTCAATAATAGAGTCTAATTATTTAATTACGTGAGATACGTGAATCGAGCTATCAATTCCTGCAAAATATAAAGTAAATTTATGACACTACTTACAGCAGATCCCGTGGGAGCGTTTTAAACAGGACGTATATCCATCTGTATCTTCTGTTTCCGATAAGAAACGTAGCGAACAGAACAATAAGGGTGACGAACAAAATCTGAAACAATTATTTATGCCAGTCAAGGTGCTAATTTAACTTCAATTAGCAGTATTGAGTATTGTCGATTGTAGCGAAGTTATTTACACTTAAAAAATCAAAAATAAAACAGGGAAACAATTGAAATATTACATTAAGGAATTAATGAATTTTGGGCTAGGTTTATGAAAAGTCAAATTCCGATAATAACGGAGACAAATTCAAAATTTCGTTAAATTTTAAGGACAAAAGTTATTGAATCGGAATTGAGTGTTGATTTAAATCATTAACCAAAAAAGTGTCAATTTTTTTTAGTTTGATTGTGGCAATTAGAATTTAGGAGGCAATTAGTTTAAATCATTTATTGCGACAAAAAAAAGAGGAAAATTTATGACACGGTACTCATAGTTACCTCACATGTTGTAGATTCTCTCTGAATCGCAAATTATATTATTTATACATATTAGGGTGCTTCAAAAATTTTTTTAATTTTTTTTAGCTCTCAAATGTTTCTTTTTCTATGTACTGGCAGCCATTTTTGAAATTTGTAACCCATAAAAATAATAATACTGACTATTCCCGGATTAAAAAATGAATTGAAAAGTATTGAAAATAACGACATTTTAATACTTCCGAATATTTTAAATTCCTTTTCTTATGCAGAATTGAAATTGTCAATTTTTTTAAAATCATTTTTCTAATCAGGGTTAGTTAGGATAAAAATTGTGAGAAATTATGTAAATAAAAAATTATTAGAAGCTATTTCTGAAGAGTTCAAAATTTAGTAGTTTTTAAATGGCGGTAATCTTCTTTTAATGATAATCATACTTTGTTATACGGTTTTGGAAAGCTTCAAGACTCAACTTTAACAATATAAATTTTTTCCATGTTAATTAAATCTGAAAGTAAAATAAAAATAGCGATCCCTTAGAGTTGATCTACAGGGCTCATCTTTGGTGACAATTTTTTTTATTTCATAAAGAAACATTTGAGAGGCTAAGAGCTAAAAAAAAATCTTTTTTAGAGGCACCCTAATACACATATATTAATAATTATTAATTAATATTATATTATATATACAAAAATAGGACGAAATATATTCTCGATCAACTGATTCATACAACATACAATAAGGGAGAACAAACGATGTAAGACAACAAAAAGGACAGTTTAAAACACAATTAGGCAATTTTATTGCCTTCTTCGCGAAAAGAGACCACATATACTTAAAATCCTGTTTTTTCTGAAATGAAGTAATGTACAAAGAGTTCATTATATCATCGGTTTCAAACATTATGAGAAAATGATTAATACAAAAGTTTTAAAGATGCACAATTCGAAATTATTCTAACGTAGGAGGCTCAAAAAAGCATGACGAATGAAACATACATTTTTCAAAATCGAATGTTTGGAATTTTTCTGTACTGGTTTTCACACTCTCCACGCGAGGCGTTGAAAATAAACTTAAATTAAATCTTACAAAAGCCTGCAACTTTTATGAAGTATGTCTTATAGCCATTTTTAAAACTTTACAAATTTTTCCAACATTTACCCTGTAGCATTTAATTAAAATTCAGTTGCATACATCTTTTACTACATCTTGGAATAACGCAAATGTCAAATATGAGTGGAACGCCTTAAAAAATAATTTTTTTGCAAGTTGTAACACTTTAGAAATGTTACGGTATGTCGCGGATTTATAGTTTCTCATTATCGACGCGTAATAAATAACGTAGACCAGTTTTCATCTGTCTCTTTTTTTGTCCCCTTAACCTTCAAGACTATCTTTTATCGATTGTACCAATTTAAATTTAATGGTAGGTTTCATCGTTAATGTTCTCTTTTTTTTGTAAAACATCGGGTTCCTCACACCATCTGAGAGACTGGAAGGTCTGGTACTTCCTGGCGCCCTAAGGATAAATAGTGCTATATTTGCTTTATTATTCGTGCCCCCCCCCCCCTCCCCCCGCGCCAAAACTCTGAGCACTACGGGTAACTAAGCACCTAGCGACCCAGTTTTGCAAGAAATTCAATTTTTTTTTTCCTCTTTCTTATTATTTTTTATTTTATATATATATTTTTTTTCCTTTTCTGACCAGTATTTCGCGTTGATTTTATATATGGTTTAGACCAAGAGGTGCGTGGCAAAGTGTGAAAGTTAGTATTTTTTTAAAAAAAATAAAATTTTGGAAAAATCATTTAGTTTAGGTATGTATTATTATTAATTATTAGACACACTTTTTAAACCACCCTCTATATTTTAAAACAATTTTAAATCCTGCGTCCTAACAGTCCTTACAACTTTTGTATTTGCCATTTTCTCAAAACATTTGAAGCCGACGAAATAATGAACTTTATTCTATGGTTGACTAACCTTAAGCGGCCGATTTTGGGTCCATTTTAAAAACAAAACTTCATGTGAACGTATGAAACTTGAGACGTCTTAACTTTTGATATACACAGTGGTAAAGTTTTCAAAATATCACTTTAGATATTTTAAGAGACATTGTTTACTTTATCACATTTATTTCAAAATGCACTGTCTGCTTTGGCAGACATTGATGGTACGCCACTGATTTTTCTTAAAATAAAATTAAAAAGTCGTGATTGGGAAATCAACTAACCCACGATGTTTTAAGAACATTGCAAGCAATTGCCGGTCATTTACAAGGCAAACAAGTCTGCATGGATGACATCGCAAGTTTTAGAAGAGGAGATACGAAAATGGGATGCAGAATTATTACTTCTCTTAGATAACTGCCCTGCACATGCCCATATTCAAAATCTACGGAATATTGAATTGGCATTTCTTTCAGAAAAAACAACAAGTGTATTACAGCCGATGGACCAGAGCGTAATAAAAAGTCTTAAGAGTCGATAAAGGAAAAGCATTTAAATGATCGACTCCGAAGACAAATTTTCCATGAATATTCTAGATGCAGTCAACTTTATTAGTAAAGCTTGGAACGAGATGCCCGCAGAAACAATTCAACACTCCTATCGTCATGCAGGACTTATTACCGAGACAGAATGCGAACAGGACTAGGAAGATGATCAGCCACTAAGCGAGTGGATAAAGCAGTTTCAAACAACAATTACGTTTACAACTGAGGAGTTGCAAGATTTTATGGTGATAGATCAGGATTTGCCTACAACAGCAGACTTGACAGGGGAGGCCATATTACAACAAGCAAGAAAGGGTGAGGAAGAGCACCAAAAGGACGAAGAAGATGAAGAAGTTGATCTGGGACCACCACCAACCATTCAACAAGCCCTATATTCAGTTAAGAAATTTTTTATGTATCATGGGGAAGAAGCCCCTCTCTAAAAAATGTAGTTCTCAAATATTTATATAAAATGTTCCTAAGTAGATGTTAAAGTATCTATAAAAATAATTAAATATTACAGAATATTACAGAACAGAACAGACACGGTGTTGTCGAACAAATGTCATGTCAAAATATACAATTTCATCAAAATCTGAACTTTTAGTTCTTATTTATTTTGATAAATGGATTTTCATCAAGTAAAAGCCACCTCAGTTCAATTTACGAAAAAAAAAGCAGTCCTTCAATTTCGCTATATAGCGTTTCGACTGTAAATGTGATCTCTTTTGGAGTTCGGAAGAAAGCAAGCAATAAAATTTCAAAAACATCGACCACATAAGAAATGGATTTTTCCTAAACCCAACCGAAAACCCATCAATTTTTTAATATCGAAATTTCGCTTATTAAAGTGTAATTTCCCGTCGTGTGATCTCTTCGAGAGTCCCGAATTACCGCTAATGACATGTATATATTTTCGTAATCAGCAAGCAAAATGACTATCAAATGTTTAACGACAAATATTTTATAAAAAACATATATATATATATATATATATATATATATATATATATATATATATATATATATATATATATATATATATATATATATATATATATATATATATATATATATATATATATATATATATATATATATTTAAATTTGACTTGCAATTGACACTAAGATTTTTAATTTAATTAATTGCTTAATTATTCAAAGCTTCCGATAAATATAGTACATTCAAGATTCGAGTAAATACTTAGTTCACAAAAAAACGTTCCTCTCATGCCTCGTACTAGAAGAGCGGTTATTTTTCTTATATCGTTTTTTTTATATCCTCCGTTTGAATTGCATAAAAAAATCACTTACCATTTTGTCAAACGAGCTTTATGTCATTATTACACTTATTCTATTTCATCCCCCGATACGCGTGGAGGATTTAATCACAAACACACTAGTAAAAATACGCCAATATACGTAGAGGCCAACTCACATACTAACCGGTTCAACGAACGTCAACGCAAGACTACTGGTACTGAGTACTAATTCATTGATCGTCAGCTTGCGGCAGTCTGGTGGGAGGTCAATCTACCCGCATCTAGTTTTTTTTTTAATAGAGGTATATTGCTGTAGGTATTTAAAAATATAACCAAGTAAAGTCTGTTCATGGATATAAGAAAGTGACTAACTGATACGAATTAAGCAAGACCCGGGCAAGCTGTAAGAATGAAATATGGCCGAACAGGTCCGTACTTTGCTTAGAATTTAATTATTTGTGGTTTTGTTAGGAAAGATACTAAACAGTATTTATTTATTTATGTATGTATTTATGATTAAATCTAAAATAAAATTACAAATTATTTTAATTAGCCACTTAAATTACTTAAAATGATTCATATAATATATCAGTATCACTATCGCTATCATCGCCTGTTCTAATTATTATTTGTTCTATATTATTATTATTATTATTATTATTATTATTATATATTATATAATATACAGTGGTAAGGTGGAAAAGCCTTAAAACTGAATGTCCTAGGTTTTTTGCATAATTATCATAGACGTATTCCTTTTATAGATTTAAGCTTTGTAGAGGCTCAATTAATTGCTTTTTGGTATAATCTTCGTGAAAATAAATGTCGTTATTATACTTGTAGTTTTGGATTGTTGCTTTTGTGTCACATGAGGAAGGGGTTTTAGTCAACTGTCCACTGTGATAACTTGCATTTTCCATTACAATGACGTTATTAGGAAGAATGTTTGGAACTAGTTTTTTTTTAACCAAATTTTCCATACAGTGATGTTGGAATTTTCGTCAATGTGGCCGTTTTTTCTAAAGATGCTTGCTTGCAAATAAACATTGTTTATAACTTCCTTAGTCTCAATAGAACAGTGTTTTCTACATTTGGGCGGGAGCATCTCCTGAGATACACTAGACTCGCACATATTTTGCATAATTCGCACACGATTCAACACACGCTGTATTACACACGAAATAAGAATGATTACTAATAAACTTAAACTAAGTAGTATACCAAACCAAAGAATATTAAACACAGGTGGGTATAAAATTGTTTTCTATTAGGGACCACAATTGTATGTTATTAACCAACCACTCTTGGATAATCCCATTCAAAAGCAATTGGTCACTTTCTTATATCTATGAACAGAGCATACCTCTCGAGTTGTTGACATACATATATACGAGGCGACATCGTTAGAATCGGTACAGGCATTTATTTACATAAATATTTTATCATAAAGTCAAATTATAGCTAGGCCTCCATTCATTTCATCCAACAAAAACGTTCAGAGTTTCACAGTTATTTATTATTTCATGACAGCTGTTTCGACAACACCGTGCCTTTATCAAATATAAAATATGACAATATTCCGACATCTATATATACGAGGGGGTATCCATAAAAAACCGGAATTGAATTGCCGCCCGCAGAGCTTGTATAGTGCACCTTTCTGCCGCTAGGTTGTGGATAGTACACCTTATTGCGAGTTCAACGCCACTTTCGTTTTAAATTTAATTTAAATAACTTGTTTTGTTCACTTGCAGAGCCATTTTTGTTATTTCGTTTTTTTCGATGGCAAGTTTAAAAGAACAACGTGCAGCTGTGAAATTTTGTTTTCTGCTCGGTATAAGTGCTGCTGAAACTGTTTCAATGTTAAAAATAGCTTATAAAGACGATGCGATGGGAGAAACTCAAGTGTACCAGTGGTTTGTTCGCTTGAAAAATGGCGATGAGTCAATTGATGACCGACACCTCGTTCTGAATCGACGAAAATATTGAAAAGATTCGAGAGTTTGTACTCACAGACCGTCGACAGACAATTGAACAATTATCAAAGATTAGTCTTGGAGCACGGTTCAGCGAATTTTAACCGAAGATTTGGGAATGAAAAGAGCTGCCAAGTTTGTTCCTCGTTTTCTGACTGACATGCAAAAAGAACATCGAGTTGAAACATGTCGTGCTTTGAATCAACAGCTTGAAACGGATCCAGATTTTCTTTCAAAGATCATTACTGGTGACAAGTCATGGTGCTATGGTTACGATCCAGAAACGAAGCAACAGTCCAGCCAATGGAAGACGTCACTGTCTCCCCGTACAAAAAAATGTCGTCAGGTCAAATCAAACATCAAAATTTTCGACATCAACGGCGTAGTTCATGCAGAGTTCGTTCCACCGGGTGAGACCGCTAATCAAGCTTTTTATCTGGAAGTTTTAAGAAGATTGCGCAACAGCATTCGACAAAAAAGACCCGATTTGTGGCGGACAGGGGACTGGCTCTCTCACCACGATAGTGCACCTGCGCACACAGCCATTTCTGTTAAGCAGTTTTTGGCTAAAAATGGCATGGTTCCTCTGGCCCATGCACCTTACTCGCCTGATCTCGCTCCGTGTGACTTCTTATTTCGACGTATGAAAAGGGAAATGAAAGGACAGCGATTTGACAACATTGAAGAGGTCAAGAAAAAAACGAGGGATGAGCTGTCGGTTATAGCCGAAGATGAATATAAAAAATGTTTCGAACAGTGGAAGCACCGCTGGGACAAATGTATTAGTTGTAATGGCGAGTATTTTGAAGGGGATAAGGTCGTTCTGTGATTTTCAAAACAATATATTGTTTATAAAAAATGATTCCGGTTTTTTTTGGGTACCCCCTCGTACAATCAGAAATATAGTGCCTTTACAACCGACCCCGTGATTAACTTTGCCTGCTGTTTATTACTCTTACCCATTCCGAATTACGTTTATGGTACTATCACTAAATTTTGGTGCAGTGTTATTCCTTCTCATATGCACTTTAAATAATGCGGATTAAATATACAATGATACGGGGGTTATCTCAAGATTTCATGTCCGTTTTGTTGTGCTATCGAATCCATTTTGTGGTCTTTATTAAAATGTTTTATTTTTAATAATTTTAGAAGTTGTTTTTTCGTGTATTCTCGTAAAGAAACTCTTTAATTTCTTCATTATTTTAAGAAGCATTTGGAATTTTTCTAATTTAGGCTCAACGATTCGAGGCATTATCCAACACTATAACAGTATCTGGAGATAGTTTTGGCAACAGTTTATTTTCAAACCAATCCTCAAATATGTCCGCGGTCATGTTTTCACGTAGTCCGCACTTGAATCTTTGACGTTATTGGCAGATAAAAATAAGGCATCTTCCACCCAACCATTTTTGGATCCAGCATGAAGAATGAAATAATGTTTAAGTGTCAGTAATTTTTCACGCAGTTCTTCTAAAGTTAAAACACTATTCACTTCATAACTTTGGAACTTCGGTCATGTCACGTGCTGCTCCTGCTTACACTACTGGATTTCTTATAAAATTGTAAACATTCAAAACAATTTGTTTAGCATCCGAAGGCAAATGGATCAGTTTTTTTATTTGCTGAGGTAGTTCGTCTTCTAAATTGTCATCAGGTTCGACTACCATCTCCACTTCGTCTGCGGTTAAGGTAAAATACTTAAAACGTCAAAGCATAAACGCACTATATTTTTGGTCGTATTATAATAGATTCCTCATTATAGGTGCATAATATAATATAATATAAAAATAATAGCTATCAAAGAAAAGACAAACGATACTTTAACAATGCTCTGCTAATACTATAAAAAATTTACCTAAATATATTATTGCAATTATACCCGTGGAAATAAGTTAAAGGAAAAACAAATTACATTCATTATAGTAACTTTTAGGTTATAACGGTGCAAGAGAATTAATTACTAATTTTAATTTAAGCCCGTTAATAGGGAGTAAGAAGATATTCTTTATATTTTATTTTGAAATTACGTAACGACATGTCAAGAAACTGGTTACACTATTATGATGTGGCATAGTTAGTTTTTCATTAATTCTAATATTAATATTGTGGACAGTGTTACGAAAGGCAAACGAATTTTGAAATATTTTTTTTAGGTGTTCTTTGACTCTAAGTTTCGTGTCTAAGATAACTCCCATATTCTTGGCACAATTTTTAAAATTTAATTTTGAGTTGCCGATCACCATATTCGAAGGTCAAATTTGGGTATCATCCGCAAAGGCTTGAATTTTACAGAATTTTAAAGATCTCAAAATATCAGAAACATAAGTAAGGAGAAGCAGTGGACCTAAAATCGATAGAATTTACATTGGTAAGTAATAGATTGGAATATCTCATTATATTAATCTCCAACAAATTTAGATTTTTGCTTTTTTTTCATTACGTAAAATATCAAAATTATCGTCAAACCAGTGCATTTCTTAATTTAATGTTAATGAATTTCTTAGATGTTCTACCAGTTTGTCCGATATAAATTTTGGGACATGATCGACATTTCAACTTGTAGACTCCGGACTTTTGATTTAGTTTTATTGTTTTTTAAAAGTTTTCCAATGGTGTTTTCAGTTTTAAAAGCTATCTTAACACCAAATTTAGATAGGATTTGGGTTCGAGACTTAATATGGGATAGATAGATTTCCGATTTATTTGAAATTGTTTTTTAGTTATAATCTTTTTTATCAAAGAAGTTTCGTAACCATTATTAAATGCTATTTGTTTTATAATATTTAATTTTTTTTCAAAATTTTCTGTGGTAAATGGTATATTAAGTAATCTGCGGATCAAAGAATAAAAGGTAGCCATTTTGTGTGTGAGGGTTTATGGTAAATGGAAAAATCTAATTTGTTCTGCAATTTAATTATAAGTTTAGAAAAATTAAAGAGTTATTTAGTCTCTATGATAAATTTTATACGCTTAAACATCATCTACGTATCTATACCAGCAAAGATATCTTTTGTAGTGGATTAAGTGGGTTAAGTGTGTTTGCCATAATAAATCCTTCTTTAGCAATATAAAATGGCCAAAAATAATTTTGGTTTAAACAAAATATTGAACTATTGAACAAGTCTTGTTTTATGATAGGAATGACTTGTCTTTCAGTTAGAATATTGTCTGTTATGTGTATCTTTTGTTATTATTATACTAGAATTGCCTTAGTACGAATTTTAGTGTGAATTCAAAAATGTTTATTAATCTTGTCGAAAGTTTAATTAATGGTGCTGTTGCAAAAGAAACTGCATGCCTAATTGGCAGCATATCCAGTTTGTGTAATTTAA